ATCTTATATATTAGAAGATTTATAATATCCTATAAGATAACTATAGCTATAATATTTACCCTTAAATACTATAATGCTTTTTATAAATTAACTATATTTACTTATAAGTATAAATAAATAACTAAGATAAACTTACTAAATATATCTAAATATTATATTTTACCTAGAACCTTACTAACTTTAATATTTATAAATAACTACTTAATAAAGGTTTCTAATTATTACTATTTTAAATTAGCTTAATTTACTATTAATAAAATATATACTAATAATAAGATATTATATATTAAGATATTATATAAGAGTAGGTATAAGTATATCTTTAGAATAATTTTACTATTAAATAGTATATAATTAATAATAGCTAAATATTCCTTATAGTATATATATATAAGGCTAGTATTAATATTAGCTATAACACTTTATATAAGGTTTATTATAAGGTATTCTCTAAAAACCTTTAGGATTATTAAAAATAGGTAGAAATACTATATATAGACTTTAAAACCTATAGTCCTAATTAGATTTAATCTATTAATAGCTATAAAAAGCTATAGCTATAGAGGTTTAAGATTTATATAGGAATTAATATATATTTATATTATATTACTTAGTTCTATATTAGTATTTCTATAATAACTTTATAGAGTATTATATAGTAATATATTACCCTATTAAATATATAAAACATAATACCTACTTAATTATAATCTAATTATAGTAATAAGATTACTATTATTACTAGGTTATACTAGTTTCTTTCTTAAAATAATATACTAATATAATATTAAATTTATAATAATACTAATAAGTTATAATACTCTTAGGAGCTATAAAGAATATCTTAGGAGTTTATATTTATAAAAGTATAGTTATATAGCTAAAGTATTTATAATATATATATTAAAAGATAATAATACTTCTTAAGTATTCCTATTAAATACTAGTAAGTAAGTAATTATTAATAACTATAGATATATATACTAATATAACTATTTAGATATATTTCTTTATACTTAATAACTATAGCTTATTCCTTATTAATAATCTTATAAATAAGATTATTATTCTTTATTTATATATATTATTAATTTAAGAAAACTTTTATACTTTTATATATAAATAGAATATCTATTATATATATATATAAGAAAGTAAAATTACTAGTTAACTAAATATTTTATATTATAACCTTAGCTATAATATTAAGCTAAATTATAAATTCTTACTACCTATTAATAATATAGAAGTATTAAACTCTATCTTTAAGATATTAAATAATACTATTAATATATACTTACTATAAGTTATATACTAGATCTATAATAGGATTATTTAGTATAAGTTTAGTAGTCTATTAGAGGTAGGTAACCTAGAAATACCTCTTTTTCCTATTTACTTATACTTATATAAGTAACTTAATTAGTATTAAGTTAAAAGAACTCTTCTTAGATTAGCCTTATTAAAGTTAGTTATTAATACTTATATAAGGCTTAATAAATTATTATTATATAAGGATATTATTATTAATATAATTTAAGAGCTTATTATAGGGGAATAACCCCCTTTTTTTATTTTCTTTATTTTTATCTTTTTTTCTTATTTCTATATTTAAAATATAAAATATAAAATAAATAATAGTATATAATATTTATCCTTTTAATATTTACTTCCTTATATAAATTAGAAAAACCCTTTTATCCTCTAGTATTATTAATATATCCTCTTATATAATAATACTAGTAGTATTACTCTTTATCTTACTAGTTACCTTATCTATAAGCTTTACTAAGCTAGGTAAATTACTAGTAATAAAGGGAGTTTATATAATCTCTTACTTAATATTAAACTTTAAATTTAATATATTTAGCCTTTAAGTTATTACTTTCTTTATTAATAGCTTTATTTTATAGGATAAAGCTTATAAATTAGTATAAACCCTCTTTACTATATATAAACCTATTATTAGTTACTTTTAATTATTTAGATATATTATTAAAAGATTAATTATAATCTTCTTATTTAATTAATTATATTTAAGTACTATTAAAAGCCCTTTAATTATTATTATTTACTAAATACTAATATAGTAATTAATAATACTTAAAGGGGATTTTAAGATAATTATAGCCTTAACTTCCTACTCTTTATCTAGTAATATTAATAATATAGGATTAATACTATCTAATATAATTAATAATAGTATATTTCTATATAACTAGTATTTAAACTATAAATAAGTATATTACTATAATATATATTTATTAATATAGTTTAGACTAAATATTATTTAGGGTATTAAAATATTCTTAATATATCTATTTTTAATTATAGTATTAAATAGCTAAAGTATAAATATAATACCTTTATTATTTATTTTTAGCTAAGTTATAATAAAACTAGCTTATCTTACTTATATATTATTTAAAATAGTACTTTATATTATAACCTAACTATTAATAAAAAGGCTTTAAAGTATAACTTAAGTTAAAAGTATATCTATATTATTTATTAAGTTAAGTATAATAAGGTCTTTATTATTAATTATAGTTAACTTTATACTTAAAATATTATAATTATTTAAAAAAGGCTTTTAAATAGTTTCTTTTATAGGTAGTAGTAATTCTTATATAAATAGATATAATATTAAGTAGTAATAAAGATATATATCCTAATCTAGATATTATTATACTAACTCTTAATACTATATACTTATCTTTAGGTAGTATTTCTCTATTATAATAAGTATTAATATTAATTAAGGAAAAAGGATTATATAAAGTTTTTTCTTTTATATATAAACTATTATTACTTATATCTAGCTATAATATTTAATAAAGTACTAGTAAATATACTTAAATATATATTTAGTTATATTTTACTTAAATCCTTACTTATTTAATAAATATTATAGTAATTTATTACTATTATACTTATATAATATTATATATACTTACTATATTTAGTATATCCTTTTATATAATAAAAAAGTATAGTTTAGTTATAACTATTATTAGTTAATAATATATATAAGTAGTATTATATAATACCTTTTAAAGAGTATTAATATACTTAAGAAGAGTATATATAATTTATATATATATTCTTAGCTAGCCTTTAAAGCTAGATATAGCTAGTAAAAATATAACTATAATTTTAATATTTTAAATAAACTATTTTATATTCTTTATTATAAATATAGATAATTATTACCTTAATATTCTAAATATATAATAGATTTAATAATTAGCTTTATTTATAACTATATATTAGTATTAAATTTAGTTAAAGTAAGTATATAGGTATAGACTATTTATATATAGTATTAAGCTATTTATTTATAAGAATATTAGCCTTTATAAGTACCTAAGTTATTAACTTTTTAATATTATTAAGCTAAGCTATAGAAGCTATAATAACTAATAATACTATATTTATAATAGTAATTAGTATAATAAAAAGAGTTATAAATTTATAAAATATAATTCTATTAGTAAATAGTATATATAGCCTTAAATTATATTCTATATTATATAAATATAGATATTAATATATTAAAAATAATTATATACACTCTTAGCGTATGCCTAGTATGTAAACCCCGATATAAGCATGTAAAATACGTTTTAGTGATAACTCACCTATAGGCTGCCGTAGTAGCCTGCCCCATAGATCAGTTGAATTGCTGATGTTGGCATATAGCTCGACTTTTGACTCGTCAATGCTTCCTTATAAAAGTGAATATATATTTAAATCGCTATCGAGTTAGCGAAGTTGTGGGACTTTCGAAATCCCAGGTGGATATGCTGCTACTGTCCGATATGCACCTTGGTCCGTCTATTAGTTTATATTTTGATAGACTGCTTGAGAAAAGATTGGACGATGCAGAGCAAAGTCGGAGAATTCCAATTGTAATTACGGATCCTCCACTACCTACTTAGCTATGTACCATGATTCCGCAGACATGCAGGCAATTGGGAACTATGGGATATAACCCCGGATACTGTGATAACGGCGTCTCTCTAAGCTTCTGCAACCGAGACATCGCTGCGCCCACTCGATGATCGAGACCTAGATCGACGAGTCTTGCCAGGAACAATCAGTAGATATTCGTGGCCATCTGGGAGATCCCCGAATGGCCACTGCAGGCTTTCGCGAATAGTTTCTAATGCGTCTAGAGGTTCTTCATGATCAACGAAGAACCCGGTGTCGACACCGGAGACGAGTCCGGTTACGTCGTTGGCGTCAAAGATAGTTCCGCACAGCTTTGCATCCCGTATATACGTTATTGGCGAGAGTCCCATGACTCCCTGCGCGTTCTCTCTAATGAAGTCAAGAGACACCTTTTCGATAGTTGCTACTCCAAGTCAGTAGTCATCCTATATCGAGCCAAGTTCACTTACTTGCGAATGCCGCCGCCGCTGCAAGACATGCGGCTGGGTGAGAGCTCATAATGCCGAATATGTTGTCGCTGTCCTGTTTCAGCGCCCTCAACAGGCCGCCTGCGAGCCCACGCTCACGATACTCCTTGCTAACCACGAGCTGGGTAACCCAGCAGACAGTCTTGCCTGCACAGTTCCAGCGGCAGAAGAAGGCATTGCCAGCAAGCACTCCATCCACAAGCACCCGAGTATAGGAGCTCTGGGAATCATCGGGTAGATATTGCTTTCGAAGTCGAGAAGCGCTCAGGCGAACAGGGGATCCTACAGAGAAATTAGCATGGGCGAGATAATAGCAAGTGGATGGCTCTCACCTGGTTTAGAGGCTTTCTCGCCCCATGTTCCATAGTTTTCATTAAATAGCGTTGCAGCGTCGACGAGCATGTTGTCAAGAACTTGGCTGCTGGTGAAGGTCTGGTAAACTTGTGTGGCCATTGTACCACGGCAACGGCGACGCGTGCGAGAAGTGGGAGGATGAGTTGGCAGTTGGAACCTGACCCTCTGTGTATTTTGGGATGGTTGTTCGAGAGAGCAAGATGCGGGAACCCGATCTGTGAACTGTGTCAGTGGCGTCGCCATGGTATTTAAAGAGCGAAGTTGTAGGGCGGGGTTATGAAGTGGCGGAAGGAGCGAGGTACTACCTATAACTAGGACTACCCAGGTAACTTTAGTCGAGACCCGAAATTTGCAGGACACGAGTTCAAATTTACCGGACTACGAACCTATTACAGTATTTACTTAGCAGGTACCACAGGCCCATCAGAACTAAGAGAGCTAGACTGGAGTATCAATGTAACAAGTCAAAATCGTGACAACAGAGGGAGCGGAGCTGCCACACCATGATATTGGCAAGTACTATCCTCATACTATTTGTACAGCAGAGATACTTGCCTGGCCGTCGTGAAGCGCTACCCCACATACCCCTCCAACACTTCCATCATCTCGCCCAAATTCACCCAAACCACCAGAGCAAGTCCTCTGACGCCCGTCCTTGTACTTCTCTGTGACGCGGCAGGCTCCCGGTCGGTCCTCCTATCCGTGTTCTTCATCGTATTGCAATACTTGTGTTGCCGAGAGAACCTGCTGCGCAACCTCTACGCCCCGACCTCAAGCTCTGCATCCTCGTGCGCAACGAAGGCGACGCGCTCTCGCTGTCCTGGCCACCAGCAACCGTCGCAACTAAAGGCTCGCCAGCCGGAGTACTGCCACCGGCCGATTTCGAACGGATACACGATTCTAGAGCTGGTACTCCCGTCACCACAATGGCTCCTCCCAGTAATAATGCTCAACTCCGCGCGCTGGTCAGCCAGTTCACGAGCTACACGGGGGCAAGCGAGAAAATCGCCACCAAGGTAGGTACAACCCCAGAAAAGTGATTATATGCACTGGTTCGCAGTGTCAAATGACATGAGCCAGCCACTTGTGCTCTAACGGACGGGTCGCAAACCGGATATCGTGGATGCCATGGAAGTGCGACAACGAGCTAACGAGAGTTCTGCAGTTCCTTAGACTCGCCGGCTACAAGATCAACGATGCTATTGACGAGTAAGTTCTGGCCTCTTTCCTACACGACTCAACCCGCCATCTACGAAGCGTTGTGCATGTCCTGCCAGGTGTGTAGCCCTGGCCGACCCCATCGCATCACACAGCAAGCAACACGGCAGCATCGATGCAAACCATGTCCGTCACATCCGTGCTGCGTCCCTGGGATTACATAGGCCAGCCTGTCTGTGGGCGCATGAAGCAGGCATAGACGTTGCAATAGTGCTGGAGCACCGTTGAGCATGCTCAACCAATGCCAGCGGGCCAGTGGTGGAGTGTTGCTAGACATATCCCAAAGTACGGCCGAGCACCGCCCGACGGCTTGAAACAGAGATTCAAAATGCCGTGACGCTTGCGCGGTGCCGATCTACATTTTTACCCATCACCATACCCAACCTCCGCTGCTGTACCGCCCTCCCTCTTCGCGTCTCGCATCCTATTTCTACCTGACTGCCGATACTAAAAACGGCTCACTGGCGTTCGCTGCATCTCCACCTTGCCTCCCAAGTCTAGTTACTTGAGCACCGATGCAGCGCTTCGCGATCTGCGTTCAACCTCTTAAACAATGGGTCTGAAAGCGATGCGCCGTCAAATCCACTGCAAGTTTCAATCGCTGCTCCCATCAAGGCGGAAATGGGATCACAGTAGCTCTGATGACCTCGCCTCGGACAAGGATTCATGGTACATGCGCCTTGTATAGCGGACATGACACGCTGACATCCTACAACTGTTTCCAAGTGGAGGCATAATCCTGAAAACTCGTTCTAAAGCTAGCTCCAAACGTTTTCTGACATCTGAGATAGGTACTATCACCAGAACGAGGGTGCCGCACCCGCCACCTCGACTCTCATCTCCGAGTTAGGGTCCTTGTTCGACAGCTTACGAGGTAGGTGACTTAAAACTAACTAACCTGATTATCTGCTAATGGTTTTAAGACGACGAAAAGGATGGCAAGAACTCCATGGAGCTGGCGTCGACTATGAATTACCTCAACAATGAGCTGAAGGTGAACATAGAAAACGCAGAGCTCTTCGTTGCTCTGGAGCTTTTGCAAGCACCTACCATAGGAGAAATTTCACGAGAAGGCTATGTAGCAGGATGGAAGAGTAGCAAGTAAGTCTCATTATGACTGCGTATTTATTGTATGCTAACATTCAAAGCGTCAACGCTTCACATAAGGAGCACGCTAAGCATCTCCGCAAAGTTATCAAGGCGCTACCAAAAGATGCCGCCCTATTCAAAAGGGTGTACAAGTACGCGTTTGTCGTTGGCCGTGAGAACGATCAAAAGTCGCTCAGTCTCGATACCGCCCTCATCTACTGGGATATGCTATTTGCCCCTCCTGGCATGCCATGGAAGAATGCGCACCGTGACTGGTTGGCGCTGTGGAAGAAATTTTTGGCTGAAAAATGGACGCGCTCCGTCAACCGTGACATGTGGAACATGGTGCTTGAGTTTGCCTTCAAGAGCATCGAGGATGATTCCGTGTCCTTTTGGAACGAAGATGGTGCCTGGCCAAGCGTCATTGACGAATTTGTGGAGTGGTGCAGGGCCAACGGTGTTGGCAAGCCTGAGAAGATGGAGGTTGATGAAGCGTAGACGCCGCAGCTCTTGCCTTGGAAGAAGAGCATCCCGATAGACGCGGCCGAAACGTTGAACGATTTCAAACGCGACCAAGCTGTGACCTCGATCAATCTGCGCTACAGCAACAACATTCATATTGGAGACGGAAGCGCAGGTGTGGCATGGTCTTGACGAGACGAGGGCATTGCATGGAACCCAGCGTTTAGACATTCATGAGGGGGTGAGAATTAGCATTGTATGTGGCAATTTCCGCACACGAGCTGCGGCCGGATTTTTTGGCACTACACGAACTTAGACAAGCTGCATCCCGGCCAAGGCTGGTGCATCCACAAGCGACTCAGCCAACAAAATTATGACTAGATATTAGTTGGAAGTTGAATTTTACCGCTCATGGTTTACCAAGCGTCCCTTGACAAGAGAGAGGACTTAACGGAACGTTCGAAGCCGATGGGTGGTGAATAAAGACTGGAATATTCTATACTATCCGTAGGTTCCCATTTTATGGTGTATTTATACAGCGGTCCCGAGTGCACGGCTTCTTTGGCCATATTTGCTCGGCACCTTTCATTTCAAAGTTATATCAGGCGCAGACTCGAACCCTCGAGCCCTCGAGCCAGTGTCTAGGCGCTCGGCGCCTTAAGCGCGAGCCCCGATGATGGGCAAGCCGCGACCCCCACCGGAGTGCAGTCGGCTTGCGCTTTTCGTACACGACACGACCGGAACCGAGACGGGTCGGCCGTCGCATCGTCCTCTACGCCTCGCCGCCCTCGGTCCGCCACTTGGGCGCGCCGAAGCGCGCCAGGGTTTCGAGCTTGCCGTCGCCGAGCTTGACGTGGGCGGCGCGGATCATGCGCGGCTCGAGACGCATGACGCTGCGCACCTCGCTGTGCAGCTTGGCCGAGGCATCGTAGCGCATCACAAAGTAGTGCCCGTGGTGGTGCTTCATCTGGTGCACCGACACGGGCCGCGGCAGGGAGAAGACGCCCCAGTTGGCGAGGCCGCGCACGACGCCGCCGTTGCGCAGGATCGTGGACCCGACGGTCTTGGCGATTCTGCAAGAAGTTCATGGATTAGTACCGTGCATTTGGGGGGTATGCTGGGTTTCGCCTTCGTCGTCGATAGCCCGTGGAGGGAGCGAGGTGTGGTTGAAGTCGGGGGTTCTCGTGGGGAGTGGACGTACTCTTTGACCTCGGTCACGTTGCCGGGTCGTACCTAAGATCGGTCAGATCGAAACGGGGTATGGAAATATGGTCTGGTGAAGTACTTACTATAGCTATTAACTCGTAGAGCATTGTGGCGACCGTTGTGCTGGATTGGTCGCTGTATGAATCAAGATCCAAGCTCGGCGTTGTCGACACCGTAAAAATAGTATGATGAAGTGGATCCGCAGATTAGCCGGCGCAACCAAAGTACGCGGTGTCATCCTCTGAACTCGAAACCCATTACAAAAAAAAGAGTAAATGAATTAAATTGGAGAGGTTTGTTCGGTTGATTAAATTCAGGGAATTCTTGGAACCTTTCTATGCAAATGGGGATTAAGAACCGCCTTTTCCCATGCATACTCTATCCCTATCCTCCAACGCCATGCATAATGTACAAATAAGTATAGTAAGTAACTTTACAGCTGTTCCTTGGACAGCGTTTGCCAAACCCGCCAGGGCAGCCTCCAACCTGCTGCTTTCATAGCGAAGGGGTCAAAGTTGGCCTGTTCCAGCCTCTCGAGAAAGTACGTCGCCGGTGCCGCTTCCAGCAGGACTCGGAATCCACGGTGCAGGTCCCTCGCGCGGTCACTCTCCCTGTCGGCGTCGTACACGTGCGCGTCCTCGCCTTGGTGCTCAAAGTCGTGGCCCGCGTCCTCGCCGGCGCGCAGCCGCTTCAGCATCTCCCGCGCTGTGATGAGGTGGTCATTGGCGCGCGTGGCGACTTGAAAGACGGCGTCCTGAAGGCCCGGCGCGTTGGGACCCTGGCGGAAGACCTCCTCTTCCTGGACGCCCGCCTCGGCCATGATGTCCAGGGGCAGCAGCAGTGCGGGCTCTCGCGTCGGCGCGTGATCGCCTCCCGGCATCTTGGAGGGCGCTCGCGGCGCGGCGAGCAGCGGCACGCCGCGCAGCACGGCCACGATGCCGCAGGCCTTGCCGACGTGGCTTGCCAGGTGGTCGACATCCATGGAGCGCAGGCCCAAGCTCGCCAGCGTCGCGTACATCATGGTCGAGTAGGTATTCTCGGCGTAGTCTTCCAGCGTGGCGAGGCTCGTAAACGGCCGGCTGTCCATGTGTTTTTCGCGTGTGCGGATCAGGCGCGAGATCCAAAACTTGATCGACTTCTTGCTCGAGGCGTCGGCGTGCTGGTCCATGAAGAGCAGCGCCTGGTGCAGCAGGATGCAGATGGGCTCGCGAGGCGGCTGTCCGGCAAATGTCTTGTCAATCAATTCTTGCCAAAATTTGATGCGCATGAGGCCAATGGTCGGGTTGGACACAATGTCGGGGAGGCGGACGAGCTCGAGGTTGAGCGCGCGCAGGGCTGTGTACATGTCCTGCGCTGGGTGTGCGAATCGGCGGATGAGGTGTGCATCGTAGTCGCCTTTTCTGTTGGACAAATGTTAGAGATACTGAATTGTTACCAGAGCAGATTAACGGCACATACTCTAATTCCTTTGCGCAGTACTGGCGGGCACCGTCAATGTCCGCCTTTGTAATGTAGCTCCGTCGCGCGGTCGGGCTCCGGACCAGGCGCCGTAGGCCATTGCATAGGATGCGTGGTCTATTCATATAGGCACCCAAGGCTGCGAGACGGCTCTATTGATGTCGAGGGTGCTGGCCAATCGTCAACATGGTATTTCCAAGAATCCGAGATGCGCCACCAGAGCTCAAATCTTTCGTCTCTGGAAGCGGCGCGCTGTGCCCCGTTAATTAAAAAGGCGTGGCCCACTGTGCACACCGTCCACTGTAACTCTCAACGCGGTCACCTGAGAGCGCCTCAAGAACGCGCCAGGCAGGCTCTTACCCGTCGCGTCTCCCAGCTCCGACTCAGCTCCGTGCAACTGCTATTTAATGCAGGACGACAGGCGCCAGATCCAATGTGTTTGACGACGCCATGAACTTTGGCAATTCACAGGAGCCCCCGGTTAAGAAGCGGCGATTCTTTACCGACCCCGATGAGCTCCCAAGCCCAGTTCCGAGTCCCAATCCCCGAGTCCAGACAGAAAACGGTGCCAACACCACACTTCCCGAAAATGCCGATTTGTCGACTGTTGATGACGACTCCGCCGCCACGGCTAGCGACGATGCTGTATCTTTTGACATTGGCACGTTTGAAGCCTTTGTCGGCGACAAAGTTGCCGAAGACGTCCTCTCCGTTATCCGTGAACAGAGCAACAATAACCTTGAGCGCGCTGTCAACATGTACCTCGACGGCGCGTACAAAAAGTTCATGAAGCCATTGGTTCTCAAGCGCTCGCCCTCAAGAACACCGACACCGAATGCACCAAAAGTGGCGCCACCTCGACCACCTCGCAGCATGCCCAGTGCACGATACATTGGAGCATTTGGGGTCGAGGGCTGGGCGACTCGCAGCGGCGCCAATATCCTCAAGCACGGCGACACTGTCAAAATTGAGCGGCAAAAGATACAGCCGCCAGCGCCTCCAAAAATCAAGGCAAAGCTAGGTGTGCCAGTCACGCCAGTGCGAAACAGGACGGCGGCCTCCCGTCGGATAGACGTCATTGTGCGGTTCACAAACGACAGCGGCATGGAAATTGGAAGGCTGGCAAAGGATACGGCAAATTGGGTCTCGACACTGATTGATCAAAAGATTTGCCGATTTGAGGGAAGCGTCGTCTATGCGCCAGACAGGTTACGGACAAACGACACGGTATTCCTCCAGTTGAAATGCTCGCTGCTCAACTCTGCCTTTTATAATCGCCACTTTCAGCTTGCCGATGATCGGGCAGAGGCATTTTTCGAGCAATCAGAAACCACCGATGAGAAGAATCTTCGCCTGCGACAAGTTGCGCTCGTCCGGCTGTTTCAGGAGATTGGTCTGCAGCCGACTGTTGCCAACGCGGCGGCCAAGGACGGGCGTCAAAGTCTGTTGAAAGCGGCAGAAATGGAAGAGGAAAAACAGGCCGAACAAAAGAAACTTGGCGCAACAAAAGACTCAGACTCGCCAGCCTCAGACGCGGAAGAGGGCAAAGAGGTTGACCAGGACCAACTTGATGCACTATACAAAAAGGCTCAATCATTCGACTTTAGCACTCCGGAAGAGGAGCCGGCCGATACCTTTGCGATGACGCTACGTCCCTATCAGAAGCAATCCTTGCATTGGATGATAGCAAAAGAGAAGGATGCGCGAAGTAACAGGGAGCCATCTATGCACCCGCTCTGGGAAGAATACGTTTGGCCCGTCAAAGATCATGACGACAAAGACTTGCCTGTCATTAACGATGTTACGAAATTTTATGTCAACCCCTACTCTGGTGACCTGTCACTCGAGTTTCCCGTCCAAGAACAACACTGCTTGGGCGGTGTTTTGGCGGACGAAATGGGTCTCGGCAAAACCATTCAGATGCTCGCTCTAATGCACTCTCACAAGTCAGAGGCTGCTCTCCAATCGAATTCCAATAATGTCGGCATTGCGACGGTCAATCAGCTTCAGCGCCTGGGCTCGTCATCGGCCATGCTGGACGCTCCTTGCACCACACTGGTGGTGGCGCCCATGTCCCTGTTATCGCAGTGGCAGAGTGAAGCTGAAAAGGCCTCGAAAGAAGGAACCGTCAAGATTGAACTCTATTATGGCAACGAAAAGGCGAATAATTTGCAAGCGCTGTGCAGCCCATCCAATGCATCCCTGGCACCGGATTTGGTCATTACGAGCTACGGCGTTGTCCTCTCTGAATTCAGTGCCATCGCAGCCAAGAATGGCGATAAGAGCTCGCACACCGGCATCTTTTCCCTTAATTTCTTCCGCATAATACTCGATGAAGCGCATTATATAAAGAACCGATCGTCCAAAACAGCCAAAGCATGTTATGAGATGTCTTCGAAGCATCGCTGGGTGCTTACGGGCACTCCCATTGTGAACAAGCTAGAGGACTTGTTTAGCCTGGTACGGTTCCTCGGTGTCGAGCCGTGGAACAACTTTTCGTTTTGGAAAACGTTCATCACCGTGCCATTTGAGTCTGGCGATTTTGTCCGGGCGCTCAATGTTGTACAAACGGTATTGGAGCCACTAGTCATGCGGCGCACAAAAGACATGAAGACGCCAGATGGACAGCCATTGGTGCCTTTGCCACCCAAGCAGGTTGACGTGGTGGAAGTCGAGCTGTCCAAGACGGAGAGGGACGTCTACGATTACATCTTCAACCGAGCTAAACGAACCTTTAACCAGAATGTGGAGGCTGGAACGGTGATGAAGGCGTTTACGACCATATTTGCCCAGATTCTACGACTACGCCAATCGTGCTGTCATCCCATTTTGGTGCGAAACAAGGACATTGTGGCGGACGAAGTAGAAGCTGGTGCAGCCGCAGACGCCAACACCGGTTTCGCGGATGACATGGATCTGGAAAATTTGATCCAGCATTTTACAGCCGTCGTAGACGAAGCGTCCAAGGACAACCAGGCGTACGGCGTCAACGCGCTAAGCGAGATCCGAGACGAGTCAGAAAAGGAGTGCCCGTTTTGCTTCGAGGAGCCCATGCACGATCAGACCGTGACGGGTTGCTGGCACTCTGCCTGCCAAAAGTGCCTCGTCGACTTTATGAAGCACGAGACGGATCGCGGCTTGGTGCCCAAGTGCTTCAGCTGCCGGGCGCCGCTCAACGCGCGCGACCTGTTCGAGGTCATTCGGCACGACGACGAAGTCGACATCTCGACCGGGAAGCCGCGCATCAGCCTGCAGCGTCTCGGCATGACAGGCTCGTCCGCCAAAGTGGCGGCGCTCATCAGCCAGCTGCGCAGTCTGCGGCGGGACCATCCGCGCATGAAGTCGGTCATCTTTTCGCAGTTCACGTCGTTTCTCAGCCTCATCGAGCCCGCGCTCGCACGCGCGCACGTCACGTTTCTGCGGCTCGACGGCAGCATGGCGCAAAAGGCGCGGGCGGCCGTGCTGGACCAGTTTACCGAGAAGCAGGGCTTCATGGTGCTGCTCATCAGCCTGCGCGCCGGCGGCGTCGGGCTCAACCTGACGAGCGCGGGGCGCGTCTTCATGATGGACCCGTGGTGGAGCTTCGCCGTCGAGGCCCAGGCCATTGACCGCGTGCACCGGCTCGGGCAGGAGGACGCCGTCCAGGTCAAGCGCTTCATCGTCAAGGAGAGCGTCGAGGAGCGCATGCTGCGCATCCAGGAGCGCAAAAAGTTTATCGCCACGTCGCTGGGCATGATGAGCGACGAGGAGAAGAAGGTGCAGCGCATCGAGGATATCAAGGAGCTGCTCAGCTGATTGGGCTGTAGGTCTACATTGGGGGGCGTCTGGTATTGTGACATATTGTGTTGTGGCAGATTCTTCTGTGGCATAGGTTTTGTTGAGTGATGATGGGAACTAGACGGCTTGTGTGGTAGTTGCATGATGCTGGTGTTTTTGGTTGCATATTCTTTTCTGGCATATTCTCTTCTTCAGACGACTTCTATCAAGTACAGAATGCGACTGTATCTTGTTTCCAAGCATGGCAGTGGTGTCACAGGACTGTTCAATCCATTGAGAGTAAAATGTGTTGCATACTGTTTTATCCTCGAATGACTTTTATTTTACTATTTTCCTTTTATCATTTTCCTTGCACCATCTACACGACAACCTTGGTCGTGGCGGCCTTTTCGCGATCATCCCCGAAAATGTCCACGTTCCACTTGGGCTCGTACGTGAAGGGAATGTTGAAGCGATGCTTGTCCTCGCCAATCTTGTTCAGGCGGTCGATATCCTGCTGCTCGAGGTCGACCTCTTGAAAGTTTTCGCGGATGCGCGAGGCCGTGACCGACTTGGGGATGACGGTGTGGCCGCCGACCTGGGCCCAGGCGAGCAGAACGTGGGCGGGGGTGATTTTTCGGCCCTTGCTGGCCGTGAGGCGCTCGGCGACGGCCTTGACCTCATCGTTGACGATGAGGAGCGGCGCGCCAATGGTGTTGTTGCCAAAGGCCGAGTAGGCCGTCAGCACAATGTGCTTGTCGGCGGCGTACTTGACGAGCGCCTGGTCGATGAGGCGCGGGTGCCGCTCGATCTGGTTGACGGCGGGGGTGACGCCGGTAGCCTTGATGACGGCCTCCAGCTGGTTATTGTTAGTCGCGGGACTCTTTCATGACAAATAATCGTTGGGGGACTTGCGTGGTCGATGGTGAAGTTGGAGACACCGACGGCGCGGGTCTTGGTCTTGGGGAGCTCGGTCAAAGCTGTATGCCAGTTAGCACGGTGTACAAAGTGGCCTGCGAGCAGGATTCTTTACCTTTCCAGGTCTGAACAATGGACGTCTTCTTGTCGAGGCGGACCGCGCCGCTGGCATCCTTGGGGAAGAGACCGTCGCCGTGCTCAAAAGCAACCGGCCAGTGAATGAGGTAAAGCTAAGTCCAACGGTTAGTCATACCTTTATCCCCCCTGGGACACCAATTGAGCTTCGCGTGCGCCCAATTGGGGTCCGCCAATGACTGACATACATCAAGGTACTCGAGTCCGAGCTCCTGGAGGGTCTCGTCGAGCGCGGCGGCGACATTCTCCGGCTGGTGGCTGTCGTTCCACAGCTTGGAGGTGATGAAGATGTCTTCGCGCTTCAGGCCAGGGACCTCCTTCAGGGCACGCTGGATGCCCTCGCCGACCTCGCGCTGGTTGCCGTAGACCTTGGCTAGGTCGAGGTGGCGGTAGCCGGCCTGCAGGGCCTCGAAGACGCCGGCGCCGACCTCGCCGGGGGCCGCCTGCCAGGTGCCGTAGCCGAGGGCGGGGACCTTGGCGCCGGTGTTGAGGGTGACGGTGCGACCGGAAGACATGATTTGGTTTTCTGGGGTTTTGGGAAGGACTTTGGTATTGTACGAGGTTATCGGGGTTTTGGTGATGAGGTATGGGCGAGGAAATCAGGAAAGGGGACTGCGAATAAGTTGGGGGAGGAAGTCGCGACCTTTTACGTTGGCGATGGAGGGGCAAATTTTCTAAACATATGACGACACGGGCACTATTACGAATTGTGAGAAGGAGAGATGATTGTAAAGACTACTACCGAATCCAACTTAGTTTCCCTCGCTAACGCTCCGCTCCCCTGCTAACAAGCTGAACTCTCGTCCGTCGGTCGGTGGGTTACAGAGGGGCCAACTCGGTCCCCAGTTGTACGGGCATTTCATCATGATGGGGGGTCTTGGTAAAGAACGGGGTTCGATCCGCCTTGTGTGTCGCAAATGGCGAGCTTCTTGTTGTTTCGCTCTTGGTTTTGCGGCATCAGAGGCCGAGACTCGGTGAGAAGGTGCCTTCGCGGCGTCTTATTGGCGCGGGTCGCTGCAGCTCGCCATCCGGCAGGGTTCTTGTGCGCCACACGTCATGTCTCAATGGAAAGTCGAATTTCATCTTCTCATGGGCCAATGCGGGCGACTTCCAGCATATAGTTAACTCGATAGGTCTTGCGACACCAAACATGACATGTTGTATTCTCCTGCATGTACATGCCTTGCGCGTTTGCTTGTTCCTTTCACATACTAGTTATTTCGAGTCTTCTAGTTCATACTTTCGGCTCATCTTGTCTCCCCACTGGTCGCTGTACAGTGCCCAATATGTCCCACAGCGACCATCGTGGGGGTGTCTCTCTCTTGGCAGAGACCAACCGCCCATCCAACCCATTGTAACTAGCAGTTACCCACAATCCCACCGAAACTGGTTCCTTGACCCTCTCTATTCTTCCTTAACGCCGAAGAGAGATTCTCGACGACGGATTTTAACGACATTGAGTCAGACCGAGAACGTTGCGTCTACTGGGCAGGCGGGCCTTGTCTCCCCCTGCCAAGTTGGCGAGCCAATGTACAAAGTATAGCATCAAGCAGACTGGTTATCTTCGGTCTTTGGTGTTGGGCGAATGTGTGGACCACCAAGGTGGCTGTAAATCGTGCAACGGCGGGCGCCGCTGCCATGACACGTTGCATACGACGGCGTTCTGTGATACATGCCCCTCGGTGCGATTCAAAAAGAAATCGTCGTTGTATTCTTCAATAAAGTAGCATGCCGCCAAGGTCTCGTGAAAGAGAATTCCCCCCTTCTTGCGGTGAGGTTCGATCTTCAAAAACTGGTTGCCAATGCTAATCATACCTGTCGCGCCCGCTTTTTCCCAAATTCTGTAGGCGAACAAGAGCCCCTCCAAAAAGATGCAAATCCCCGAAGATGACGATATAATACACAAAAAGCTGCTATACACAAGAAACGAAACAGAGTTGAGCTGAAGACGTGGTAGCTCAAATGCAAGTCCACTAATCATAGTGGTCATCAATCATGGACCAAAATCTTTGTCATCATAACGGCCACCAATGTCATCATCGTAGTCATTATCCATAGATCAAATAAGGGCATGTATTCCTCGGCAGGGCGTAGTCGGCTGCTTTTACGCAGCAGGCTCGGCCCCTTCCGCAGCGGGCTCCGGTTCCGGCGCGGCCTCGGCGTCGCTGCCGTGATGCGACGAGGCCTTGGAGCTCTTGCGGCTGGCGCTGCTGGGGCGGCGGCGGCGCTTCTTGCGCGCGGGCGAGCAGCGGATGGTGTGGCGGTAGACCCAGAGAAAGGCAAACAGGGCGGCGAGGAAGGCGGCGAGCACGATGGCGATGATGACGCCGATGCTAATGTTTGTGTTTTGGAGGGGGTCGTCGGAGAACTGGCGGCGCTCGAGGAGCCGCCGCCGGTCGCCGCCGCCGCCGCCGCTGTCCACGACGCCGGGCAGCACCATCTCGGGCTGGCCGCGGCGCCATGTCGGAGCGCCGGCGGCCGTGGGAGCGAGGCCGTCCACCTCGCTCACGCCGCGCGGGATATACATGCAACCCCCGCTTACACTGGCCCCCTGCGCTGTCGAGGGACGGATGCGTGTGTTGTTGGTGGGTGAAGGTGCAGCGGGCTTGCGGGCTTGCGGGCGGGCTCAACGTGAAGGAGAAGAAATCCAAAAAATAAAAAGGTCGAGGGAGGAAACTTGTTTATCCAGAACAGGGTATGAAACAGGAACTTTATGCAGGCGAATATGTAGCACAAAACTCCCCCCTCCCCCCTTCCAAGTCTTCATCGTTCAAAGAAGCAAAGCCAGCCATCTTCCCCCCCAGCCAAGCCAGTGACGGGGGTTGGGCGTCGTTCTTTGTTGCCGACAAGACGGGGCGGCGCTTTATCGACCCAACGCTGCGTTCCCCCGGGAGAGAGCGCTCGCAACGACCAGGGCACAATAAAGAGCGTGCGTCAAGGAAAGAAAAAAGGGCCGGCAGGTTGGGAACGAGGCGGGGAGTGTGTGTGTGTGTGTGACGGCGATGCATGATTGGAGAAGCTGGGGACGGCCGAACAGGTGGCGGACGAGACATGGAAAGGGCTCTCCATGCACCGACGGTGAAGCGAGGATGCATATGCAGTGCTAGTGCTCCAAAGGGGGGGGTTCTTTTGCCAGCTGCGTGTCATGTCTCACAGCATGTTAGTGACTTGGGGGGGAATTGGCAGCGTTGATGCTGCAAAGGACGCACAATGGCCGGCCCTGCTGCTGGTATAAGTCGTGTAGCGTCGCTCTTTGAAGCCATCAACGACAAACATGTCTTGGTTTTCGCCTACACCGACTTGCGTATCTGTGTATTCCAGCACGACTTGTTCATCATTTTTATGTATCCTCCGTCACTTACATCGTCTCTGCGCCACCCCGTGCGCGCAAGCAAGCATGTGATGGGATGTGTGTACGAGCACGCAACGTAGATGCCCAAAGAGAAAAGAAATTACGGCCTCACCATTTCGACCCGGCAAATATTCCCATCCGGACACGGCGCGGAGAATAAGTGTCCCCTTGCGACTGGCGAGGGCCTGGGCCGGTCGCGGGGGGAGGGGGGGGGGAGGAGAAGATATCGGGCTGCATGCAGGCCAAACTCAGCGAGGCCCGACGGGCGGCGCCCAACCGGCTCGTCCTTCCGTCTCGGGACCAGAGACCAGTAACCGAAACAGGTGTGGGGGATTGCGGAAGAAGCAAAAAGGAGGAAATGTGACGACTTTCTGGAAGGCGCACTCATACCTCTCTCCCTCTTGACGTCTTGGAGTCGCATGAGTTCGTGCTTGGAATACGCCCGACCATATGGCCAACGTCGTGTTACTTTGACACCGGAAACACACATGTTGCCAAACATGGACAGGTGACAATTGTCGTACGAGATACTGGTCCAAGTTTCACCATGTTTGATGTTGGCAGTATCATCGTAGATTGCCAACAAGGACCCTTTGCAAAAACTGAATGCAGGGTAGCCCATGCATGAGAATGTCACTCACGCGGAGCAGCCCAGACGACGGCAATACGCACCCAAAATATATATCTACACAAAGAGGCCAGATACGCTCTGTGAGACCAAAAAACAGCATCACATCCGCCCCCCCTGCCAACGCTCTGCATCTTCCAGGTCATGAGTGCTTTTGCTGCTCGGTGGCTGGCTGACCGTGCCGAGACACCACGCGGAGCCGAAGCAGAAGCGGCAGCAAGCAGCAAAAAGGGTTCAAGAGATGCACCGAGCAAACATGTTCGCTCGAGGTACCGTTACACGGCTGCACAGCGTCGGCCAACTGCCATGCAGGGAGACGCGTACCACAACGGCGGTGCTTTACGATGCTACTCTTCAGGTATGCTGATCGGCATCAACAAGACGAGACAGACGTGAACTACCAAATCTACCAATCATGGTCCTCTCTCGATTCTATATATAACGATTCGTCTGATACGAGTACACTGTAAAGTAAATCAACCCAACCCACAAATACCCTACCAGGTAGTGCGCAGTCGGACCCTCGACCCAAATGAACGACACGCGAAACACCATTGGCCAGAATAGCAACGCCGCAAAAACCGTCACCGAAGTCTTGAGAAAAGTAAAAGTCTCATAGGCATCTCCACCACCCTGGATAAACTGTAGATCATCCTCCCCAGGCCGAGACAAACGTGTCTGGGATGCAGGTGAGCTACCCAACGGCTGACGTTGAGGAAAGGGATTCCCGTAGGAAGCGGAAGCATCCACCCGAGGTCGGGCTGCTTTTACAGCGCCTTTCACTTTTTGTAAGCGAAAAAAGGTCCAATACGGCCAGGGCGAACGTACCATAGGCATCGAGACAGTTGAAGGGCAATATCAGAAGCAGGACGAGCGCCGCAATCTGACCGAATCCCATATTCAGCGTCGTGGTCCAGCAAGACACCGGCCCATCCGCCGGCTGCGCGCAGGAAAGCCACACGTCGATGATGTTGTAGAGCCCGTAGACTAGGGCGCCCACCAGCCACGCCAGATCCCAGCCAAAGCTCCCGAAAAACTCAGACGCCGCAAACTCGCGCATGAGATCCGGCTTCTTGGCCAGTCCTTTGCGCAGAACGTCCAGGTTGCTGAGCCGGGGCGTGTCCGGGCGTGAGCGGAAGCGCATCAGCACCGCCATGGGCCACGACTGGGACGGCTTGCCGGGACTGTCGACAAACATGTTGACGATGCCTTTTGCGTAGCAAGTCACGAACCAGGCGCCAAACAAGATGCCTCGGAAGACTTGCACGGAACCGTATTTGTAATGGCAGAAAATATCAAGCCATGGCCGGTACTCAATGTCGGAGTCGTTTCCCCGGTGCGACACGGTCGATTCGAATAAGCGACTTGCGAGATGGAGGCCGCCTTGCACAAGCATCATGGCAGCGCGCAGGCATTTTGTTTTACTGGGCTGTCGCATGCGGCTGAAGAGAAGAAATAGATAAGCAGGCAACCCGTGGTACTGCTGGACGCAGAGGAGTGTCGTACTTTTTCAACGCCACAATGGTGGCCAGATGCGCCGAAGAACTGAGGCCCGCCAGCGCCGCGACAAAGCGAAACGAGTGCACCGTGATGCCGACCTTTGCAAAAGCCGCGACGAGAATGGCCAGGCCGCCAAAGAGCAGCTGGTCGCTCAGCGTGACCAGCAGGCCCTCCAACGCCGCCACCGTCTCGGGGCGGCCCGGCGTGTTTCGGTAGCTCCGGCGGGTCAAGAGGGCGCAGAGAACCCGTTTGAGGTGCAGATCCATCGGCTGGTCGCCGAGACCGGGAAGCGCATTGTGAAACCAGGCGACAACGAGGACGATGAGCGTGGCGAGCGGGATGGCGAGGAAGGCGATGACGACCTGGACGTGGGGGTGAGTAGCGGCCGAAGGGATGGGCGCGGGGCACGGCACTCACTCCGATGCCGGAAATGTCCGGATCGACCGCGTCGGCCGCCAAGCAGTCGCTCATAGCGATTGACGTATGTGATGTGGGTGAGACGTATGCGGGTGAGACGGTCTCTGCGTGCTGTTCAGTACCGGACGGGGGGGGGGGGAGTTTCGTGCAAACCGACTTGACACAGAGGACACGGGAAAGAGGTTCGCGATATACAGAGTAAGCGGCACACCGATAAGACTGCATGTACGATTAAACGGTCGGCTGATTCGTCTGACCAGCTGAATGTCCCCTTTCAAGGCCAATGGCAAGCATATCTTGACAGCATCATCTCCCGGCTGGGAGGCGGGCCGGATAGATGAGGTTTGCGGCTGAGGCTGGGCGAGACCAAAGTGGCTGAATTCAAGGGCACTGATTTGCTCACCTTGTCCGTATTATTCGCTTGCAGGCGTCATGTGGCAGCCAAGAGCCTAGCGACAAAGTCTGGAAAAAAGGCCAAAGGCTTCTCATGACTACCACTGCTCTGGTGCCTGCATTGTGGCCAGGCAACGAGGAGCGCTATCATGTATGATGCCATTGTCTGCAAGGTGCGGGCGGGAGCATCTCAGCCCGTCTTCAGCGGCCGCCACCATCGCTCCTTCCAGATCGATCGCTAGCGGTGACACTGCGACTTGGAACTATAGCAGCGGCGGCATTAAAACTAGTCTGTTATCCTGAGGAGGACAATATATTGAAATCCTCTGGCCAAAAAAAGGTTCCTTTGGCAAACCTCGTCTGGCCTTGGTCTGGAACTTTGAACCAGAAACGACCCCGGGAACCGCTTTTCCTCCCCTGCATGTCAACACCGGCTCAGTGGTCCTCCATAGCCGGCTGCCTCACAGACTCTGCCATGGAGGTTCTACCCGCCATCGTCGCCTGGGCCGCGAGCAGTGCGTGCCGCTCCTCCCTGGTCGCCGGAAGCGCCTTTGGCCACCGCTTCTGCGCGCGCGCTGCCGCCGTCCAAGAAGTGGCCGACTTGGCGCAGCGGCTCTCGTCGGCCGCCCAGGTCCTCGTGCCCGGCGACAAGGGCTTCGACGACGCCTCCCGCCGCTGGAACGTCTTTGACGAGCCTCGACCGGCCATCGTCGTCATCCCCGGCACGGCGTCGGACGTTGCGGAGACGGTAGGCCAACCCGCAGACTCCAACGCGCCCTGGGTTGACCCTTTGCTGAATAACAGGGTTCAAGCAGGTCAAATACGCAAACGAGCATGATACGCCCTTTCTAGCCGTCGGTGGTCGGCACGGCGCTGCCAGCACGCTCGGCAAGCTCCAGGGCGGCATCGAAATCGCCTTGAACAGCCTCAGCAGTGTCGAGCTGTCCAAGGACGGCCAAACGGCCAGGATTGGTGGCGGAACTCTCTCTGGGACAGTCGTTGACGCGCTCTGGAAAGCCGGCAAGCAAACAGGTATGCTTTCAGCCTCTCCCGCCTCGTATTCTCGCGCTCAATGACCCAGTCACCGGCACCTGCGAGTGCACTAGTCTTGTCGGGCCTGGCCTCGGCGGCGGACACGGCTGGCTGCAGGGCCGCCACGGACTCATTGCCGACCAATTTTTGTCCATGGACGTGGTGCTGGCCGACGGCAGCGCGCGAACCGTGGACGCGCAGTCGGACCCGGACCTGTGGTGGGCGCTACGCGGTGCCGGCCACAACTTTGCCATTGTCACGTCGGTGACGCTCAAAGTCTACGACATTCAGCACCGCGACTGGGCGCGCGAGGCCATGATCTTTACCGGCGACAAGGTCGAGCAGGTGTTCCAGACCATGGCAGACACCATCTTCAAGGGCGGCAAGCAAGACGCCGACGTCGTCGTGTGGACGTACATGCTGCGCATTCCAGAAGTGGACGCCAAAAACCCCATTGTTGTCGTGTATCTTCTGCAGGAGGGCGTCCGGACCGTTGACAAGGCGCACTCGGCGGCGCTCAAGGAGCTCGGCCCCGTCAGCGGCGACAACACGCCCGGAACGTACCTCGATCTCGCCGCGTGGACGTTAATATCAATGACCGACACGCCCTGCCAAAAGACCAACGCCAGCAACCTGCGGTTCCCGCTCTACCTCGACACCTACGACGCCGGCGCCGTGCGACGCGCCTACGACTTGTTCGCCGCCAGCCTGCGCGGCACACCCGAGTTTGGCAGCTCCATCTTTCTCTTTGAAAACTACCCCGTGCAGGGCCTGCGCCAGCCCGCCGCCGACGACAGCGCGTTTGCCTTTCGCGGCGACAACATCCTCGTGGCGCCGCTCATTAGCTTCCCGTCGGGCGACCGGCAGCGCGGCGGCGAGGCGGTCCTGCTCGGCGAGGCGCTCCGCAACACGCTTCACCAAGCGTCGGGCCGCAAGACGATGCACACATATGTCAACTACGCGTTTCGAGATGGCAGGGAGGAAATGTACGGCGCCGAGGCGTGGCGCCAGCAGAAACTGGCTAAGCTCAAGGCAACGTACGACCCGCACGGGCGATTCAACTTTTACAACCCGGTTGTGTAAGCCGTCGTTGATGGCAGAATAATGATACCTAAGTAATAGATACCAAATACAACCCTAACCCTACCTCGATGATGTGGTGAATTTCTACCCGTTCCAGGGGGGTTCTCCTTTCAACCTCGACACGTATAATTCGTCAAGGGCCATCTTGGACCCCAACACGACAACGTGGCCAATTGGCAAAAATAAAATCCCGACAGAGACAGGATTCGAACCTGCGCACGCGAACGTATTGCATATCAAGATACTAATGGGATGGTCCCACCGTTCTTTCGAGTGCAACCCCTTGGGCCACTCGGGCACTCTGCCTTTGTTGGGTTGACAAGACGACTGTATTCACTACATCTGTCAACAAACTATTCGGTATCAACGCCAACGTCCTCATTTTCCCAGCGTCCCTATTTTTGACGAATCCAACACAATTTCCGACACACATCTACATACCCGTGGCACAGATATACACACATTTTCATCTATCGCCGCGCGGCTGCGGCCATCTTCCAGAGCGTCCACGCGCCGTATCCCACCGCACCGAGCACGGCGCCCCTCCCCAGGAGGCCAAAGAGCACCTCGTTAGCCTCGGCGAGCATGCGGGCGGCGCCGCGCTCCACGTTCTGCTGGAACATGGCGCGGTCGTTGATGCGTGGAAACGGGGCCGTCACCATGTTCCCCGTGACGGGGTCCTGGACGAGCGGCACGTCGACGCCGAGGTGGCGGCACAGCGGCTCCCAGCCGTCCTGGACGGACCACTCGATGCGGCGGTGCTCGTCGACGACGGCGCGGCACTCGTCGTAGGTGCGCAGCATAAAGGCAATCGCCTTGTCCTTTTCCGTAAAGTGGTTGTAGTTGCCCTCGGCGACGCCAATGGCGCGCCAAAACGCGGCGCCCTCGCGCGTGCGCGCGCTCAGCAGCCAGCACCACAGCCGCTGCGCCTTGCGCACCAGGCCCGGCCGCGTGTGGATGGCCGCCACCGTCTCGCTCACGCTCTCGTACCACTTGTCCGGGTCGCGGTTGACCATGACCACCTTGGCGTCGGGGTACAGCTGCGCCAGGTCCGCCGCGAAGAGCGCCGACGGGTAGTCGATGCACGCCTGGCAGTCCCCCAGCAGCCGGTCCCAGTCGCGCTTGGTGAAGCTGCCGCTGTCGCCCCGGTTCTTGGCGTCGAGCGCGCGCGTCCACTCGGCCATTTCGCAGCCCTCGGGGTCCATGACGACGTGGATCATGTGATGTGTGCGGTTGAAGCCGAGCATCTGGAGCGCAGCGTGTGTGCCTGCGTGCTCAGTGGTCAGTAACGGACAGGGTTTAAGTGTAGCGAAGGAGGCAACGGGGTCATCGTACTCATTGTACCGGTTCGCGGAAATCCGCAGACGATGAGCTTCATCGGTGTGGTCCGGGGGTAGCCCTCGGAGCCATCAATGGGATAGCGTTTGGGTAGCATTGTGGGCTGTCGGGTCAAACGCACGCCTGCAGCAGTAGTTTCCGTTGGTGATGTTTACAAATCAGATCAGAAGCAGTTCGACAGATCGAAGGAGGTCAACCATGGAAGCAGAACATCGCAAGTGACAAACGGGGAGGGTGGGCGCACGCCGTTTATAAACGACTGCAAACGCCAGCACATGGTCTACGGTCCGCAACTGCCCCAGCTTTTCCGCCGCCCTCTTCTTTCCAATTAAACCAAGTTTCACTTCGTCACTAGGTCATTTGCGATACGTTACCCCATTCCCAGAAGCTGGCGCTGACAGCCTCAGCCAGTGCAACGGCACTTGCCTTCGCTCCACACCATCAACGACCACCTCCCTCCCCACACCGTTCGTTGTTCTGTAAACCTCCGACCACCGATGAAAGAGGGGGGGTCCGATTTGGAGACGTGGGCTCGTTAATAGAGCTGTCTTTGCTGACTATAATAGCTTGCCGCTAAACCCTGACGGCGCGGTGCGATCATTCCCAGCATGGGACGAAAGCTCCACCATGCCGGCCCTGCGAGGATCCGAAGGTCCGATAATCCGAACATGGTGTCGATACAACCCTAGAAATTGTTGCCAACAAGATCCTACACTGTGCGACATGTCAGTGTCGTGCCAACGTCGATGTCAGCCGCTATTATTAGGTAATGTCGAGAAAATCCTTGGCCGCGCAAAGAAGGCGCAAAAGGGGGGTATATCCGGAACATTGCTTCTGTGCCACTTGACTGCCGGCATTTGGACATCCAACACGGCCCGATCTTTTTAGCGAGGGATGGGAAATCAGGCTCAGTTGCACGTCTTCCTGTGCCGGGAGCCGGGACCTATCCCCGGCGGCCAGGGGAACCGTCGGCGGTAATCGAAGCAAACAAACATTGGAAAAGTCACGAGACTTGGCCAAGTAAAACCCGGTCTCGGTGCGCAGTACTATCGCGTGCATGCAGTGCTGCAGCCACGCTAAATAAAAGACCAGGAATGGTGGCACAGCCCCTCGACAACAGCCGCGCGAACAGGTGGGATGGACAACGACCGGTTGATCAACAAATTCAAATTGAACAGCTGTCCAGTATTATATACCTGTGTAAAAAGTCGCTTTGCATGCGTGAAACGTGAGAATAAAACGAATGATCAATGAGCACTAGAAAAGAAAAGGAGAAAAGACAAGCAGTTGAAACGACGGAGCACCCACAACACTATTACCATGACCATCTTCTGTCATTCAGCAGTGTGCCACACAAAGCGTGATACAGCAGTCACGTCCAACAGGCGCCGAGAATGCAAACACGCACGCATCATGTACAGAAAGACTAAAACGCCAGATAAACAAAAATCGGCACCAGCACACCGTGTTATAGGCAGAAGAGAGCAGCACCAGCAATGACAATGGCCAGCATGCTCGCCTGCAACTGAGAGCCCGAGTTCTTGCCAGCATTTTTCGACGTGCCATCGGCATCAGGGGTGCTGCAATCCTGGTTAAAGGTCTTGGGGTCGCAGGTCTTGGGGTCCAGGCCCTGGGCCGGAGGCGTGACCGGGGCAGCGCTACCACCGCTGGGTTTGTCGTCGCCGTGGTCGTTTTTGCCCGGGATGCCGCCGCCAGGTACGGAAGCCTGCGAGGGCGTGGGCTTATTCGTGTCAGTCTTACCAGCGTCCATGTCGAGACCAGTAGCGCTAAATGAGCCGATAATGGTGCTCTTGTCCGTGTCTTTGACCGTGTCGTTGGTGGCCCTGGCATCCGTGTACACGTAACTCTTGCCGCTGTTTGTTCCAGGTGCACTCTTAGCGCTGTAGCACTTCACCTCGACAGACTTGACAGCAGCGTAATAGTATCCGTTGTTCTTGACATCGGGGGTGTCCCACGAGATGACACCACCGGCCCAGTTGATGGTACCCGGAGGATTGCTAGCCTTGCCTCCTGGCCAGATGGAGAGCTGGATACGAGCGGGCGTCTGGGGGAACGCCCAGGCATTGGCAGTCTTGTTCCATGTGTCCTTGCGCTCCTTGGTGCGGTGGGTTGTACCATCAACCAGCCACTCCACTTTGTCGGGAGTCCAACGAATTTCGTACTCGTGCCAGCTGCCAAATGTGTCATCGGTGGTAATGTTGCCCGAATTGCCATCTGGGTCATATTAGCATGCTGAATCGCACATTTCCTCGGCGTGACTCACAGTTTGTAATGCCCTGGTAGTAATAGTTGGTTTGGGACATGCCGAGGTCGACTCCAACCCACTCGTAGTCAATCTCATCCTTGACATCAGAAAGCAGAATAAAGGCGGTGACTACACCACGGCCGCGACTCGTCTTCATCGTGGCCTTGACGTTGCCGTACCACATATACTCGGTGGATGCCAGTACAGTGCCAGGTGTGTCCTTGGCCATGGTCATGAGGGCGTAGTCGTTGTACTGCACCACCTCGCCCTGGACCATCCAGTCAGCCTTGCTAGCGTCGCCGTAATATTTGCTGATATCAACGCTCGTCTTGTCGATCTTGTCAAACGTCATCTTCTTGTCGCTGCAGACCGGGGCGGGAGCACAGGCTTCGAGCTTGAATGAGGCTCGAGGGTCGCAGCCGCCCAGGCAGTAAGCGCCGACACCGCATTCGCCATATTCTATCCAAATTCATCAACGCTGTTGTCGAGTTTTCGGGTCACGGAGTGTACTTACGGGAGCAGCAGGGCGAGCTCTGTGGGCACGGGTTCTCTGGGCTGCAAAGAGCGAGGGCGGTGGAGGCGCTCAAGAGAGCGGCAACCACAGAGCGCAGCATGGTTGGAGTTGAAGTTGGAGCGAATGGAAATAGGTTTGAAGACAGAAATGCGCGAATCAAAGTTTAAGGTTGGCCAGTGACGTCGTGTAAGCGAAAGTCGTCTCGAGGGAAGGCTGTCGGCGAGACTGTCTGTGTTAGCGACGTTTCATCTGGAGCAAGTCTGTCCGTGACACCAGCATGCCTCTATTGTGCACGCAGAACAAAGGTCGTCGAACCGCCCATGAAGCATGTCTCCGGTTGAAGGAGTGACGAGAACTGCAAGAGCACGCGACAGCGTATTCGAGAGAAACAGCCAGCGCCGTTGCGTGAAACCGAGACATTGGCCAGGGCTGCAAGGCTCATCCATGGTTCAACCTTGAACAGCGGGCCTAGCACAGAAGCAAAAACGAAGCGTTGCATTCGATATTGACAGCGCGCATGTCTCTCTCGCCCTGGTTCTCTCGCCAGCTTTCGTCCATGTTCAAGGGCGGGCGGCCGTGTAGAGCGTCTTTTCTTTGCTCGGTAGCGCCTGTAGAACAGACTTTAAGGGATTCGCGACCCACCTGTCAAAACGTCAAGGGCAAACTCAAAAGATAAATCGAGTAATAATTAGTCGGTGATTGGCCGGAGGATCGACGAGTTCGAGTTTCGCAAGGTTCGGTGTAACGAATGTAATGGTCCAAAGGGAACGGCGGCGATGGAGGGGGAGGGACAAACAACTGTCTGACTCGGGGGGGGATTAAAAAAGGCAGCATGGCAAGACGAGGCAGAATACGGAACAATTAATAGATTTTTGCTGGCGCCTGGGCGCGCGCGCTGGGCGGCGGTGCTGGGCGGGCTCAACAGGGCTCCAGGGTCCACTGCCCAAATACGAAAGGAACCGTCGGGGAACAAAGTCGCCGCGACCACTTTCGTATCATCTGCTCATAAAAGGCAGGTGCTATTGCTACGATGATGGTACCGACGTATGTTCCAGCTCACGCCATTGAAATGGTTCTAACCTCGCTGCTCGCTCTGCGGCCGATGCTGTAGCGCTCGTCATAAAAAGCAATATTGGCGCCCGAAGGACGTACTCGAGTAGCCTTCTCTGCAGTCTGCAGTCTGCAGACGGCTGCAGGCGAGGCTGCAGCAGTCGGTTCGTCCAGCTTCCGGGCAGGCTGGCCAAGCAAGGTACATAGGGGGTACTTTTCCGCCAGGTAGGAGCCTTACCTCCATGCTGATCATTGCCCGTCACATGTCCACCCATCTCAACTCCTTGCCGCTCTACCAGCGACAACCCCTGTAATGGCTTTTCAGGTGGCCGCGCTGGTGGCCGCCCTGACCATGCCAGCGCTGAGCGCAATCACCACAACTTGGCGCAAACTACTAGTATGTACTACACTTTTGTCCCCCCACTGTAGGTACCTACCTACTAGGATAATTCGTACGGATTTCGGTTCAAAAACACTACTTGTAGTAGCGCCGTCGCTAGTCCTCATGAACATCAATCGTCCAGTAGATGCAATCCTATATTGTCCATTCCAAACCTATGTACAGTTCATGCTCCCATTCATCAGTCAACCTCACTTCCTCCTACGCGCCGAAAACGTCTTGAGCGGATCTCCCTTGCGCGATCCGATCCTCTTCCCCGACTTGCCCCTCTTGCTTTTCCGATCCTTGCCACCAAACTTGCGCAGCGGCACAAATCCAATCTTGTCCGCCGTGAGCGCCTCCTTGCCCTCCTTGGGCAGCAGGTACTCCGGAATGTGTTTCAAGTGCGCTTGTTGTCGCGCTGTGCGGAGCTCGCCGTCGTGCCGCAGGTGGGCCATTTCCGTCGGGTTCTCCTCAAAGTATCTGCACACCCCAAGTCAGCGCGCCTGTTCACTCACAGTTCCATGATGCAGAGATACGTACCGCTTGAGCTTTTCGCTCTTGAGAAGCTCTTGTCGCAGCTCCCTTGTTCGCGCCTCACGCACCGCCACCTTGGTGACAGCGCGCAGAGCGTCATTCATGCGGTACCGAAAAGCCTCCACTTGCTCAGTGCTAAAGTTGTACGGCTTCATCTCCTTGCCCTTTTTGGCCTGCTGCTTCGTGATACGCGCCAGAATCTTTTCGTCCTTTTCCGCGCTGGCTATCGTCGTGGGAATATGCTTGCGGTACTGGTCCTTGGGCACCACAAACGAGAGCGCCATGCCCGCCTTGCCCGCCCGCGCCGTTCGCCCGATGCGGTGTGTATAAGACGACGCCGTCGTCGGCAAGTCAAAGTTGATGACGGCCGCAACGTTCTTGAAATCGATTCCTCTTGAGACACCGTATTCCAGATCCTGTTTTGTAGACTTTCGCTTCTTTTTCGGCCGCTTCTCGCTCGTTTCCGTCGCCTCTTCTGCCTCTTCCTCCTGGCCCTCTTCCGCCTCACCCTCGGCGGCCTGATCTTCACTACCAAGGATTTCCTTCTCGTCAGATGCAATAATAATATCGTAAACGTTCTTGTTGAATTCCTCCACGACGTGGATTCGCGAATTGACAGGTAGCTCCGAGTTCAGGATGCAACTGCGGATGCCAAACTGCTCAAAAAACAGCTTCAAGCGGTAGCAGCGATCAATATCGCCGACAAAGATTATACACTTGCCCTTGACGAGCTTGAGCTTGAAAATGATGTAGGCCAGCAAAAACTTTTCGTCCTCTCCGCACTTGGTGAACAGCTGCGTGATGCCCTCGCCCTCGTTATCCGGCTCCTCCAGGTCCAGCAGTTCGGGCACATTATCGCGATAGAAGATTTTCTTGAGAGAATCGATCTCGGATGTCAGGGTCGCGCTCATCATAATTGTCTGGATACCTTTCGGTAATGACCAGGACAGGTTCTCCAGGTCGCTGTCGTAGCCGTATGAGAGCAGCAGGTCCGCTTCGTCCAGAACGAGATGTGATAGTTTGCTCAGAGACAACGCAGCCGAGTTTCCATTGACGTTGTGCCATGCCCGCGCGGGCGTTGAAATGACAATGTCGGGTAGCGTGGCGAGCAGCGACCGCTGGACGGCGTCGGATAGTTTGTCGGTGAGCTTGACGGCTCGCACATCCTTTGAGCAAAAGGCTGAGAACTGCTCAATGGCTTTGAAAACTTGGTCGGCAAGTTCGCGCGTCGGTACAAGGATCAGGGCCGTGGTCGCAGGTTCGGAATCCGTCTAGCAATATGTTAGCACCCAGCAGCCGCATCGTTGTCGAATCTGCATACAGTCTTGCGCTTCAAGATTCCGGCCAACACGGGCAGGACGTAGGCAGCAGTCTTTCCAGAACCAGTCTTGGCTTTGCACAGAACATCCTGGCCCTTGAGAGCAATGGGAATGGCCATGCGCTGCACCAGCGTCGGCTGGGAAAACTTTTGCTCGGCGATGGCCTGCACAAGGCGAGCGTCGAGGGCAAGGTCGGTAAAGGAAAACCCCTTATCTGTCTCGGCAGGAGCAGCCGTTTCCTTTTCGGCTGCCTCGTTTGTCTCTTCAATCTTGCGCTTCATTTTCGCGGTTGTTGAAAAAAATGCTGCTGTTCTGTATCATAGCACGTCCTAGAGTCCAAGATGAAGATGCGATAAGAAAAAAAAAGTTGGAGGTGTTCCACTTTTCAGCAATCGATAGCGTCGAGGGGCGCGCCGCCGCTGCAAACGCTGGCAAACACCTTTTTGATCATAATCTTTTTAATTTCAACAAGTCAACATTCCTGAATATCTCGCCTTTATAAACGAAGGTAGCCTATTACCAAGGTGACAATTCAATCACGTATTTGAGTCATGTATTTGCTCATGTATTTGCTAGTCTTTAAGCTACGGAACCTCTCTAAGCCAGCATATCCTTGAGAACCTTGACTTGCTCCAGGACGCGTGCCCGACTAGTACCACCCTTGACTGATCTCATCTCGACGCTTCTGTCGTAGTCAAAAGTTTGCGAAACATCCTCCCCAAATCGGCTATCAATAGCCTGTAGTTGCTCCAGTGAGAGCTCGTTCATCGGGATGCCTAGCTCCTCGCTCTTAGCAACACATCGCCCAGAGATATGGTGCGTCTCACGAAAGGGTACACCTTTTCGTACGAGATAATCAGCAAGATCAGTAGCCAGCATAAACGGGTCGAGGGCGGCCCTCATCTTCTCTGGCTTGATAGTAAGGGTAACGAGGATCCCGTTTGCAATCCGAAGGCTATCAGAGATAGTCTTCACATGATCCAACATGGGCTCCCAACTTTCTTGCAAGTCCTTTGAATATGTGCTGGGGAGGCTCTTTTGGGTCATCATAAGGCCAGCCATATGGCCAAATGCTCGACCAGCCTTTCCTCGCAAGACTAGATGATCACGAATTGTTAACTTCTTTCTTGAGCCTGCCGCGTTGTATCTCGTCTCAGGAGCTGCCATTCATCGCATAGCAGAAATCTCTCCCAAGACATACCCAATTGAGTATTTAACAGCACGGGAGATACTCACGTTCTAAGCCATCCGGGTTCTTCTTATGCGGCATCAAAGAGCTTCCAGTAGAATAAGCATCCGCAATAGAAATAAAGTCAAACTCCATGGTGCTATAAAGCACAAGATCCTCAGCCCAGCGAGAAATATGTTGCATGAACATACTACCCCATTGTAGAAATTCAGTGACGAAATCTCTATCACCAACAGCATTCATGGAGTTCCATAAAAGGCCGTCGAAGCCCAGCTCCTCGGCCATCATGTCGCGATCGATATTGAAGCCGTTGCCAGCGAGAGCACCACAACCAAGTGGGCTCCTATTCACACGCTTTAAAGTCTCACGCAGCCGCTCAAGATCACTCGCAAAGTAAAAGCCATATGACAACAGATGCTGCGACCACAAGACCGGCATGGCACGCTGGAGATGGGTATATCCAGGCATAATAATGCCGCTGTCAAGGTCAGGAGGGTCTACCATGTTTGGACCACGGGATAATCAGACTTACCACTCGGCCTCGGCGCGGCTGGCAATAGTCTCGATGAAGACAACTAGGTGGCTCTCAATCTCCTTGATCTGGTTGCGAAGCCACATACGCATATCACAGACAACCTGCTCATTGCGACTGCGACCCGTGTGTAGTTTACCAGCGATGTCCATGCCAATAATTTCACCGAGTCGGCGCTCATTAGCAGTATGAATATCTTCATCATTGGGCATGATAACAAAGGCATTTGCTTCCCACTCCTTCTGAACCTCCCTGAGACCTCTCTCGATTTCAGCGAACTCGCTGTTGGATATGACGCCAGACTTGGCGTTTGCGCGTGCAAACGCAATACTGCCGAGGATATCTTCCTTGTACAGGCGCTTGTCGTACTCAATACTCGCATTGTATTCGAGCATGAGGGGATCGAGGCCGCCTGTCATTCCGAGGTCAGCGCACATTGCACTCGAACTTCCATAGAGAACCAACCTGTGAAGCGTCCACCCCAAAGCATATTTTCTGCAGGTGCCTTTCCAGATGCCATGATGTGCTGACGGCGCTCTAGTGTACCTTGAGTTGAGCTCAATAGAATTAGTTCGTCATCTACCCCGGATCGTGCTCAAACTTTTGCTTGGAAATGTAAGAAGAGTGGAGCTCCGTGTTTCGGCGGGTCACGTTGTGGCCTGGATTATTAGCGCTTCTTTTCCTGTTAAATTAACCGTTTATCTGTGGTATCTCTATTTATCTGGTATCTATGGTATCTCGTTTATCTATGGTATTATCTCTCTGCAAGGCGTGATAGTAACTAGACTGAATGAGTCAACGCAGGTAGTCACGCGGCATCTGCGTCTCCAAGTGTCCAAGGATGCTTCCAGTCAAGGTCAGTTGTTACCCCTTCCTTGCTTTAGAATGGAAACAATCGCACTTCGGCGTACCGGACGAGAAGAATTTCGGCAATCGCACAGAACCTCGACATTTCCGTCATCTCCGACGGTATTAAACCTAGACCTAGTTCCTTCGATAAGCAGTTATTACCAAGCAATTGCCCAGACCAAGGCACTTTATACGCTATGACATCTTTGCAAGCTCTATTATACGCGAAATACATCGAAGTGCGCAACGCATACCCGGATATCAATAGCCCGCCCTCTTTCCCTTGTTTATCGCTGTATCTGTGAAGGGAAGTTCGATTTTGCAGTCCCTAGAAGAACGGATTTGCAGACGACCATACGGACCAGCTACTCAATCCTCTCTCTAGGCTGAGCGTGTGGAGTTGTTGCTAGTACCCCATACGGACATTGCCCGCCGTGGCACATATGCATCTCCTATCATGCCGCGGCTAGCCTCTTTTTGCCGCCATCGTGAACGCGTCGCACTGAGAAATACGCAGATGCTGCAGTATAAGTCTTCCCATGTTCGTCCCGCTGCTACGACGTCGCCAACTCGTAATGAAGTCAGAATTAGAGGCGTCTGAACATGCGTTGACAGGTCTCACAATAAATACGTGCCAAGTCGGATAGTACTCAGTTGCTTGCTACCCTGTTGTCCATGACAGCTGACCCCTCGTTTGTTCTGTATCGGGAGTTATTTCACAACCCGCTAATTGCAGTTTTCGTCATCTTTTATCGGGTAAAATCACAACTCTACTCAAACCACAGAGTAAACATGACAGGGAAGTTTGTCATGTTTTCCGCCCCTCGTCAATTGACCCTGAACCCCTACCGTCCGTTGTCGGTTATCGACGCTAACCAAGCTGCAGCCAAGGCCAGTATGCCCGATTCCATTTCCATCGGACCAAGTAGTCACTAATTTGTAAATAGAGCGCTTTGGAGGCACAGGCACAGAAGTGTATATGCAAGGATTGGCCACATGCCTGGCCAAGGCCAGCCTTGGCTGCCTGCCGACTGCACGCCCCGACAGCCGAACTGCATGCGCGTTTTTCATCTCCGGTGATATGCGACTTGGGGTTTTTTTTCCGAAGAAGAGAGATGCAGTTTGACGAAATGTCCGAAATACGCAGGCCACATGACGTATCATGCCCACAACGGTCTGCTACGAACAATTTCACACCACTTGGGATGCCAAGTGCATCCGTAGGCGTACGGGCGTCGGCCTGCGTCATCTCTCAACCTCTCACATGATGCCGCGCCATCTGTCAAATCTCCAGGCAACGAGCTCCGTACACAATGCGTGGATGCTTTGCTCTGTCTTCCGAGACACAAAGCTTTTGCTTTGCGTACCGGCGCGGAGTTGCAGACGTGGTCACATCACTTGGCCAATCAAAGGCCGGGAGCACAACCAAGGAAGCCAGAATGGCAGTGTGTGACGGCCAATGTCGAGCAGCGCTACAGCCGATGGTTGTCGGTATCACTAGTTAGGGCTGCAGGGACAAGCTGCAGAGCGTTGGGATAAACCGCCTCCACCAATCGATTGACCACTCTCCACGAACTCGATCATCTCGAAGATGGCAATGTGACAGCCGCCAGGACGCTCCGACTAAGCATACTGCATCTTGAAGTGTTCGACAAACTTGGCCACGTTTCCGAAGATTTGCGCAGCGTCGCTGCTCACCGAGCCTGGTCGCTGAGGCGCAGGCTCTGTGCTACCAGCTCTGGCCAAACCGTTGCCTGGAAGCGGGTGGTGCCTCTCGCCCGTTTTTTCGGCTTCATTGCTAGGTCTCCAGCATTTATCGGAATCCCTCTTACCTACTATGGACTTACTAGCAACGCCTTTGAGCCCTGCGCGACCTTCCATTCATGACAAAGGCACCAAATTACTGCATGTCGCGCAGCTGGCTCAATGTGACCCGAGAGGGATGAATTATCGCATTTTTCTGGGATCTGGTGCGAAATTTTGCAATTGGAAAGATTATAGAGTGTACATCGAACTCAGGCGGTTCTGCGGCTAATCTATCCGTACCTGTCAACCGAATGCCCATCGCAGCACACCCTCCTGCCACCTGGAGAGCATGGCGAAGCCAACGTTTCGCGTGAAACCATCCCACAGACCTTGCAGACGTTGAAAAACCCCGAAATATCTCTGACAGTAAGCCATTTCTCTATCAGGACACACGTGGCATCGTACATACCCGGAATGGACCTGCAAGCTGTTGCATGTTTCCATCAGTAACTATCTAGATGGTTCAGACATCGCTTGGCTTAAAATTGCTATAGGATCCGTCACTGGAAGGAGTACATTATGTATTACCAGCCCATAATCGAGACAATCGGTCGGAATAGGCGCGCGAAAGGGCTGCCTCTAGGTCGGTATAAGTCAGCACTCAGATCGCCTCTTATATGCGCGGCTCCCCAAGTTCGGGCCTCCGGAGTGAGATTGAGACGCAACGTGAGAAACGGTCCCTCGCTATGATGCCCTTGTAGCGACCCCCGAAGCAGGCCCAGATAGGAGGGATTGCGTGTCGTCTGAGACTCTGTCTCGAGGCCGTGGTGGTGTGTGGTGGTGCGTGGCAGTGACTCCGATTATCCACTAATCAGGAAAACGTCGGGAAAGAGACGGTAAAGCATTTGAAGCGATCAGACACATGTCAGAGATGCATCCCTCAGATATACTCTTAGCTCATGTCATCTACACCGGTGATGGAGTTGCTAGGTTTGGTCCGGCGCCAAGAAGCCTGGTGATGGCTCGCTTGCATCCATGTTCCGCCGGTATGCGGCCGTTCAACTGACTCAGACGTTAATTTTCGGCCATTGGCGAAGCGCAAGCTGTCCATCTGTTGTACAGTTATTTGGTTCATTTCGTATTGGAAATTCATCGCAGGGCGACCAAGAAAGCCCTGCAGAACACCGGCTGAGATGTTACGCAAAGCTCCTCACAGCCTCAAAGTCGGTACACTCACACACACACTCTGTGCTGTTACCGTTCGACCAATAGCATTGTGTAGCCCATGTTATTCTGGGGTTATCACGTCGAGAAGCCTTTACTTGAATCTATATATTCCCAGCCTGCTTTCCAGACGTATTGCTGGATGTGAATACCGTTCGTGGCTGTGCCGTCTAGAGCTTCCAGATTGCAGCTACGACATTGACTTGAAACCTTTCAGCTCAACACTTGCCAACCCCGCTCTCACTACTTTGTTAATCACACGTCCATATGGCGAATACACCCATTTTTGGCGCTCCTGATGACTGGTCCATGTTGATGTCTAGTCATGACATTGCCCACCAGACGTTGCCAATTAATGATTATCGCGCTCTCTATGGCAGTTTTGAACAGCAAGACATGATTTGTTCGTATCTTGTTACCAACCACGACACCCATGTCAATAATGCGCATGTTGCCTCTTTTGGACATGAGTCTTGGCCCAACACCGATTTCATGGCCGAGGCTTCCCTGTCCTACAGTTGCCAGGCTGACCATGCAGAGACCAGTCTTTCTCATTCCTTTGGCGACAGCGGTATCACCTGCGCTCACTACGGTCCTCCCATGGACAATAACCCCAACTACCCAATTTCCATTTCCTTGACCCCAGCGGACGACGTGACGGACGTTAAGCACCACGACATTGCTCAGCCAGGGTACCAGTTCGCTCACAACTCGACTGCGAAGCTGGGTCTGGAGTACTTTGATTTGCCCCCCATGGTATCTGTGGCGGCCTGCCACAGTTACAATTCCGACGAGCACAATTTCTTTTCCTCCAATGCCGCCATGGATTGGAAGCACATCCGATCCCAGCATGTCAGACCACTTTTCTGCATCTTCCACTATGCCGGCTGTATGCTTCGCTTCGCGTCGAAAAATGAGTGGAAGCGCCACATTCTTTACCAACATCTCAATCTTCAGTACTGGGTCTGCACTGAAGGCACCTGTGGGCGAAAGGAGCGCTCACAAACCGAAACGTGTGCTCTTCCCATGCCAACTCGCGGCTCCATCTTTAATCGGAAGGATCTGTACACGCAGCATATCCGTCGCATGCATCTCGTGCATGGCGAAGCCGATACCAAAGCTCGCATGCGTCAGCTGCAGGTCAAGGCTGCACGCACGCGCTGCACTCTGCCAGACTTTATGCTCTGCCCTGTGCCCGAATGCCCGTCCAAGTTCGTCGACTCCAACGCCTGGGACAATTGGATGGAGCATGTCGCTGCTCATATGCAGCGCGGCGCTGCTGGTGAACATGTCCTTGTTGGGTTTGGCGGTCCTGAGAATTGGACCTTGACCAACTGGGCTGCAAGCGAGGCCGTCGCCATCACCCGCCAGACCTCGGCTGGTACTTGGACGCTGCGTAGGCCAATCCACGGAAGGGGAGCCTGCAAAATGGACGTCTGACAGAGCACAACGAAATGGTAGTGCATTAACTACAAGGTCATTGTACGGAGGATGCCTGCATACGTCATGATGAAGAGGATGGCTTTTCCTTTGTCCTTTGACACCGAATTTGCTTTTCTGAATTATATAATATTGATGCGCAGTAGCTTTCGCTCTTTCTCCAAGATTCGCTTCGCTTTCCTAAACAATGTCTCGCTTCCTGAATAAGTAAAACATTTATAACAAGCTATATTATACATTATACTGAGTGCAAAACACACTCTATACCCGTCATGTTGTGTCGTATGTCATATATTGTTCGAAAGCGTGCTTTAGTCAGGCGGTCGTGGCTGGGTGGCGAAATGTACAGCTGATGAACCCGGTAGTTGTTGCAAACAAATTTACCCGGCACACAGTCGCAGCCTTTTCCGAGCAGCGATGCAAGCCAGCCTCGCTCTTCGACGCGTTGTTGCTCTTTGGCCAGCCCGACGAAGAAAGCACTATCAAAGACGCCATCCGTGAATGGCATCGTCTGTAGAAGCTCAATGGCACGAGTCCGCACCTCCGGTATGCGGCAGATATGGCCAACCGCAACCATGGGTAGTCCAATGAGGGAGCGGAACTGGGATGACTGTGTCAGCGAAGGTGCAGAGCTGTCGAGGGCCTCGCGCTCCTGCAGGTTGAGAATGTAGCCGACAATGTCCACCATGTGCTCATAGTTGCCATTAAAGTTGTCACGGGCAATCTCGCCGATATCCGTATCCACCATGACCAAGGCTTCCAGTGTAAGATCCAACAGCCGCAGCACGAGTCGCCGCATGGACTCGGCTTTGTAATCTGCGTTGCTCGGCTCCGGCGGCTTCACTACATGTAGGAGGGCAATGTATTTTTTCTGCCATTTCAAAAAAGGATCTCGCAGCTCTCGACAACCGTGTACAATAAACTGCAGCTTGGTACTACCACAGGTGGGAAGCTCTGACCTGATGAGGGTTTTCCAGGCGACGTCAATGGCAAGCAACTCCAAGTATGCTTCCGTCATGTTGGAGAAGGCTGTATTGGGCGACACAACGGGGAAGCGACATCTGTGGGCCGCAGAATCGTTCATCTGAAAGGGTGCCAAGAAGGTGAGGACCTCGAGACGGCGAAATCGCAGCTGCATAGAGCCGATTGGGGTGATGCAGTTGGCTGGTCGACTGCACATGGCACCGCCTTGGCTATGATCCTGTGAGTACCAAAGATGGGAAAGAAAGAAGCCACTTCGGATATGTATAAGCGCCTCCGCAACGTCTCGGCGCAAGCTCGCGTAGTAAATGAGAATGATGCAGGTGAGAAGCACCATCTCCCAGTCAGCCGCCTTGGCCGTCGCTTGCTGTACTTGGCCGAGATGGCGTAATGACAAATTGCAATGCTTCAAAGCGTAATCATGCAGATTGCCTGCTCGAGCCATGTCCGAGTTAGAGTCTCTCTTGTTGCGCAGGCGCCAATATTGCAGGGTCGTCGCGGCCACCAGTGCGTGCCACACAGCAGGATAGACCTGGCCTGCCTGGGGGATCGCGACCGCCCAAAAGTCCGGGTCAAAGACATCGAGCAAGCCTGGAGTGACTTGGTCCCGGAAAAGAGAAAACATATACCGCTCGCTTCTCTGCGGCGCGTCAGAAAAGGGCGCAACGAAGCAGCCAGGCGCTCTGGGGAGGGACGGCAGGACGGTTCTGAAGGTCTCTACCTGCTGAGGGCCGTAACCTGTGCCGCTGCATCGATGACGTCCGAGGGTACACTTTGCGCAAGATGGTCTGGCTTCATCGCATTTGATGCGGCGCTGGCTGGGGGGGATTGTTCAGCATGTCGCCAGTCGCGTTATGCCTCTCACCCCCGCAGATAGGCAAAGGGCAGGCGTCGCGGGACAAGGCTCTCTCACCGGCAGACAAGGCAGCCCGTACGAACTCGAGGGGCCCATCTTCTCTTTCTTGATACAGTTTCGGCCGATTTTCCGAGGTCGGCAGGTACTAAAAGACTAGACATTATTACACAGATAGACTGGTGGGATCGTTGCTCTCGGAGAGCCATTTTCCAAGCACTGAACCAGGCTGTCTTTTCAGCTCTCTGAGATTCGCGGGCCGCTCGGCACATGCTACACATCACGTGAGAATATTGTATAGCACACAGGATGTATGCTGCTTTGATACCCAAACGTGCTGATCGAGAAGCAAGAGATAGATGGTGGTCGATATTTGTGACTCTATGGATATACTTGGCATAAAACGCTATTGACTCCCGATCTACTAGTGATTGGCCTATACTGGCATTTTGAGCGCTGATACGGACGTGAACTGGCAGAAAACAATCGTTTCATCCACATTTGTTACTGCTTCATACCTATTCTGTCTATTTTTACAAGTACTGCATCCCAAAGGCTGGCAACAGGCAATGCCGCTTTATTCCTCTGATCGCGGCGGCCATTTGACCCTCCTCTCGGCCCTTACATACAAATTATTCGGGCGAATGAGCTGAAAATACGGATCATACTCAATTGGTCCATCCTGCGCCAGCGTAAACTTGTAGCGGTACACCAGCTTGGGCAGAAAGACTTTAATCTCCTGCAGCGCAAAGTTGAAGCCGACGCACATGCGCGGCCCCTGCGCAAACGGCGTGTACGCGCCCTGCGGCCGGCCCTTGACCTTGTCCGTGTCCCAGCGGTCGGCGTCGAACCGGTTCGGGTTCTCCCAGAGCTTGTCGTTGTGGTGGATGTGGTGCAGAGCCGGGATGACGACGGCGCCCTTGGGCAGCCGGTAGCCGCCCGGCAGGATCATGTCCCGTTTGGCCGTGCGCGCCGGCTGGTACGACGGGTTGTGGCGCCGCTGCGTCTCCTTGATGAACTTGTCGAGGTAGCTGAGCTGGTTCGTCAGCTCGGCCGTCACCTGCGTGTCCGCGTCCCAGTCGTTGTCGACGAGCTCCTGCAGCAGCCGCTCTTGGGTGCCGGGGTACTGCACAAGGCTGTAGAGGAGCCACGAGAGCAGCGAGGACGTGGTGGTGAAGCCGGCGCCGGTCGCCACCACCAGAGCGGGTGCGAACTGCGCGGGCGGGAGCTTGTTTCCTTTGCTGTCCTTGGCGCGGAGGAAGTAATCTATCGACGTGGTTAGCACGGGTGCTCCATGATGGCCCACACAAGATTCACCCACCGACGACATTCTCGGCCTTGAGCGCGGCGTCCTGTAGTTCCAGATCCTCTTCACCCCTGGAGGCTTGCGCGATGGACTCGAGCATCATTTCCTCGATGCGCGCCTTTGTCTGTCGCAGCTTCTTGGGGTCGCCAAACGGCATGCTAGCATACCAGGCACCCATGGTCGAGATCTTCTTGTTCAGCTCCAGGTTGTGCGCAATCTGCAGCACCATTTCGTGCAGCGGCGCGTCCGGGCCGGTAAAGTGCTCAAAGTCGATGCCGAGCACCAGCTTGCCGACGGCCTGCGAGCCGAGCTTGAGCATGTACTGGTACACGTTCCACGCCTCTCCCTGCTGGTCCAGCGCGTCAAAGACGGCAAAGGCGTCCTCGACACTCTTCTGCATCGTCGGCGCGTAGTGGCGGACGGCCTTGGGGCCGAGCGCCGGCGGGAGGAACTTGTGCGCGAGCTTCCACTCCTCGGTCTCGGTGTCGCCGAGGAAGACGCCCGCCTCGCGCGACTTGATGGGGAACAGAGGGTGGCCGGGCACGATGCGCTTGGTGAAGAAGTCGCTCTCGCCAAAGAAGATGGTGGCGAGCTTGGGGTCGTTGGTCTGGTACACGCGGCTGCCCATGTTGCTGGTGGAGAAGAGAGGACCGAGTTTCTCGAAGAGCCGCTGGTGGTTTCCAAGATGGTCGGGGTAGATTTCTAGATAGTTTCCGAAATAGGGAATGCCGGCGGGCGAGGGCACCTCGCGCACAGCCTTACCGTCGATGGTGATGGCGACAGGGCCATCTTTGGAGACAATGTCGGCCACTGCGGTTAGTCTGCGCTGCTCGTGCAAAAATCCAACGCCTATGTTGATCAACAAAAGTATTCATTCGAGTTATTGGGAGCAGACGTACCCTTTGGGTCAACTATGCTATACTGTGCAGCAATGTGATGTTGAAGATCCTCCAGGTCTGAGGACTCTGGCAGCTCAATTTCGAGAGCAGTGGAAACATCCTCCCCAAGAAGGTAAAACTGTTTCGTGGACATGATGGAAAAAGACTGCGCCAGTTGCTCTAGTGTAGTCGCCGTTGGAATAAGAAAGTGGGTGATGGCTGGGTTAACCAGTGTCTCGAAAACGGCGGCCAAGGTACTAAATATCAATGACACGAAATCAAGTCTGGAGCCCAGCCGAGGTATCTTTGCCTATCTTTTAGAATCATTCTAGAAATGCCTCTTATGCGCCAATTTTATTTTGTTTTATTTTTGGCTAGAATCCCTGTCGTCATCATCATGCTGGCAAACATGATGGCGTCCGAAATCGCCTCCGGAGATCTACGAAGTAATTAGTTCGTTTTTAGCACCGGTTCGGGTCGGGCGCCATTTTACGCCACAGAATTCAGGGCAGCGCTGACATTGGCGTGGTGCTTATTCGCCGGGAACACCGGATGCCTTGGAAGCAGAGCTGGAAAACGCCGGAGCGGAAGGAACGGGAATTAACGCCTACACCAATGAATGACGACTCTGTGGGCACCTTTCCCAGAAGCCGAGATCTGAATCCTTAGTTACCCATCCCACGTCTGCATGCAGTCCGAAGTGCCTAGGCAAGTTCCGCTATTTAGTCCGTTGTCCGCGGACTTGTCCCTGGCCGGTGCAGGGATAGGAGATAACAATGGAGAAAATCGAGAACCATGTTGAAACTGCTGCAGGGTCACGTCAATGACCGTCTAGCGGAAAAGAATGGAAAGGAAAAAATGTTGTATAATGGCAGCTGGGTAGTAGCTCATAAAAGTCGGCGGCCGCAGGCACTCGTCATTCTACTGTCTAGTATAGTCATTTGTACATAATTTACAGTGACTTTCTCGTTCACCCCAAAACATCGCATATTTCATCCTACCTCGATCCAATACTACTACCCTTAGATGAGCACAATGGACTACGACTCAAGACAAGTAGCCGAGCACAAGGTGGCAACAGATGCCTGGATGACAATCAACGGCAAAGGTACCCCTCGAACTATTCTTGGCCGTCGTATCGAGGAAACGACTAACAGATCTTACCAGTCTATGATGTGACAAAATATTTGCAAGACCACCCAGGTGGTGCGGAAGTGCTAGCAGAGGCCGCTGGCACAGACGCCACAGAAGCCTTTGACAACGCCGGCCACTCCGAGGACGCCCTGGACATCATGGACACGTTCCAAATCGGCAGCCTCAAGGGTTACAAGAAGAAGCCCCAACGCAAGGCCGTGAACGTGACACCCGTCTCAGCGCCCGAGAAGCCAGCGTCAAGCAACACGCGGGCGCTCCTGTCCAAGCTCGGCAGCGTCGGCCTCTTCTCCGTCGCAGTCACGGGCGTATACCTCGGCGCGCGCTATTACGGCCCCGCGACGCCGACCTGGGTGCTGTCCGTCCTCAACAACGAGACGCCCGGCCGGCACGGCTTCGGCTTCACCAAGGGCCTGCTCGCGGGCGCGGGCCTCTTCGCCGTCGTCGACGCCGTTCTCGCGCAGCAGTTTACGCGCCTCGCGCAGCAGAGCGCGTCCTTTACCAGCTACCCGGCGCACATGAAGGTGCCGGCGCCGGTGCAGCAGGACACGCTGCTGCAGCGGGGGCTGCTGGACCCGGCGACGTACGCGCCGCTGCCGCTGCGGGCCAAGACGCAGGTGGCGCCCAACGTGTACCGGTTCACGTTTGCGCTGCCGGCGACGGACACGGTGCTCGGGCTGCCAATCGGGCAGCACGTGGCCATCAAGGCCGACGTGGACGGCGAGAGCGTCGCACGCTCGTACACGCCCGTGTCCAACAACGCGGACCGCGGCGTGCTCGAGCTCGTCGTCAAGGCGTACCCCGACGGCAAGCTGACGAGCGGCTACCTGGCGCGCCTCGCCGTCGGCGACGAGGTGCTGTTCCGCGGGCCCAAGGGCGCGATGCGCTACGCGCCGGGGCTCGCGCGCCGCGTCGGCATGGTCGCTGGCGGCACCGGCATCACACCTATGTTCCAGCTCATCCGCGCCATCTGCGAGCACGACCGCGACCTCACCACCGTCAGCCTCATCTACGCCAACCGCACCGAGCAGGACATCCTGCTGCGCGACGAGCTGGACGCCTTCGCGCGCAGGTACCCGAAGCAGTTTTCCGTCTACTACCTGCTCGACCAGCCGCCAGAGGGCTGGGCGTACGGCACAGGGTACTGCACGCAGGAGCTCATCGAGGAGAAGCTGCCGCGACCGAGCGCGGACACCAAGATGATGCTGTGCGGGCCGCCGGGCATGGTCACCGCGGCCAAGAATGACATGGTCAATCTGGGGTTTGAGAAGCCGGGGGCCATGGCGAAAATGACGGACCAGATTTTCCTTTTTTAATTTTTGTAGGGAGTACCAATAAGTGTTGAAATGAAGCCATAGGCTCTTGCCGGCTCTGATGGTGCCCCTACATCGTTCATGCCCACCATTCGAGCTAGTTCTACTACTAAGCGTGAAATGAAAAGGTCGAAAGAGCTTAAAGCATGGCCTTAGACACGGGGCCAGAGTACTCGTCGGTGCTGAGGGAGCGGAGGCTGGTCAGATGTTCTCTCTGCCTTGTTCGCCTGTCTTCGTCATGTAGCGATGGCAGAGCATCACGGACTAGCAGGTGCAACACCAGCCGTGAAAAACAAACATAAGTGGGTATGCGCTGCATATGAATGCGAAAGTAATGAGCGTACACGGAATATGAGAGTTGCATTCAGAGCTGGATAGCTGGAGAGGTGCGAATGTTTGCTCTATCTAATAGTTATTGTCAACAGTCACTTCTTCGCACTCGTGGCTCCAGATCCTGTCTCCCCCTGGTCTTCTCTCTCAATAGCATCTTCGAGAAGGGGGGCTACTTCGTTTGGTAGGCGGTCATTCAAACTTTTCCAGACTTCTTTCCAGTCTATCTCGATAGCTATACCTGCAACTTCGTATTTATGATCAAGGATAGTGCACTGTCCATGCAAACCCTTTGCTTGCTTGAACAGCTCTTTGTATTTCTTTCTCAACGGGTCGTCGTTTTTCAAGTCCAAATTTTCGGAAATAACATTCAGATCCACGATGTACGATTGGCGAAGCTGAAGTGCGACATCGTCCGCTGGCGTAACAAAAGTCTGGCAGAAACTCATCAACGGCATGGCATGATGATGCCAGGCGCGGCATCGGACTTACTGCCTCTGTAAATTTGTTTGCAATGATACGGTGCGAGATCTTTGCTATCTGTTTGAGGGCTTTATCAAGCCTACTGACGCTGTTTGCCATCTCGATGCTCGTGGATTCGATCAAATAAATGACAATTGTTGTACGAGGAGAAAGGAGAAAGTCAGAAACTCGATTCGGGGGCAGCAGTTGAGTCACAAAAAGAGGGGTGAGGTGTCCGTATGTATACTTTGAAGGTAATACCTGTTGGGCAGCAATAGTGGGTTAAAGCAGAAGGCTGCATTTGGTCCTGTGCGCAAGTTCTGGGCCTTGCGCCAGCTCCAAGTGTTAAGCCCAGAGGTATTATAACGTATCTAGAAAAAAAAATCACCTACATGCATAGAATCAGAATTCGAAAAACATTAAAAAGATTTCTTCAAAAAAAAAAAAAAAAGACTTTATCCTAAAGATGTCTCTTTGCTTAGCTGTCATGTGATTTAGGACATCTATGAAAGGGGAGGTGGGTCGCCTCTCCTAATAATAAAGGAAAGGGTTATAGCTATGATGAAATCCTTGCAAAGGCATCACACTTCTAAAACTATAATGGGCAACGCACCGAGAAGTTACGGACGGCTATTCCCATTCTCCAAGATGACAGCAATTGCTTCGAACAAGAAAATTTGCTATCACGCGGGTTTACGAGCGGCTCCACCCGTCATGTCCCTCAGCGATATCGCTGGACGCTGTTCGACAATTCTGAGCAAACCTGAACTATCGCCTGTCGCCTGGGTAGGCGTTTTCGGCTCCTTCGCTAGAGATCAGCAGCGCGCAGAGAGCGACGTCGATCTGCTTGTTGGGTATAGGAAAGAAGCTACAAGCGACGAAATTTACTATATCGGGGATATTAGTGAGGAAATCGGGGATGCTCTGGGAAGAGAAGTGGATGTACTCTATATGCGGGATGGACAGAAGTTGGATCTTATACGATGCCAAGCTCTCCTGATAGGGAAAACGATATATGGCTCCGAGACGTGGATGCTGGACAACCAATTCCGGGCAGCGGCCCTTGTTCAGGACACCCACAGAAGACTGAGTACTGCTCTGCATTTAGGGACATGTTTGCGGAACAAGCTGGCAGATCTCAGCGAGGAAGTGAGTGTCGCAGCCGAGCAAGTCGACTACGCTAACCACAATAACATAGAGGTTTACTGGTGACGATTTACTGCTTAAGGAAGTGGCGAGCGATCTAGAGGAACTCGTGTTGGCCTTGGGCAACGATCTCGAAGAAGCAAAAGCGATAAATGCTTATTTCTGGCCCATATTCGAACCGCTGTTAGAAGTACAGCAACTCGCCGCTCGGCATAAACTAGGGGGGTTCGAAAAGACCAGCGCTGCGGATAAACAGCGTCTTTGGCAGACTCTTTCAAAAGTATTGCCAAATCGTACATCTGCATTGAGGTCCATATATATGCCAGTGTTGGAAGAAGTGCTGAACACCATAAACTTTGGGCGGAAATCATCAACAGGTGACAAATAGCACCCTCATGGCCGAGTAGGTCACTTACCCTACATTTGTTATGTTGCAGGTGAAACGACTAGTTAGGATGTACCATGAGGAGCTAAATATCTCTAAAAATCTTTGAATTTAAAAGTTAGGCAGCTACAAACCAACTAAATGCCTTCCACCGCTGGAGAAATAGGCTGATGGCTCATATCGTCTGTATACCCTGTGGAGGGATTTCATTGGCGGTCGCTGGCTGACCAGGAGACGGCGACTTGCCGCGTCATAATTTCGTATATGGCTTTTTTGCGAAAACTTTTAACTCTCCTTTTATCCATTAAACAATCACTTCATCCAAGTCGCGCTCGACCTTGTACCCTTGTGCCGTCAGACGTCCGCCAGTGGCTACGCTATAGACGGAAACTGCATCTCACCTAGATGGGTTTGTATGCAAGATCAAGTATTAAAATACTAGTAACAAGAGAAATTTCTCTCCACTTCTGAAGGCAAACCTAAGTAAACGACACAGTCAAGCAAGTCCAGTCTTTATTTACGCATCCAAATCTCCCCAATTGGATCGCCCGGCTCAGCAACACACTGCCACTCGCCCATGCCATACTCCTTTGGCGCCCTCCTCTTCCCGCGACCTCCTCCGCCGACGATGAGGTTCCCCGGCCGGTACCCCTCGTCCGTCTGCATGCGGCGCAGCACGCTCCCGTGCACGCGCACGCCGTCCGGCACGTCCCGGACCTCGCCCCGCGGCAGCGGCCACCGGATCGGCCGCCAGGAGCCGTCGCGCTGCAGGTCCATGCGCCGAAACGGCAGCCACTCCATCATCTTCCACGCCGTGACGGCCACGTGGCCCAGGCCGCCGCCGTACACGAGCGAGTCGTGCAGGCTCGACGTGTGCGACATGTGCAGCGACTCGGTGAAGACGGACGAGTACTGCGACTGGAACGACGACTGCGTCGGCTCCGGCACGCCCGCCGCCTCGGGCGGCGGCTGCACCGTGACGAGCACCGGCGCCTCGGTGCAGCCCATGGTCGTGGCTCGGTGCATGTCGAACTCGAGGCCCGCGTTCATGGCTTCCCGCACGATCCAGGTCAGAGGCACGTGGCTTGCGCTCCGGCGGTCGTCTGGCACCGGCCACCCACCGCCGATATCCCCGTGACCGCCCGCGAACCAGACCTCGTCAATGTCCTGGCCGACGTCTTCCTCGAATTCAGGCTTCTGCGGGCCCTTGCCGGGACAGACATGCTCGTGCCCGTTGCGGTGCTTCGACTTGAACGAGTGCGCGCGAGGCGCCATCCTGTACGGCACGTGGTTGCGCGACTTGCTGCGTCGTGGCTCTCGCCGAGTACCGTTCTCTGGGGACAGCAGATTCCTGCCTGTCCGCTCCGACGGAGGCTCGAGACTTTGCGCATTCGCCACGCTGTGAGGACTGTCGGCGGCATCACCGGCGTCGCCGGGTCCATCGCCGCCGAGGTACGCCTCGAAGCTCCGTCGCACGGGCTCCAGCAACTCGGAAAAATGGTGATGGTGCGGGCGTTTGTGGTCGTGCGTCTTCTGGTACAGCAAATCCTGGCGGAACTTGGCCCGGCGCTCGTCAATGCTCACGGCGTGGCGGATGACCTCGGCGCTCGTGCGGGCCGTGTAGGGAAACTTGGCGCGTTGCATCCAGGCGCTCTCGAACCGGGACACGGAGTTGACCGTGTCGAAGAGGCCCAGGAAGCGGATGCGTCCGACGGGTCGTGAAAAAGTCTCCCGGAAATCCTTCATGAAGGTGTACATTTTGTCGACCTTGTCCTCGCCCTCGCCTGCCTCGGACTCCTCGTCGTCTGGGTTCTCGTCGCCGCGAGACTTGCGGCGGCATTGCCACTGCGAGAAGGCGCGCCAGGCAAACTTGATCATCTCCTCGTTGCCGTGGGACAGGAGCCCGATGTAGTCGAGCATCTCGGCCAGGAAGCGGGCAATGTAGGCGCCACGGCTGAAGCCAAACATGTAGATTTGGTCGCCGTTCTTGTAGTAGCGCATCAGGAAGCGGTAGCCGGACACCACATGCTGGTCAAAGCTGGACCCAATGGCAGAGTCCTTTGCCTTTTGGTAGTGCTCGCTGATTTTGGACACGATGCCCGACTGGCTCAGTGCCTCGGAGGTGACATAGGTTCCGATCCCGGCTGTCCTTGGTCGTTAGAATCACCATGTGCAGTAGAAGAGACCATCGCACTTACGCTGGTAGTAGTGATACTGGTTCTCGGAGCTGCGATCGAGCATTCGAAAAATCTTCAGAATGTTGCTGTCACTGTCGTCGCCGTGGAATTTATTTCCAGTTCCGTCAAAGCAAAGAACCAATTTGCGCTGACCAGGGGCCGGCGCCTGCACGGGAGGATTCATTTTGAGAATGATTATTTCCAAACTATCACGATGGCTTCTTGAAGCGGGATAGCGTTTGAAGTCGACGTACGAGCTCGCGTGCTAATCATCTGTCAATACATACTTGTTCTTGTTGGACACGGCAACGGTCTCGGCAATTCAGATTGCTGTTTGAGACATGGCTTCCAGCTCAGAGCGGGGTAATAGAGCAAGTGTACTGGTACGTGAAGCTGTACTGGTACTATCCGTGTGCTCGTTGCATATATTGAATGGTTCAGGAATGTTTACGCCGACGGTTGGAGGGGGCCGCGCCGCCGGGGCCGATCCGCGACCCTTGTCTATACCCTGTCTCGGCTCAGCCAGCCACCGACTGCAGAGTAATGAAATACGGATAGTCGGACGACGGCCCAAAAGTGCGAAGCCAAAATTGTGAAGTAACCGTACCATTGCTTTTATTTCGGGCATTAAGATTCTGTTGCTGTCATGGGCACCAGACATGAAGCGTCGGGCTTGCCGTATTTGGGCTCGATGAGACGGCTTGGCGACGATGCACTGCTGGCCTACCTGCTGCTGAACAAAGTACACACGTCTTCAAATTACAACATTTTGATTCGCAACGAATGGCTCGACAATCGCCCGGTCAAAAGAGGGGCTAGAACTAGACCTTGGCAGCTCATGCAGGTCTCGGAAGTGGTGCACAGCTGAATCTCTGCAGGTGGGTACGCAACATGCGCCGTGATGCGGTTTATGTCGGCATCGAACAAAATGACAGCTGAAAAGGTGATGACCTTGCAAAATGACCAATAGAAACTCATGTATATAAAACTGTCTAAAACAACGGCCCGTCCCGGACCCCATATGGAGCGGATCGTGCATGTATCGGTACATGGCAGCATATACGCTGCTGACAGAGTGAAAGACGCGTCTACGAAAACATATAGGCCGAATTACATTCGGATTTAGCCGGTACTGCTCTCTTTTCCAAGCTTCAACCCTCGATTCCTGTCTCGTCAAGAATCAGTGTAGAGATGTCGTCCCAGAAGAATCTGCTCCCACCTGCGGATGTGTCTACCGCCGTGGATGGTGCCAGCGGCCATGCCACCAATGGACACTCCATCGGGCCAAAAAACCGGCGCCAGCAGCCATTGCCAAAGTATCCCAAGCCTTCCAAACCAGACACGCGGGCCAACCAGTCGCATCTTACAGCATGGTTGAAGCTCAGAGCCGCATCGCGCCGACCGCTTCCGACCGAGATGGGAGATGGCACCTATCGATTGGTCAAGAGTCGCCCGACCCTTCTCCAAGACCTCAGGAGTATGACGTATGCCGGTACGCGCTTTTCCAACGCCTGAAGTGAGCGCGCCGCACTGACACGGTCTAGATTTCAAGACGATCAAAGATATCGTCAAGGCCAAGTTGAAGCGGGAGACGCAGACGGATGATAAAACGATGCTGATGGAGCGAACAATCCAGCTCGTTGCTGGGCTTCCCGACTTCTCCAGGCGCCAGGAGATTTTGACAAACGACTTCATTGACAAGCTGTGGTATTCGCTGGAGCATCCCCCGCTGCTTTACATGGGGGACCAGTATCGTTTCCGCCAAGCTGATGGATCCCACAATGTATGTTCTGCGAGGGGCTCGTGTGTCCAAAGCTGAAGTGCAGGCTGACATATTATCCAATCGCAGAACCCAATCATGCCTCGTCTTGGAGCAGCTGGCACTGCCTACTCGAGGAGCTGCAAGCCACGAGGAATGGGCCTCGGTGCCCTTCCGCCACCCGAGACCATCTTTGAGTCCATCATGGCGCGAGATGAATTTCAGAAAAATCCAAACAATGTGTCCAGTATCCTTTGGTACTGGGCCACAATCATTATTCACGGTAAGAGAAATTGTTCGCTGTCGGCAATGATCGTATTCTGATGGCCCGCAAGACTTGTTCAACTCTGATCCCGCGGATGGCAACATCAACAACAATTCGTCGTATTTGGACCTGTCCCCGCTGTACGGAAACAGCCAAGAGCAGCAAGACTCTATCCGAACCTTTGAGGATGGAAAGCTCAAGCCCGATGCATTCGCGGACAAGCGCATGTTGGGAAACCCACCCGGCGTCTGCATTATTCTTGTCATGTTTAACCGATTCCACAACTACATTGCGGAAAACTTGGCTGCCATCAACGAGGCCAATAGATTCCCGCAGCCATCTCCGGATTTGAGTCCAGAGAAGGCGCATGAGGCGTGGAAGAAGTACGACGAGGAGTTGTTCCAGACGGCGCGCCTAGTGACGTCTGGCCTGTACATCAACATCACCCTCATTGACTACGTTCGAAACATTGTCAACCTGAATCGAGCCGACACTACATGGACGCTTGATCCCCGACAAGAGATGGGCGTGGCCGTGGGCACCAAAGAGGGCTCGCAGAGCGGCGTCGGAAACGCAGTCTCGGCCGAGTTCAACCTCTGCTACCGATGGCACTCGTGCATCTCTAAGCGAGACGAGGTCTGGATGCAAGAGTTCTTCTCCGACCTGCTCGGCGGCGGCGACCAGGAGCTCGACTTGGCCGCCTTGCGGCGGGCTATGGAAGCGCTTGAGAAGAAGCTCCCGCAAGACCCGGGCCAGTGCTGCTTTGGCGGCTTCACGCGCGGCGCCGACGGACGCTTCGACGACGACGATCTGATGGGGGCGCTGACGCTGGCCATTGAAGAGCCTGGCGGCGCCTTTGGCGCGCGCAACGTGCCGCGCATCATGAAGCCGATTGAGGCGCTCGGCATCATCCGCGGGCGCAAGTGGCACGTGGCCAGCCTCAACGAGTTCCGCAAGCAGTTCGGCATGAAGGCGTACGACACGTTCGAGGAGATCAACTCGGACCCGTACGTCGCCGACCAGCTGCGCCACCTGTACCAGCACCCGGACAACGTGGAGCTGTACCCGGGCATCGTCGCTGAGGAGGCCAAGCAGCCCATGGCGCCGGGCGTCGGCATCGCGCCCACGTTCACCATCTCGCGCGTCGTGCTCTCCGACGCCGTGGCCCTCGTGCGCGGCGACCGCCACTACACGACCGACTACCACACCGGCACCCTCACCAACTGGGGCTTCAACGAGGCCAACTACGACCTCGGCGTCAACCACGGCTGCGTCTTCTACAAGCTCTTCATCCGCGCCTTTCCCAGCCACTTTCGCCAAAACTCCGTCTACGCCCACTACCCCATGGCCACGCCGGCCGAGAACCGCAAGATCCTCGCCAACATGGGCCGCGCCGCCTGGTTCGACTTTGACCGCCCGGCGCGCGTCCCGGCCAAGGTCGACATTGTCTCGCACCGCGCCTTCCAGCACGTCCTCGGCAACGAGACCACGTACCACCCGGCCTGGGAGCAAGGCCTCGGCTATCTCATGAACGAGCGCAGCCTGCGCGCCCTGCTGGCCTCGGGCCCGGACCTGCACGCCATCCAGCGCGCGTCTGTCGGCACCGCGCTGTTTGGCGAGCCCTGGAAGGCCGCCGTCAAGGCGTTCTACACGCAGACGACGGACAGGCTGCTGGCGCAGAAGTCGTACCGGCTCGCGGGGCAGCCGCAGATTGACATTGTGCGCGACGTCGGCAACCTGGTGCACACGCACTTTGTCGCGCGCGTCTTCAACCTGCCGATCAAGACCGCAGAGCATCCTACGGGCGTATTTTCCGAGCAGGAGCTGTTCCAGTTCCTGACCATGATTTACATTTGCATCTTCCTCGACTACGACCCCGTCAAGTCGTTCCCGCTGCGGCGCGCGGCCAAGGCTGCCTCGGCGCAGCTCGGCGCGCTCATCGAGGCCAACGTCAAGCTGGGCCTCGTGTTCGGCATCAAGGGCCTGTACGTCCAGTCGCTGAAGAAGGACGTGCTGGCGCGCTACGGCCACCAGCTTGTCAGGGCGCTGGCCAAGACGGGCCTCAACGCTCATGAGATTGCATGGAGTCAGATCCTCCCGACAGCTGGCGCGATGGTGCCGAACCAGGCGCAGATGGTGAGTCTCGCCCTCCTCCCGGGTGACGGAAGCGGCGACACAGGTGGCTAACAAACAGGGAAATAGTTCGCACAATCGGTCGACTGGTACCTCTCTGCCGAGGGCGCGCCGTACCGCGACGAGCTGGAGCGCATCGCGGCCGAGGAGAGCAGCGACGCGGGCGACGCGCTGCTTCTCGGCTACGCCATGGAAGGCGTGCGCATGGCCGGCACGTTCAGCCTGTACCGCACGGTAGCTGCGCCGGACACCATCACCGACGACCAGGACAGCCCGGTGCCGGTGCAGCACGGCGACACCGTCTTCGTCTCGGTGACGCCGGCGACCAGGGACAGCGGACTACCTCACCCAGACAAGGTCGATCCTCGACGGCCGCTGGACGCGTACGTGCAGCACGGGCTGGGCCCTGAGCTCTGCCTGGGGCGCGAGGTCGCGCAGACGGCCCTCGTGGCGCTGTTCCGGGCGCTGTTCCGCAAGAAGAATCTGCGACGTGTGCCGGGCCTGCAGGGCGAGCTGAAGCGCCTGGTCAAGCCAGATGGCAGCCACGGGTTCATGACGGAGGATTGGGGCACCGTGTGGCCGTTCCCGACGAGCATGAAGCTGATGTGGGATGATGAGTAGATGCGGGTTGTCATTTTTTCGTTTGAGTCAGCTTGAGAAATTTATTAATATTAAAGAGAACACGTGGTGCTCAGTGTATGGGAGACCGGTCCAGGCTAGCGAGGGCCCGTAGGCAACAGCGAAGTCATCATCGAGTAAAGTTTGCTAGTGGTCGAACAAGCGAAAAAAAAATAATGCAGATGCCTTGTACTTGTCTGCCGCCAGAGGCGAAAAAGAAAGCCACTAGTCAGATAGACGTGAAGGTGGTACAAAGCTTTATTACAGAGGTTTATTTCTGGGGATGACAGGCATGAAAAGAATGGGAGGGTAAGAAGTAAAACGAGAAGGAGAAAGAAGGAGATTATTACCAAGATAAAACATGCTTCAAAAAAATATTTCGAATAAATAAAATGACAGTATTCATGCTACAGATTGTACTTGTGCCGCGTCAACAGCGCTTTTCAAGTCATGGTCGCAGCTAGTACACGACGGGCGTACGACTAAGTTGGAGAAACAATCCCTTTGAAAAGCTTAACACAATATATTACAGATGGCCGAGCTTGGGAATTTAATTTCCTTTGATGTGAAAAGGCTAAATGATATTATATTTTTATGGATGTGAAAAGGGATAATATTCCCGTTGAAAAGGCTAATACTTCTCCAATAGATATGAAAAAAATAAAAATATTCCAATGGATGTGAAAAGGCTAAATAATATTCCAAGGTCAGAATATATAATAATCTCGCCGCCCTTGCCTCTCCTATAAGATGTCCCTCCCTCCCTCACGAACCAACAACTTAACCAACCAGCCAACCAACCTCAAACTACCAACCTATCAACCAACCTACTATCCAACCAACCAACCAACCTACTATCTAACCAACTATCCAACCTACTATCCAACCAACTATCCAACTATCCAACGAACCTACCGACCAACCTACCAACACCAACCTACCAACCTACCAACCTACCAACACCAACCTACCAACACCAACTCAATACAATCAATTACATAACAACTCGACACAATGGTGCTAATCATCAAGGTCGCTGTGACGATTAGCTGCATTTTGCAAGGCTATGTGTTCTCCTCTAAAGGACCTTATTGCAGTACTGAAGTGGCTCCCTGTGACGCGAAACTTGGCAATTGCAATGTTCAAGTGCCTCCCTGTGACGCGAAAGACGGCAATTGCAATGTCCAAGTGCCTCCCTGTGACGCGAAAGACGGCAATTGCGAAAAGAAAGCCTCTCCCTGCCCCACGAAAGACGACAATCGCGAAGATACAGCCTCTCCTTGCTCCAAGAAAAAGGGCAAATGCCGTGGTAAAGCGTCTCCCTGCTCCACGAAAGATGGCAACTGCGATGATGAAGTGTCTCCCGAAGATCAAGTGCCTCCCGACAATCGAGTGCCTCCCGACGATCAAGTGCCTCCCGACGATCAACTGTCTTCCAATGATCAAGGCTCCTCGAAAGGTCCTGAATGCGGCATATTCAGTTTCTGCTCCTCGAGAGTCGGTACTTGCCGCCCCCGCAGTGGTGGTGAGACAAACAGCCGGGTCATTCTGCCATCCAAAGATCCATGGTACCGAGGAGTAGAGTCAATCGACCAAATGGATTCGGGCCAGGTGATCAGAGTCCGACCGTCGCCCGGCAATCTGACGTCGAAGCTCAAGAATCTCAAAACGTCGGAACAGATCCTCTTCAGCAGCAGCGACTCGGACGACAAGTCCATCTGGGGCGTGACGACGGTCTTCGTGCCCAAGTGGATCAACGTAACCATGCCCGCCACCGTGTCCTTTCAGATGACGTCGCTCTCGGCCAACATTGACGAAAGCCCGAGCTACCTGCTGGCGTCGAAGCAGGCCGACGTGCGGTGGGACGTCCTGGACCGGATGCTGGGGCTGGGCTGGCACGTTCTCGTGCCCGACCACGGCGGCCCGCTCGCGAGCTACAGCGCCGGCAAGAAGGCCGGTCAGCTGGTGCTCGACTCCATGCAGGCCTTTTTCGACCTCGCGGGCGGCCGCTACGGGCTCAAGGCCAACTCGGTCAAGTTCGCGGCCTGGGGCTACTCGGACGGCGCCGCCGCGACGGCGTGGGCGTTTATTCGCAAGACCAAGCACGCGCCGTGGCTGCAGGGCCGGCTCCGGACGTACGCCATGGGCGGGCTGCCGGTGAACCCGCTGCGCATGCTGCTGGCCCTGGACCAAACCGAGGACACGGTCAAGGTCATCACTGGCCTCTCGGGCCTGATGACGGACTATCCCGAGTACAACGGGACGATGCAGCGGCTGGTGCACGCCGAGGGCGCGTTCAACATCTCGGCGTTTGACAGGATCAAGACGCTGAAGCTGGAAGATGCCTATACCGAGTACGCGAACCAAAACCTGTCGGAGTACTTTGTCGGCGGCCTGGCGCAGGCGGTCAAGGATCTGGACAAGATGCCTGAGAACACCAACATCTTCCGCAAGGTGAAGCAGAATTCTGACGTGGGCGAGGATGTGGTGCAGCTCCAGGAGGGCATCATGGTCTACCATGCCATCAACGACCAGCTTGCCGCGATTGCCGACGTCGACCGGCTCGTCAAGAAGTTCTGGTGCATCAAGCGGCAGTACGTGTACTATCGCCGGAACCGCGAGGGCGGGCACTGCGAGAACGGGCACGCAAGCCTCGACGCCGTGCTGGAGTTTATTTCACTTGACTTTCACAGACATTACTGGTGGTACGTCATAGGCAGACCTTCTAGCCTTTGCGATATTATCGACGTGTCGGCCACGCCCTCCATGGAGGATATGACGGAGTACCTGGACTAGTAGGGTGTAACGGAGGCTTGTATTGATGGAGACGGGGGGTGGTGAGAGTTGCAAGTGTGGTTTCTCCTGGGCGTTGTTCTTAATTTTTTTTTTTTTTTTTTTTTTGCTTTTTCTCGTGTATTTTTTTTGTTCTATTCTACATCTTAAATCCTTTCAATCTTAGTATTTTTAGCCCCCTCTTTCTTCCATACGCTTTCTGTGTCGGATGTTCGTACTCTATACCCTGTAGCTCTTCACCCGCCACTCTTAACATTATTATTTATCGTTCGGTTCTCAGCTGGTCCATCGACTGCCTTGTTGGGATATATCGCCGGGTGGCCTTTATGGGCCTTGGCTCGTAATTAATTGCCCATGTGTGGAGACGCGGAACTCATCGTATGGACGTCACAAGCTCTCGGAATGTTTCTCAGCACAGACATTTCGGCGCTTTGGTTTCCCATGGATGATAATACCATGGCGAGTATGATCGGCTGCCTATCCACCTCACCGGAATCCAATCTCACGTCACCGGCGACATCTTCATTCCATCGTCGAGTCCTCACCACGGTCGCAGCCACATCTCCCCAAGACTCGACAATATATATTCGTAGCCAACCCCAAACGACCCCCACCAGGTGGCGCCGACCCTAAGCCGTTTCGCAATCACAAGCGCGTATGTTGAGACTGGTGAGGCCGTTGATCTACCCCGTCTGCACGAGTCGTGAGGTCTTCTCGCCTTGCTACTCCGGAGCCTCGGGTAGACGTCCCTCCGCGTTTTTTCTCATTTTTTCTTTTCTCATTTTGCGCCGACGTCCAATGGCCATAACTAGAGACATTTGCCCATTTATCCTGTGGTCGCCATTTCCAATTCCTCTCAAAGCGCCACCGTCAACGTTACCCTAGCCTGCAGCATGCGACCGAGCGTGGCGCTCCCCTGTTTACAGGTTGAAAAAATCCCAACGACGTCACGACGGCAGTTTCCGCGCTGGTGTTTATATACCCTTCGCGCCGCATCTGCCCCCGCGCCATCTGAATTATCGACCGTGCAACTATCCGTGTGCGATGAAGATTCTCTCCCTCTTGGCGGCGACAGCGGTCGTGCCCGGGGTGCTAGCGGCGCAAACCCCAGCACCCGGTGGCTTGGCAGAAGCTCTCGGAGAATTTCCCACATGCTCGGTACGTGGACTTGCCACTGGCCTCGGCCGGATTCAATTGTTGCTAAAAGAAATCATGACCTCTAGCTGCCGTGTCTGGCCGAATCCTTGAACAAGACAAGGTGCGACTCGACCGACACTGCCTGTATCTGCGCCGATCAGCCACTGCAAGACGCCGTGGCGAGCTGCGTCCTACAAAAATGCAGCATCCCGGAAGCCCTGTGTAAGTCATCCAGAGAGAGCATGCTGCTAACCCCAAGAAACGCAAAATCTAACCGACATCGCCAGCCGTCAAAAACATCACGAACACAGTATGTGAGGTGCCGCCTCGCGACCGAAGCCGCAAGTACATCATCGTCTCGGATACTCTGGGCATCATCTCTGCCCTGTTCGTCATTCAGCGATTCACATACAAGCTTTGGGCGCGCCTCGACTACGGATGGGACGACTGGTTCTGCCTGGCCACCATTGTTAGCGGCGTGCCAGCCACCGTCTTCAACGCGCACTGGCTACCGCAAAACGGTATGGGCCGCGACGTGTGGACACTCGCGCCGGGCCAAATCACCAAGTTCGGCCTCGGCTTCTACGTCATCGAGGTGCTCTACTTCCAGCAGGTGGCCACGCTGAAACTGTCGCTGCTGTTGTTCTACGTCCGCATCTTCCCGAGCCGGCCCGTCCGCCGGCTGCTCTGGGGCACCGTCGGCTTTGTCGCCGCGTGGGGTGTCGCCTACGTGTTTCTCGGCCTCTTCCAGTGCACGCCGATCCGTTACTTCTGGACCAAATGGGACGGCACGCATTCGGGGCACTGCCTGGACATCAATGCGCTCGGCTGGTCCAATGCCGGCATCAGCATCGCGACGGATCTGTGGATGCTCGGCATTCCGCTGTGGCAGCTCCGGAGCCTGCAGCTGGACTGGAGACGCAAAGTCGGCGTCGCCATCATGTTTGTTGTGGGCACCTTGTAAGCTACTCCTCCTGGGGATGCGTCTGAAACCGTGGGGTTGCATGATAGACTAACAGCCGGACAGTGTGACCGTCATGAGCATCCTCCGCCTTCGCTCCCTCGTCACTTTTGGGGCGCAGTCCCAGAACCCGACATGGGAGTTCTTCGACGTGGCCCTGTGGTCCGACATTGAAATCAACGTCGGCCTGATGTGTATCTGCATGCCGTCGCTACGGCTGCTGCTGGTACGGCTGTTTCCCAAGGTGCTCGGGACCACACAGCGGTACTACGCGAAATACTCGCTTTCCGGCAACAAGTCGGCCCATGATCGTGAGCCGCCGAGGTTCGGCACCGTGTCGACGTCGAGGGCCGAGCAGGATGTCTTTCAGGGCCGCCACGAGCTGAATCAGATCTCGTACCAGAAAAGCTACGCGGTCAACTACGGCGAGCCAGATGATGTAGAGCTGGTAGCTGGTGCGGGTGAAATGGACAGGACAAGTGCGAAATCGCTTACATCAGTCTCTGCACGCGGAAGTTCCGACAAGGAACACCGTCCATAAGTAGTTATTCTGCTGCTCCACATGGCTATATCATGATCATAACGACGGCGGTTTTTTTTCAGCAAGTTCGAATGACATGATAATCTGTTGGTCTTGAAACCATTATATTTTAATTCTTATCTTCTTCCTCAGCTGCGGGATCGGCTGCGGGACCAGAAGACGGAGCAGGCGGCAGGGGCCTGGAATACACATGGAAGCATTTCCAAGACTATTCCCGGATGGCTTGCCATAAATCTATAATAACAGTGCGGTACCTGAGAGGCGAAAACGGCCGGCCGTGTTGCCTGTTTAGTTGCGACAACGGCACCGATCACGTGGACGCCTACAAGACCGCCGACACCGACGGCGCGGCTAGGCCAGCCCACCGCCCGAGCGCCCGTGTAAGTCAGCTGCCCGGCGTCTGGAGCAGCAGTAGAGTTTCGAACAAAGGGATGAAATGATAATGATTTGATTCGTAGCCATGTATATATCAACCTTTGTCTCTTGCACTGACAGGTGACTCTGCATCTTCTTCCCCATAACCCACACCCACACTCCTCCCATAACATACAAGCCACCACACATTGGCCTGCCTTGTTTATATCCCATCACTAGCCATGTCCCTCTTCAAAAGCTACCTGGGCCTTGGCCGCTCCAACTCTACATCACAGCCCAAAGAGAACGACAAGAACACAGTCCGCGCCCTACCAGCATCATGGTATACATCGCGCGACATGTACGAGCTGGAGCGGCGCGCCATCTTTTCCCGAAAATGGCTCCTCACCACGCACAAGCTCCGTCTCAAGAACTCGGGTGACTGGCTGCGGTACGAGATTGCCGGGTTCCAGTTCGTGCTGTGCCGGGACCGGACGGGCTCCATCAACGCCTTCCACAACGTGTGCCGGCACCGGGCGTTCCCCGTGGTGACCGAGGAGCAGGGCAACAACAAGGTGTTTTCGTGCAAGTACCACGGCTGGTCGTACGGCATGAACGGCAAGCTGGCCAAGGCGCCGGGCTACCAGGACATGGAGGATTTCGACAAGGCGCAGAACGGGCTGCTGCCGATCCACGTGCACATTGACCACAACGGCTTCATCTGGGTCAACATGGACGGCAAGCCGGAGCCCGAGATTGCGTGGGACGACGACTTTGGCGGCGTCGACACGCAGGAGCGGCTGCTCGAGTACAACTTTGACGACTACGAGTTTGACCACGCGTGGGAGATGGAGGGCGAGTACAACTGGAAGATCCTGGCCGACAACTACAACGAGTGCTACCACTGCAAGGTCGCGCACCCGGACATTCCGAGCATCGCCGATCTCGAGGCCTACAAGGTCGAGGTCAAGGACTCGTGCATCGAGCACTATGCCAACTCGACGCCCGAGCAGATTGCGCGCGGCTTCAAGGTGGCGCCGACGTACTTTTTCCCCAACGCGTCGATGAACGTGACGTGAGTTGTTCCCCTTGACACCAAACAAGACCTCAAACGTAACTGACCAACCAATCCACGCAGGCCAAACTTCTTCTTCACGCAGCGCTTCGTGCCCAGCGGCCCGACCCAGTCGGCGATGAAGTACGAGGTGTTCCGGCACAAAAACGCAGACGACGAGGCCTTTACCACCATCAACGACATGTACAAGCGCATCATGTCCGAGGACAAGTACCTGTGCATCAACGCGCAGAGGAACCTCAGCGCCGGCGTCTTTGTCAACGGCGAGATGCACCCGACCATGGAGAAGGGACCGCTCTTCTTCCAGCGCAAGATCCGCGAGACCGTCACCGAGCACCACGCCAAGGAGGTGCGCGCCGAGGCTGAGATTTGGCCGGCGCGGCAGACGCTGCCGTGTGGCGCCGGCGCCAGCAAGGACGTCGACTTTTGCGCAAAGGTCGACTGCCACAGCAAGACGGCCAACAAGCTGGCGGCGCAGCAGATGATTGAGGTGTAATGAGGATTTTTTTTTTGTTTTTGAAAATGACCATGATTTGATGAAACTGTACAGAGTATCTTCTCCACCAATATCTTTTTCTAGCTTAGAATGTGCGTAATCTGAACCCCCTTTGTTGGCCCTTTCCATAATTTTAGGTTCGAATACATGTGGGAAACTTGTCACTATCTTTTTCCGTCTCTTGATTTAGATAACAGTCCAGCACTAGTTAGCGCGTGGCTCCGATCATCGCAACTGAACCTGGGAAACAATCTCTGGCCCGTGCCAACGATAACAGGTTCAACTATCACGGGCCCTTGTTCACAGCCACACCGTCCAAGACTTTGCGTAATCTATACCGCCCACTAACATTTTGTTTGTCTTACCAGTACGTGAAGGGAAAGCCGCGCCCGATAAACGGCCCCGGCGGCTGGTCGGCAGCCCAACATGCTGAACCCCCGCGAGACCTCGAACCAGCTGAGACGACAAAGCCTTTCGGACGGCGCTCCACCCCCGAACCACCGGCCAGGGATACCTCGTCGAGGGGTCTGCGAGTTGGGTTCTTTTATCATATCTTGGTTCTCTTCCCCGCATTATCCGGAGTGTGTGGAGCTTGGCGCCCGCCGGTGCTGCAGGTAGGGGTTCCGATCCCAGGCTACACTTGTTCATGGACCGAAGTTCTAGACTTTTAGCAACACACCCCCCTCCCCCTCCTCCCTCCCCCTTCCCCCGCCTTGCGACGAATCACTTGGAGCATGAAGGTAATGTATCTCTCCAGTTCCTAGTGCCAAGACCTGTTGCCCAACACACCCAACCCAAAAAGCCATCGTCACTGCATCCTCCTCCTTCCCCCATTGAAAACAGGTTGTGATATATTTACCACGGACCAGTGGCGGCTTTCTTTTTCTTTCCGCTGCGGACCACGCCAATGCTGCATTGCGAAGCACCGCTTGTTCTTCTTTGTCGGCGCTGCAACATCACCCAGCGAGGCTGCTGATTCATTCATTGCTACATAATTGTTCAACTTTATTCTTTTAAAATCCTGTGCATCCAACTCCTTTCCTCCACGACTGTAACCCATTCCGCACTCCATCACCCAGGGGCAGAATGACGTCCCCAGAAGAGACCTCTGCAGGTCGCGGACGTCGACGATCATATCACGCTTGCTTGACTTGCCGGTTTGTAGAACTCAACCATGCTCCGTCTCGTTGCACCTCTGACCTGAACGATGTTCCGCGATGCAGAAGAAAAAAGACGCGCTGCCCCGGAGAAAAGCCCGCCTGCTCGAGCTGCGTCCGTTTAAAGCAATCGTGCGCGTATCCGCCCGCGGTGCGCACAACAAGGACTGGGCGATCAGTATGTGGTCAAGGCCATGGCTCGTGCGGCTCCCATCTAACAAACCAAAGGAGGAGAGGCTGGCACATCTCGAGGAGAAGCTCGATCGTCTTTTAAGCAGCAGGTCCGCCATTCTTCGACCCCCGGCCGCGGCCGCCGCATGTCCAACCCCGCAGCTGACTTGTTGGGCTAGACAGGACCATCCGCCACTCCAAGAACAAGCCATCGACGAAGCAGTCGAGTCCGAGAAATCCGTCTCTGTGAGTCCTGCGGCACAAGAGTCGACGTTCAAGACCATCCAAGCGCAGACCACGTCGCCGCTGCAGCCATCCATCGAAGTCACGCCCACCGGAGGACCCGGGCCGGCTGATGTCGCCCTGGGCATCCGGCTGTATTTCGAATATTGCCACCGACAGCCCATATGGTGCTTCGAGTACGAGGATGTCGGTGATTACAGCCAGCTGTCGGAAGAGCTGGCCTACAGCATATTGGCGCTAACAGCCCGCTTCTCCCCCATGCGCGAACGACTTCAGAAATATAACAGCGATGCGAAGCGACTGGTGATGCTCCGCATTGCAAGCAGTAGAGTCGAAGTCTCGACCATTGAGAGCCTTTGCCTGCTTGCGTATTCCTCCTTCATCGGTAACGAACCCCTAGTACTCCAACACGTACCGTTGCTAACCACAGCACCAGATGGAAACGTCAGTCTGGGTCAATTTCACCTGGGCCTTGCATTTCAGCTGTGTCGGTCGGCCATGCTCGATGTGGATGCCAGCTACTCGGACAAGGACCCCAACACACAACGAAAACGCAAGCTCTTCTGGAGTCTGCAGGTATTGGAGCAGTACTACGGCAAGCAGACTGGCCTGCTCAGCCTGCCGACAGAAATACTGCGACCGTCGTACGCATCCTCCGTGTCCCGGGACATTTCTCGCCTCGAGACGGAAAACAAGCCCCCGCCACTTCCCAGAGACGACCTGGGTCATTCGAGACCTACACCGGACGAGCCGGGCGTGTGGAATACCAGCGTGCACCTCGGGTGGGTATGGAGTCGGGTGCGGAAATACGTATCCGACTGCGCGCAGAACATATTCAACGAGCCGTGGCGGCGCGACTCCATGTACGGCTCGGTGCTGTCCGACTTTATGGACGCGGAGAACCGGATCCCCATGTGTCATCGCTACGACACGGTCAAATTCTACGAGAGAAAGGTCGAGGAGCTCAAGGTCAACCGAGGATACTGGACGACGTGGCTCAAGGAACAGTTTACCTATCACGCCATCCAGACTGTGCTCAACCACCCGTTTCTGTATATTATCGGCGCGCAGCACAACTCCAACCTCGCCATCCCCAACACGTTTTGGCGCCGGTCCTCGGAGCTGGCGCTCATACACTCGACGTGGATCGTGCGGCTCATTGACATGGTCGTGGACAAGCAAGTGCAGCTTATTGATCCGTTCTTCGGACACATTGCTGCGATTGCCGCCACGGTCCATCTGTACTATTGTTGCGCGGCGGCGGCGAAATTAAAGCACAAGTCCAATACCGACTTTGCCAAATGCCGGCGCTTTTTGAAGTGCTTTATTCCGTTTTCCCCTGCCTGTGCAGCATTGGTTAGGTTTTTTTTTTTTTTTTTTTTTTTCTTTTTGTCGTGCTCCCATGGACGACGGCTAACAAGACGGACCTCTTTCAGGAGAAGAATCTGGACAAGATGGCACGGATCGCCTCGGGCTCCGACTCGGTCGACGTGGAGGACTGGATGCCGTCGCGCATCTACCTGAGCGTGCCGCTCATGTGGGACATTTTGCAGTTTACGTGCGTGTCGGGCTCGCCGGGCATCTTCACCAACGACCTGGCGCACGCGCCGCACCGGCGGGACATGAGCGAGGAGAACTCGGTGCTCGAGATTGTGGTGGCGACGTCGCCCGAGATCAACATCAACACGGCCGACGGCGGGCAGGAGGCGCCGACGGCGTCGTACAAGGCGTCGGTGTCGCCGAGCGGCAACCCGACGCACCACCCGCTGCTCAACACGGAGCCGGTGCCGCTGGCGGACGACCTGACCATGAACACGACGCCGTGGCTGTACGAGGACTCGTCGCAGTTTACGGGTCTGGGCGATATCGACCTGCTGGACGCGCAGTCGGAGGGGGGCGATGAAAATGGCATGATATGGTGGGAGGGGGAGGTGAATAATTCGCTGTTTAGCCACTTTTGAGGATTTGTGGTACAGGTAGAATCGACAGACTTGTTATACAATTTTCTGCTTAGCCACTTTTGTGTTGTGCTACAGCTATACGGATACAATTCTCTGTTGAGCCGATTTGAATGTGTTGTGCTACAGCTAGAGATGGACATGTCTATGCGTATTGGATTCGTATATTTGCAACAGCCCATTATGAATTTATTTATTTAGGATTTAATTTGCCCAAATTCCTGCCCTGACCGTTTTGAACCCGACCAATTATATTGTTTGCAATGTCTTGCCACGCACCAGATCAACGCCAGCAACGCCAGCAACGCCATCAACCATCAACGCCCACAATCCCCATCTCCAAGCTCAGGCCGCCGTTCTCGTCGGGTCGTCTCTGCGCCCACGTGTAACTGGACTGACTGCCCACCCTCTCCGCCGGGCTTGATCGTGAACAGAGGGGGGCCTATCGGCTTCCAGTCTGCCAAAGCCAAGGCTTGCTTGCCCAGGGCGCACCTCCCTCGAGGGCAGCGCCAAACCCGACATCGGGGGAGAGGAGAAATTGTTCCCGAATAGGAATCCTCTTGACAATTGCTGCAGCGAACTGCAATGCCGGCTCCACCAGCCCAAGCGATCATGTGCACGCCATGGGCGCAATCTGGACTACTCTATATCCACGCCAGGTGTGCGCCTGCCATCCGGTCGCGCAGGCTAGCCTTTCATGCAAGCCCTTGCCAGCATCATGGAGGCGAGAGACGAGCCACGGTCAGTACGCGCGGTCGCTCACCTTTTGCACCGCCGAGGGCCGCGCTGAGACTATCTTGGTGGCGGGCAATGCGCAGTGGCCTTGGTCGCTATCACGCGTGGTTGATGTCATGCACTTATAGGAGGAACTGATCTTCAGAAGCAACAACGTGGTCCTCTTGAGTGGATGGCAGGACCATCTCGAGTTGAAGCCTTGATGCTGTGCTCGGTAATTTGTAGACAGACGCGACCTTGTTCAACCAGCGTCTTTCAGCCACTGCAGACCTGTAAGCCCACTACAGATAAGGCCCTGCTCTTCTATTCCAAGGAATTGATTTCTTGACGACTTCGGATCTTAAGAAAAAAGATATCAGAGTTTAACTAGCAGTAAATAAACGTAATGCCTTCTTGATGATCATCACACACCTGTGACTCTGGAGTCTGGGCGATAACCAATCTGCTGTTGCCGCGGACCCTCGTCCAAGCTCCGTCGCGCGCATAATTCCAATCGACGGACAACAGGCCGATCACGTGAGCGCAACGGCACGGCGCAACCATTGCCATCTAATTATAGCCATCGAAAGGGAATAGTTGGGCATGGTCTATAAGAGCCATGTAGTAGATGTGCGTTTTCTCGGCTTCGTGCCATGAAAACGTCGCGGCGAATTGCTACTTTCTACTGTGAACACCGCCCAACCTTGAAATCATCTTGGCGACCATTGCTGCCAAACGCACCATGTCCAAAGACCAGCAGGTCGTCATCATTGGCGCAGGCATTGTCGGTGCCAATCTCGCCGACGAACTCGTCCTGCGAGGATGGAAAAATATTACAGTCATCGACCAGGGTCCGCTGGACATGCCTGGCGGTTCCACCTCACACGCCCCGGGACTCGTCTTCCAGACAAACCAGTGCAAGTCCATGACGGGCTTTGCCCGCTACACGGTGGAAAAGATGCTCAAGCTGGAGCTCGACGGCAAGCCCTGCTTCAACCAGGTCGGGGGGCTGGAAATCGCCACCACGCCGGAGCGTCTCGAGGAGATCAAGCGGAAGCAGGGATGGGCCGCTTCCTGGGGCATCGACGCCAAGGTTGTTGACGCTGAGACGTGTCTGGAGCTGTATCCCCATCTGAACAAGTCCCTGGTGCTTGGCGGGCTGTACAACCCGACTGACGGCCTCGTCTTGGCCGCGCAGGCCGTCCAGCAGCTCATCGCGCAGACACGGCAGGTCGGCGTCCGGTACCTCGGATCAACCACGGTCACGGGCATCAAGCAGGAGAACGGCCGCGTGACGGGCGTCATGGTAGGCCAGGGCGTCATCCCCGCCGATATCGTCGTCTCGTGCGCCGGGTTCTGGGGCGTCGAGGTCGGCGCCATGGTGGGCTTGTCGGTGCCGCTGCTGCCCATGGCGCACCAGTACGTCAAGACGACGGCCATCCCCGCGCAGGCCGGCAAGTACCAGGAGCGGAACGGCGCCGGCCTGCCCATCCTCCGCTACCAGGACCAGGACCTGTACTACCGCGAGCACGGCGACCAGTTCGGCATCGGCTACTACGGCCACCGCCCCATGCCCGTCGTCGCCGCCTCGCTCGGCCCCACGCCAAAGGACGTCGACGAGCAGCACATGCCGTCCCGCATGGACTTTACCCCCGAAGACTTTGCCCACGCCTGGCAGCTGTCCAAGACGCTGCTGCCCCTCCTGCAGGACGCCGAGATCGCCGACGGCTTCAACGGCATCTTCTCCTTCACCCCCGACGGCGGCCCCATTGTCGGCCAGGCCCCGCACCTCGACAACTTTTACGTCGCCGAGGCCGTCTGGGCCACGCACGCCGCCGGCGTCGCCAAGGCCGTCGCCGAGCTGCTCACCGACGGCAAATCCGGCATCGACCTGGCCGGCTGCGACATTGCCCGCTTCGAGCAGGTGCAGCTGACGCCCGAGTACGTCAAAGAGACGTCGTCGCAGAACTTTGTCGAAGTCTACGACATCCTGCACCCGCTGCAGCCCAAGGACTCGCCGCGCAACATGCGCCTGAGCCCGTTCCACAGCCGGCACCAGGCGCTCGGCGCCTTCTTCCTCGAGGGCGGCGCGTGGGAGCGGCCGTACTGGTTCGAGGCCAACGCGAAGCTGCTGGCGGACCTGCCGCCCGCGTGGCAGCCCGTGGCGCGCGACGCCTGGTCGGCGCGCTACTACTCGCCCATTGCGGCCGCCGAGGCGTGGAAGACGCGCACCGCCGTCGCCATGTACGACATGACGCCGCTGCGGCGCCTCGAGGTGACGGGCCCCGGCGCCGTGGACCTGCTGGCGCGGCTGACGACGGGCGCCGTGTCGCGCAAGCCCGGCGCCGTCACGTACACGCTGCTGCTCGACGCGGCCGGCGGCGTGCGGAGCGACATCACCGTCGCGCGCATCGACACGGAGCTGTTCCAGGTCGGCGTCAACGGGCCCGTCGACACAGCCTACCTGCAGCGCGAGGCGCGGCTGCAGAACAGCCAGTCGCCGGAGCGCGCCGCCTTTGTGCGCGACGTGACGGGCGGCACCTGCTGCATCGGGCTGTGGGGGCCGCTGGCGCGCGACGTCATGCGCAAGGTGAGCGCCGACGACTTCAGCAACGACGGGCTCAAGTACTTTCGGCTGAAGCGGGCGAGCATCGCGGGGGTGCCCGTGGTGGCGATGCGGCTGTCGTACGTGGGCGAGCTGGGGTGGGAGATTTACGCGAGCGCCGACAGCGGCGCGCGGCTGTGGGATGCGCTCTGGCACGCCGGCCAGGAGCACGGGCTCGTCGCCGGCGGCCGCGTCGCGTTCAACGCGCTGCGGCTGGAAAAGGGCTTCCGCTCCTGGGGCACGGACATGAACGCCGAGCACGACCCGTTCCAGGCCGGCCTCGAGTTCGCCGTCAAGATGGACAAGGCTGACTTTCGCGGCAAGGCGGCGCTGGCCGGCCGCTCGCGGGAGACGTGCGCGACGAGGCTGCGCTGTCTGACGGTGGACGACGGCCGCTCGGTCGTCCTGGGCCGGGAGCCGGTGTACGTCCAGGGCAAGGCGGCTGGGTACGTGACGAGTGCGGCGTTTGGGTACACGGTGGGAAAGCCGATTGCGTATGCGTTTCTGCCGAATGAGCTGGCTGAGGGCGACGCGGTCGAGATTGAGTACTTTGGAAACAGGGTGGCGGCGACGGTGATGGCTGAACCCCTGTATGATCCGAAGATGGCTCGACTTCGCGGCTAGATGGAGATGTGGCATGGGGTGATTTATATGACACTTTTCATTGGCTTGATAATTTTATGACACTTATAATTAAACTGGTTGGGTTGATGATTTTATGATATGTACTTACAGCTGATAATTTCATGACACTGCCTAATTTCACTATTTTATGACACTTACAGCTGATGAATTTTATGACACTGAGAAACCGCCTGGTGGTGTCATTTTTCATCACACTTACTGGTTCGCTTAATTTTTATGACACTTAAAATACCTTGCCCCCATACTATTTTACATAATAACATACCATCCAACTCTAATCGCCAGGACCGTGCAGCATGTTGCATAACGTTTCCACCTGTTGTCGCCGATCCTCTTCCGGTAGCGGGCGCTGATTGCGAACAAGACAGCGCTTATTTTATCTAGGCCCGCGGGGAAATACCACGTGGGGGTTTTGGCCCGGAATTGTCACTGCCGGAAACCGTTCCTGACTGACCGATATCGCCGGCACGAACACGGCCGCTCTATTCCACGTGACCGGCTTCACGGCGACGACCGGCGAGCAACATGCGGGGACCCAAGTGTGAGAATAGAATTTAAGGCTGTTGAAAGTCGATGCTGTGTTTATGGCCATCATTCCTCCATTTCTCTGTTTCTGTCGTGTTTGGCCGCTGTCTGGTCGCTACCGAGTTTCACGCGGAACAACAGTCTCATCCTCGGACGCCCCCGCAGCATGGCACACCATGATTCCTACCTAATCATCGGTGCCGGCGTATTCGGTGTTTCCACCGCTCTGCATCTGATCAAAAAGTACCCCAATGCCTCGGTGACGCTGGTTGACCGGGACGCGTTCGACGCCGACAGCCGGGTGGCGGCCTCGTGGGACTGGAACAAGGTGGTGCGCGCCGACTACGACGACATTGTGTACTGCGCGCTCGCGCTCGAGGCGCAGGACGTCTTCCGCGCGGACCCCCTCTGGCAGCCGCACTTCCACGAGACGGGCATCTTCTGGATGTCGCGCGACGACTACGCCGACGACGTCATCCGCAACTACAAGGCCCTCGGCCGCAAGGCCGACCTGGCCCGTGTGCCCGTCAGCGAGGCCCGCAAGATGCACGGCGGCGTCTTCCAGAACGCAGACTACAGCGGCGTCAAGAACGTCCTCGTCAACAAGACGAGCGGCTGGGTCGCCGCGGGGGACTGCCTGCGCAGCGTCACCCGTGCCGCCATGGCCCGGGGCGTCCGCTACGTCGTCGCCGAGGTCGCGGCCGTCACGCTGGGCGAGGACGGCGAGTGCACCGGGGTTGTGACAAAGGCGGGCGGGCGCCTCGCGGCAACGCACACGATTGTCTGCACCGGCGCGTACACGCCCAAGCTGCTGGACGTGTCGGCCACGGAGACGGGCGTGGCGGAGCTCCGAGCCGGGCATCGGATTGTCGCGGGCGGCATCACTACGGGCATGACGACGCTCAATGACAGCGACTTTGCGCGGCATGAAAAGATGCCGGTTGGTGTGCAGTGGTATTCCACCTACGGTATGTCTTTCTTTGAACGAGTGCCGCCTGTTTTCCATGTACTCACTCAAGTGTAGCACCCTTCATCGGCAGTCTCCCCCCAACGCCCGATCGTGAGCTCAAGTGGTGGGGGCAAACCATCTTCCGAAACACGACCGAAGTTGCGCCCGGCCGGCTCATCTCGATGCCGCCGCCGCAGGAGGACTACAACCAGTGGATCGTGTCGGAGCGGCTCAAGGACGACATCCGCCACGCGAGCCACGTCTTTTACGGAGACCCGAGCAAGAGCTGGAAGCTAGACAAGTATCGCATCTGCTGGTATGTCCCTTGTACTTACGCGGCTGTTCTGGGAGCCTCAGCTAACACACACATTCACCAGGGACGCCTTTACCACGAGCTCCGACTTCATCATCTCGCCGCACGCGGCGGCCAAGGGGCTCTACCTGGCCACGTGCGGCTCGTTCCACGGCTACAAGTTCTTCCCGGTCCTGGGCAAGTACGTGGTGCAGATGCTCGAGGGCGAGTTGTCGCCTGAGCTGCAGGCCAAGTGGGCGTGGGACCGGCAGCGGCCTGACCCGGCGAGAAACCCGGACTGGCCGCGCGTGGAGATGAGGAACTACTTGGACAACAACCTTGCTGCGAAGCTGTGATTTTCGAGGGAGATGTGGTGGTCGGATATGTACTGGACTATCCACAGAATTAATGAGGTTTCGGAAATACGACCGGCCTAGGGCGTAGATTTTTTATATGTCTCTTTTCTTGATCTATTTTGTCAACAAAGGCGGCAATACTCAAATAAACACAGCAAGCATCGCACACATGTATCGTCTTGCTGGCAGGGAGCTTTGTGCCACATGTGTCGATGGGTTCTGCATTAGCCGGGTTGAATTGGAGTGATGTGACCGAGCGCACTTGCTGATCGTCAGAGCTATTCGCACACTGAGTAAGCCTGAGAGAATCAAGGTCCCGGTAATACTGGCCACAGTTGCAACAGCAGTAGTGAAAATGTCATTGACTCTGCGTCTGGCGCCCCCAACCTTGCGAGATCGATCCGTGTTAGTGCAGCCACCAACGCCGCGCCGTACCCTAGAGCCTGGGCTGGAATCGGCTCCTTTCTGCTAGGCTCACGATTGAGGCAAGCGGGAATGGGTAAAACAAAGTAGCATGTGAGGGTATTTCAGTAGGGGAGTCTGAAATGAGAGAATCGCACACATCAATACTAATGGCAGCCCGGGGGATCAATCTCCGTGTCTTTGGTGGTTGATGCTAGTTACAGGGAAGGTTCTAGGCTAAGACTGCTCGCGAGCTGAACGAAAGTTGACAGCATAATCAACTCAAAATTACTATCAAGTATAAACAATTGCCAAGATTTGTCTTGGCAGTGTGTACTATCACAACCCCAGACTCTGACCCTGTATGGATACTGACATGCGCTTGGCAGGACAATGTCACCACGGCAGATGAAGTGGCCCGTTATCGCAGTATGAGTGCGCCGCCTTTTCTAATTCTCCGGCCCAGTTTTGCCCCGGCTTTGCAATCCGTGATTTGAACCGCTGACCCGTTGGTATCTCACGGTCCTGCACAGCACAATGCACGCACAACCAAACTTGCCTAAACCAAACATGTACAGCCAATCACCGGTTTCTGACTAGATACAAGCCTGCAGGCCCGGGTCGATCCGGGGCCAATCATGGCTGCCGATTGGGGGCGTTGCCGGTTCGCCGCTTCCAGCACTGCAAGCGAGTTCTTTTTTTTCTTGGAACAGCCAAGCGATCGAAGCTTACCCTTATAATTAAGCATTTCCGATTCGACGACAGCACCATGCCGCGTATCATGGTTCGCCCGGCTGATCCCTCTTACCTCATAGTCGGGCGGGCCAAGACGAACCGGTCTGTCAATATGACGTGGGGTGCATGGCCCGCGATGGGGCCCTGTGCTAAGTCTGACTGTATTGGCGTGTAAGCCCAGCGTCTGCTGTTCGGAGATGAACAAGAATGGAATTCCGGCCTGATACGTCTTCTCCTGCAGTCCAACCCCCCCCTTACTCGAGAAGCCAAGATATGGCGCGAGAAGCGCTCGTCCTGCATGAGTGGCCAACACCCTTGACCCGGTTGCAAGGGCTTGGCCGCAGAGGTACCCCGGCACGTTGCCTTTAACAAGTTGTTTTGTTTCAAGCTCACGCGAGCACTGAAATATGTGAAACGTGGACGAGATAGTTTAGAATTGAAGAGTTCGAGGCGGTTTGCGGTTTGAAATTGGCAACCAGCGGAACATCGTATTGCTCCCCTACGCCACTGGATCTCCACGCCAAGAGATTGTCGTTTCGATGAATCAGACAGTGACCCGGCCTCGACACTCCAAAGTGCGTTATCATACCCACCTGTAATGCCAAGGACTTGGACGGGTAAGCACGAGACCCGCTGGCTGTGTGTAATATCACGTTCCGAAGCTGCGGATGATATGATATCGGCGTCGACACCTACACAATCTTTCATGTAATAGGATTTCTGCTCCTCCGGCGTACTATTTCAACCCATGAACCCCCCGCGTTTTCATCTGTGCAACCAGACACCTCTATACTTTTGCTTCACGTTGATCATCCACCTCCTGTCAACGTCTCACCCTCACACATATACACTCTCTCCCACACCCACATCATGTCTGACTTCTCCGGGCCCAGAATCGCCATCATTGGCATCGGCAAGGTCGGCGCCGCCGTCGCCTACTCCATCATCCACCGCCAAATCGCCTCCGAGGTGCTCATCCTGGACCTCAAGGAGGACTTCCAGGACGCGCAGGTGCAGGACCTGCGCGACTCGACGAGCTTTGGCGTCTCGCCGCGGGTGCGCCCCGGCACGTGGAAGGAGTGCGGCCAGTGCGACATCATCGTCTTCACCGCCGGCACGAACCAAAAGGCCGGCGAGTCGCGGCTGTCGCTGCTGCAGCGCAACCTGGGCGTGATCCGCGGCGGCTTCGACAAGATGGCGCCGTTCAAGGACGACGCCATCCTCGTCATGGTCACCAACCCCGTCGACATCATGACCTACTTCGCCGTCAAGTACTCGGGCCTGCCCGCCAGCCAGGTGTTTGGCAGCGGCACCATCCTCGACACCACGCGCCTCAAGGACACGATTGCGCAGCGCGCCCAGGTCGCGCCGCGCGCCGTGCACGCGTACGTCGTCGGCGAGCACGGCGACTCGCAGACCATTGCCTGGTCCAACATGGCCATTGGCGGCATCCCCGTCGACCAGGTGCTGCCGCTCGACCTGGACGAGAAGCACGAGGTCGCCGAGTTTGTCCGCTTCAAGGCCGACCGCCTCAACAAGGTCAAGGGCGAGACCTCGTTCGGCATCGGCGCCGTCATCTCCTCCATCTGCACATCCATCCTGCTCGACGAGCGACACGTCCTGCCGCTGAGCCACTACCACGCCGACTACGGCATGTGCTTCAGCAAGCCCGCCATCGTCGGCCGCCGCGGCATCGTCAGGTCGCTGGATATCCTCCTCGACGAGGATGAGCAGGCCTCGTTGGAAAAGTCCATCCACAAGCTCAAGACGGTCGCGTACGCCACGGAAAACCCCGAGCCCGTCATTGCGAGCCGCCTATAAAATTGCATGCATTTGTTTTCTTCGTGTATCAACTTTGGGGCCTGGAGCCCTATTTCTGGGGGAGTATGGTAGTTTGAAATGACCCCTAGCATGGTAATATATCCTCTATTGTTCTATTTATTGAGCGACTCGTAATTGTCACGCTGGAGTTTGGAGCACTTGATTTCGGAAACGAGGGCAGAAAAGTCGGAATACTAGATGAAGACGCTGCCGCTTGAGCAGTTCATTTCGAGAACAAATGAAATAAATTGGAAAACTAGATAACAGGCTACCATTGGGATGCGTGTTCAGCTGTGGATGTGATGAAGATTTTTTACTAATAGTGCAAACAGGCGACGTAAGCTGCGTTGATTATGTGGAAATCGAAAGAGTAACAATGGCAGATAACGATTTTTTCTAAACTTGATTGAAAAAGGAAATATATTCAGGGTGGAGTAAAATCACTATGAACACATGTAGCATTGTCAGTCTCGAACCAGACCCTGGTGCTTTCACTATGCTCAACCGTAGCTTTGTCATTGCCACGATGCCGTCGCCTACTAGTTAAAAAATCGCGAAATGAAGCGAATTCACCTTCGTAACGAGGTTGGCCTGTACCGTCCTTTTCTACCGGGAGGATCAGCACATCTTCCACACAGACTATCCCGAGCGTAGTAGTTGCTCGCATTTCCTGAAATATTCCATCTATTGTAAAGGCCTGATCTTACATGATACTCTTGGAAAACCATGTACGATTATTATTTCCAAAGAGAACAGAAAGCCAAATGAAAGTGCGCAGTCATCACATTCCGAACCCCCGTGCACCGTTGCATCGCTACATCAAGGTCGTATGCCTATTGAGCGGCGTTTCAATACTAGGATTGTCACATCAAGCCGCCTCCAATACACGACAGTTACACATCGTACACCGCAACTCAAGCACTTTTGTCAGATAGCGAATAGCCTTGATTTCCTACTAGGGCAAATCGAATAAACACCAACCCATTCCCACATATTCCCAAATTCCACAGCCAGAAGCGTCCAGCCATCCGTCGGGTGCAAATGTCCATGTTCCTCCACAAAGCCTTCAACCAACGTCCTATCCCTGCCTCTCCACCATTCTCTCCTTATTCTGCCGGGGGTATCGAGTTTTTTTTTTCGAATCTCTTTTTCTTTCCTTTTCTTTTGATTTTATCAACTCTCTCTGCACGGACGTGCCGGGGAGGAGAGGGGAAACGTCTCCATCACTTGTTCATCTCAGCCAAAACGTGTAGCCCGCTACTGCGTCATAGGTGTCGTCGTGGATCGCTGAGCACGGCTGCGTGCGTGCAGGGCCTGCGACTCCAGACACTGCGAGAGGATCAGGTAGACCTGCCAGACGCCCGCATTCTTGAGCATGATGCCAAACAAACGCAGCAGCTTGGGCACGTAACCGCCGGGTTCAACCAGCTCAAAGTTCGGGTCAATGCCCGCCGCGGCCAGCTTCTCTTTGGCCTTGGACGCAATCGAGTCTATTATGCTCCGGACCTTTTCCAGCAGCCGAACGTCGTCCTCCTCGAGCATCATGATGGCGGGCATCTGCGTAAAGTCAATCATATCCTGGCCGACGATGCCCAGGTACGGACCGACGCGGTCCTGCAGCGTTGCCACCCACTCGGCCAACACCTGCAGGCAGTCAAAGGCGCAGAGCGCCGCTTGTAGCGGCAGCTCGCCGCCCCACAGGTCCGCCACGGACAGGCCGAGACGGTCGGCCATCAGGAGTGAGTCGGCGGCGAAGAAGGAAGCCTTCCGGAGGTGTTTTTCGCGCCGCGACGTGACGCGCTCGGCCGAGTTGGGGTCGTCGCTCGTGTTGAACTTGGCAAAGTCAATCGCCTGCGTCTGCGGACCGGGGGAGTTGGAGACAAGGGCATCGCCCATGGTGGCATCGGCGGGCTCTGCTCGGCTGCTCGGCTCCGTGGTCGATTCGTCGGCGGTATTCTCAATGACCTGGCTGCCGCGGGCAATCTCATCGGCCATGCCTACCCAGTCGCGCTCCCAGAACCGCTCTTTGGCGCGTGACAGGTTGACAAACAGGCGAACATACGCCAAATCGAGGAGCGGAATCGAGTCGGCGGGCAACGGGCCAAGGCCATACGGGTTAGGCCGCTCTACGCTGTGGCGGGGGTTGCTCGACCAGGCCATCTGCCAGGCGCGCAGGGCCGGCTCAATGTGCCGGTGCATGCGCTCCGTTTCTTCGTTTGTCCACACCCTGTTGTTGTGTCGCTGGCGCGTCTCCCATATGTAGTTGTGAAGAGCGTAGATGAGAAGAAGCATCGCAAAAGAGCTGGGACTCAGGTTGACGTTGCTTTGCCTGCCGGGGTTGGAGACCATGTCAAAGGCAGCCGACATGGTATTCATACTTACGTCGCCGGTTTCCTGTTGGCTTGAGTGAAGCAGCTCGGCGAGGGCCTCGCGAAACGGCGGAGTGTTGTGAGCAGCGCCGCGGATACCACCCCTGGCAAAGAACTCGGCACTAGTTTGGGTGGCCCAGAATTCTTCGTCGCAGGGTAAATCAATCATAATTTCAGAGTTGGTCAGAGCTGGCGCATGGTTGTATGCCGTCACCAGAACACTAGACAAGAGGAACACGGCATAGAGGGTGCGCTTACGCCCTTCCATTCTGCTCCACTCGAGCCACTGATGGTCTTGTAGATGCTCCCTCTTGCGTTCAAAGTTTTGATCGTTGCCCATGTGCACATCCTCAATATTGGGCACATGAAGTTGTGTTGGCTTCGCTAGCTGAGCACCCTGAGCGAGACCCACCAAAGACGAAATATGCATCGAGGCAATATCCGTAGCAATCTTGTCGACAACATTATGGCCGTAGGACACATTCAACAACATTGTCTGAACGAGCCAGACGGGCGTGTCGGAACCGTCGTCACTCGGCTGTGAGCCGCTCAGGGATGGGGTGCTCCTAGCGCGACTCATTTCCTGCTGGCGGCGATCCTGCAAAAACATAAACACCATTCGCTTTGACAGCTCGAATATTTCTTTGGAGACTTCGAGGTCTCGTTCGTACAGGGCGCCGATCATGGCAGTGGCCAGAACGAGACATCCCTTGCCGCCGTGGGAGCCTTCTTCGTCATCGAGGCCGGGCTTGGACATGTCGAAGTCGAGGGTGGGCACATGCAAAAAGGGAAGATGCGGGTGGAAGTGCGTGAGATAGGCTGTAACGTATCGCTGGAGGTCCGCGGTTGTGGGCAGCTTCTGCTTGGTGGGCTGATTAATGGTAGTCTGCGGCGCAGTCTTGAGGGCGGGTCTACGACCAAATGGTTGGGATTTGAAAAGGATATTCACAATGGCGGTCCTGGTGGCATCGGTAATGGTGGTTACGGGAGAGGCTCCGAGGTTCCCGGCAGCGATGGGGTGCGTAGGGTCCGGGCCGTGATGGAAGCTTGGGGAGCTGCTTATGGTTTGCGCGTTGCGCCCCGTTACGACGGATGGGTTCATTGAACTCTGCGAGTGAGGCGTGGACAGGTAGGGGTCATGGATCTTTTGAGAAGCTGGCTGAGGTGATACAGGTGCTCCGTTTAGGAGATCGGGAAAAACCGACCCATTGATATCCATCGCAAAAGGGTTCGTCATCTGCGGCGGACCCATGACGGAGGGCTGCCACATGGTGGAAGACCCTGCCGGGACCGGGTGATTGGAACCGTCCACCATGACATCGCTTATTCCACTCTGGCTCGTTGTGCTGATTGCCGAAGGGCTCGATCCGTCAATGGCGTTTTCATTGTTCTGAAAGGTCATCTGGTGCTCGAAGCCGGCAACCCAGTCGAGACCGTCCTCAAAGGGCTGACCAGTGGACAGGTCGTTTAGGGAGGAGCTGAAGGGCGACTGCTGATCGACATTCATGGACTGAGGCGAGTCGTTGTAATGGAGCGCGTTGGGGTTAATGGTGGATCCATGGCCGAAGAGCAGATTCTCAAAGTCGAATTCGGTACCAAAGGGACCAACAGCGGGTGCCGTTCTCAGGGACGGGTCCAGCTCGGCATTGGTGCCCGTATCGAGTTTGGAGAGGCTGAGGGCCATGCCGCGTTGGCTGAGAGCGAGAGACATGCCGCCAAAATCAAAATTATGCAACGGCAGGCCTACCAGAGACGGGTGTCTATTGTGGCCACCCATGCCTCTAGCAACGGGGGCATTGACGTTGGCCAGCATCTGCATGGCGGCGCCGTCAACATGGCTTATAGTATTCGCTCGAGGTCTCATCTGGTTGTTTCCTTGACCGGCGGCCCCGACGCTGGCGCCTGCTATGCTATTTTTGCGTCGAGCCTGAGCGGGAGTCACGCCGCTGGCAGATTCTCGGCGGTTGCGTGGGCGGGCCGAGGGGGTGGTCGTTTGATGCAGCTTCTGCTGGTGCCGCAGAAGCAAATCTCGGCGAGCAAAACATCGTTGGCACTCTGGACACTCGAAAGGTTTTTCCTTGGTGTGGGAGCGCTCGTGCCGCTTTAAATGCTCAAGACGGGCGAAGGAACGTTGGCAGGTCGCGCAGACGTGGGGTCGTGGCTTATCGGTTTTTGGTGCGGGAAAGGTGGGCGGTGCCGGCTTGGAGTTGACAGTAATAGTGGAAGCTGGTGGTTGCGGCAGAGATTAGTGATTATTGACTTTGACAAGTAATAAACTGTGTTGGGGGAAAATATGTGAGTTGGCGCCGAGGCTCACGAACGAGGGGCAGAAGACAGCAGGCCGCGAGGTGGCGGGCGGGATTTTCTCACCAGAATCGTCAGCGGCGGGCTTTGCGGGCGCAGTACCAGCGGGAGCGGCAGCGGCGGCGGGCGATGTCGAAGTCATGATGGAGGAGGAGCGAGAAGGTCTAGCTCCCGAATCGTTCATGACCATGGCCAAGCCCGGCGTTGTTCAAGGCGAGGGCGACAACGGCGTGCTAGGCGTCGTGGTGAGTGCGGTCAGCCGCACTGTTGGTTGAGAGGCTGTCGAGCTGTCGTGGGGCAGAGAAAAGGGTTGGAGGGAGACAACGGGCGAATGTGTCGATGGTGGGGGGACCAGAGAGCAGCGCTGATTAGGGAGGGGCGATAAGAGGCGAGAACGGGCGGCGGCGGTCGGCGGGTGGTGGGAGCGAGAGGTGCATGCCAAACGAGAAGCGCAGAGCAGGAATCTGAGCTCCTCGGATGGGAGTTTTCAAGGGAAAAAGGAGGGAAATTTTCGCTCGAAACAGCAGGGACCCGCACGTTGAAGCAATTGCTGCTCAGGGAGGGAAGAGAAGGAAGTCGTGGGAAGAAGAGAGGTAAGGGAAAAAGGGAAAGGGTTATTTACGGTAGCGTAGCTACGGGCTGGTAGCGGATGTTGGAAGGATGGTGGCGGCGAGCCAGCTACCTAGCGCGGCGCGGTGCGAGCTCGCACTGTGGAACTTATAGGCCCTGTGTGCCCTTGGCGGGCTTGTAGGGGGGATAACCTACCGGTCCGGCTAACCAGGTACCTGCGCTGGCCTTTTTGGTGCCCGTATACTTGTCAAGATATGTCTTGAGCTTGGACGCCAGCTAACGGCCCCGGGAATATGCCTATTAGTACGCTATTTCTACAGGTGGCTGGCGCCATCTCATACCCCAGACAGCATTTGCGTCTATCTTGTTCTTTCGGCCGTAGACAAGGACAGAACGAGCCTGGTCGATCTGCTGGATCTTTCTGACTGCGGATGGTCGCCTCCTGCAGGTCTTGATTTTTTCTTTCTTTCCAAGGCTTCCAGACATGTCTCGCACGGCGAGGGCGTTGCATCGTAGGTACCGACACGATGGTGGGTACAGTGCAAATCGGTGTCCAAGCACGGTGCGAGGCCAGCAGCGCTTCTTCTGCTGTTCCCGTTGGCGCCGAAATCAGCTTCTGTGTGAGCCACAGTGGATAGTGGTGAGAGAACGAATCAATACGGGCTTGCTGCAAATAATACAAGGAGCTAGGCTTGCTCGCATCTGCAGGTTCGCAGACGTGGAGCTTGCTTGAGCATGGGCTAGCAAATGCGATGCGGCGCTCGTGATCCAGTCGGTGCTGGCCGCTGGGTACGTTAACCAACGGACGGGTCCAACAGTCGCGCGGCGCACCACGCCGGTAGTTTCTGAAGGACAAATGGCAAGATACCACAGGCGAGTTTGCTTGCTTGTTGAGCCGAACTTGGTGATGAGCAGCTCTGTATTTCTCGAGCTTCATGTCCGTCTTGGATGCCTCGCGTTGCATTCTCCATCAACGGGGCTCGTCCACCTCCGGCCTAGAACTACTCTCACTACCTCGAAGTCAAGCCAGGTCTCGCCGCCGTCCAGCGTTGCATTCGCTGCAAGCCTCTGCAAGGCCCCTGTCGGCCCCATGTAACCATGATGCATGCTGCCAATGCTCTAGCGATTTATTGCTGCCGACTTGACGGACTCTGGCCTATTCTGATCAAATTGTTAACGCATATTACTGTGTCAGTTGGCGTGTTATCGATGTACCAGTTTGCCTACATCTCTTGACCTGTTCAGTATCTCACCAGGCACACCTCACTTCTCACACCCGGCTTATTCGTCCGCGTCAGCCTCCAAGGTGGGCACATCCCAAGTCCTATTTTGGCCTGGACATGTGCCTCAAAACACTTGCTCTTTTCGTTGGCCGCATTTGCATAGGCGGCGGTATGTTGCATAGATGGGCCACAGTGCAAGACAGTCTAGACTCCAACTACATCTACGTAGGCTGGTAACTACCTAGCTCGTGCTGAGAATAATACCAGAGACCCAGCAAAGCATGTTTTTCCGGATGCAAGTTTCAGCATAAACAAAGATATCTGGGTTGCAGAAAAAAAAAAGGCGAAGAGGAGCCCATCGTGTCCGTATTGATCCCACTGATGCTGCCCCCGGCATCAACATCTGCACCTGTATGCATGTCTACGCCCACCTGCCACTGCAGATTGAGTTTTACCTGCGCCTTCAAAATCAATCCGTGTGGACAGCGAATGTTTCAGAACTCTCCACCCGCCCGCCCGACAAGTGATGGGCAGCGAGTGAGAATGGATATGACTTGCGGAATCGCCAGTGCCGTTGCCTGTCCACTATGCCATGTAATAAGGGGTGCCACAATTTGCGTAGTGAGAAGCAAACGGCCTCGTCTCAGGTATCAAGCTGCCATTTGACCATTTGACCATTTGACCGTTTGACACGCTGCTAATTCCGCTGCTGTTTTGAGGGTGCAATAGGCCGTTCCGAGGTGAACCCGAGATGGCTGTTTGCTCGGTTGCCGCCGGCGCTGCCCTCGCTCTACGGAGTAGGTACGGAGTACCTGTTTGTAGCTCGTTCCTTTGCCGGCACCTGCCAAAGCCGAAGCCATCGTCCTCAGCATATTACTGCAAACACGCCATGTTACTCAATGCTGCTGAGAATTTCTCTTCTCACATTTCTCGGCCAAGTTATCTTGCCAGCCCAAAGGAGCGCTTCACCTCTGTGCCAGTCTCGCGGCTCTGCTCTTGCCAACCTCATCATGCTTCCCCCGTTGTCCATAGCGCTCGCTGGTGGTGGACGGATATACCATCTGCAAGGTCAGGCTATATCGCACACCAGTTACACCCCCACCATAAACAAATTGCCACTGTCTCGGCGTGATTCGTCGTGAAACCAAGATGAACAGTATGTCGACCGCAGCAAGTCTACGAATCATGCGAATCGTACCGGAAAGCATCCGTTCGCGCCATTGTGACGACTGTATGGATCTGCACGGGCTCATGCCCGCGCTTGCAGCGTCACGCCCACTGGCCTCAGCCCTGACAGTTACTCCCGTAACCAAAATGTAGGGACGCAGGACGCAGTCTCATCTTGCCATCGTTGCCCGCGTGCAGTCGAGGTATGTACATACATAGGCCTGTCTCTCCAGCTGATCGGCAACAATCTGAACAAGCTCGTCTAACCAAATTGCGCCCCCCAATTCTAGACGGCGAACAACGAAGCCGCTAACATTTCGCTCACACACAAAGAACAATCAACCCTGCCTAGCGTCTGTGTGGTTAAAACAGTCGATCGATTTTGCTCAGCGCACATTATTACAAGGGTGCTGACATGGAGCTTGGCTCTGATTGAACCGCCCGATGGTGCCAACCCGGGCTTCTCCAGTCTATTCCTGCACCTAGGCCACGACTACCCACCAACCTCATTGCGTCGCACAGTGCGCGGATTGCTCATCGTCTATTTGATACAACCGAGTAGGGACTGAACAAGCGAGACCATCTTCCTCGTCCAAAACCGCGCCTGTTGGGCTAGTAGGCAGTAACCTGCCGGGCTCTACATCGAAAGTGGCTGGCTGGCTGGCTGGTAACTATTTAACTGCGACGTGACGCACAAAATCTCCGCAACAAGTGCATACAGTCTTTCAAGGGTCATCGTATCCGTATAGCTGCAAGTACTTTCTAGGATATTTGCTGGCAAACGTGTTGCGCGACCGCAATAAACCTCAAACTCGGTCACGTTCCATTTCGACGGTGTTGGTCCCTAGGCTCGATAGTGGTAACTAAAGTTCCGTTACCAACACGAGCACATGGCGCACTGTCAAACCTATGCGTGTGTCGTGCCGAGCGGACTTCGCTACTGGCTGCTGATTAGACCAGACCATCACTACTAATAAGAAACCGACGGCGATCCCAAGTTCTTGCGCCAAAGCGCATTGACCTACCGGCACACGGCGACCATCAATGTCCCGTACCCCGTCTCGACCCCAGGCTTTCCCCGGATGCTAGAGTGGGACTTGCCCCAAGGTTCAGATGCTGCTTCCAGGTCCAACCAAGGGAGCATAGAATTTCACCTTCTGACAAAAGAATAGTCGGCTATTCGGGTTGCCCACACATTGGCGTGTTCCTGTGGGTCAATGAAGTATGTCCGTCGCGAGAGGCAGCAGCAGTCGGGCCAACAAATAGAGTTTACCTTGGCCCAATCGCTCTCCGCTAGATCCCGCGAGTCGTCATTAAAAACCAGCAGCTTGTGTTGGATTCCGTACAGAGCGTCGATTATTCAAAAAGATGCGTCATGGAGATAAATGCCTGGACTGGCAGGACCTCTGGCAAGTGGCTCAGGAAGACCAAGGCAAGGCTCGGGAAAGATCAGGCTCCGGATTACCAACACTCTCTCTCCCTCTCAGACGGCACATGACATGTGATACAATGTCAAATACCTGCGGCCGACGATCAATGCCGGCTCGTTTTGTTGGGGCAGTCAAAGCCTCAAGAGAGATTCGGTAGGCTGGGACGCATGTAACGCATCCACCGTCGCCGACCGGTTATACATACATATCAGTAAAAATTATGCCATGCACCATTATCATGGAGCATTCCCAGTCAGCAGTCAGATATTGACACAGAGTCATAATTGCCAGCATTGTGCCCTGCGTCGGAATTGCCGGAAGGCCCCAAGCCCGGGTACCCCGGATTCTGGGTTTCGTTGTTGGTGGCGCGTATTAGGGTCACGGTTGCTGAGCCTGCAGCCATTGGTATAGACGACTCTACACTCTACACGTCAGCTGTATAGCCACGGCACAGGAAAAATTCAGCTTCCATCACTGCGCGTCATCTTTTTCTCCCGTCCGAGTCCAACATCCTGGCACGGCTGGGTTGGCTGATGCCGCGACGTGGCCAACGGAACCACGCGGCGACTTGGTGTGAAACAGTTCGGCGCCAGCCCACTGTGGCGGTCAACTTTGTCGATATTCATGGCACTACGACCTGAGTTGGGTCATGGGTCCCCTAATTTCACCCATTCGATGCAATTTACATGTTGTAAATGGTGGCTTGGCGAATCCACCAGTACCACGACGAGATAACAGACCAAAGAAGCAACTTTGCGACGATTTGCTTTGAAGGATGTCAAAGACGCGGCAAGGCGGCCATTTATTTCCTTTGAACAGCCAATGCTCTGCCCGCGGTGTTCTCGAGCGAATGTGACGCCACGAACATGTGGCCAGTGTCCGCCACTGTCCGGGTGAAGCAGCACCGCATAACTACTCGGCCGCCTTTCCTTGAGGTCCAGAAGCCGTAATAATAAAGGCTGGTTGGTCTAGCGACGCCACGCCAGCCTGGTATGGTGAACTATTACGCAGAAAATAGCCTGACAAAACCACTTAATTTTACCCGACGTGGCTATGCAGCCAACAAAGCAAGGACGCACATCATTTCCACGACGTCTGCATAAGCCGACGCCCTCTGTGCGGCGATGCTGCCCGCCCGCCGGGTCTATTATCGCTCTATTACGGGGCCACATTGGACAATATCCCGCTCGCTATTAATAACGTACCTTGCTTGTGGGTAGTCGTGGAACGAGAATCCTTGGAGAAACGTCTTGATGTTGGGCTCCTCTCTGCGGCTTCTTAGCCCACGGCTGCTTGTTTGTGGGAACAAGGCTAGATGATCGATTATATGACCGACCCATCGGCCAAATATCCCGTGCCGTGCAGTGCAGAGGCTGCCTTGCTGTCTGCGCCGATATGTCGCACCTGCAGAAATTGAGTGGGCGCTTGCCCAGCACCACTCACACAGACAATGCGCCCACGTTGAAAGCAGAGACGCCATAGGTCAGCAATCATGTCCTGCAGCCTCTTCTTGGAGTCAGCTGCCTACCTACATGAAGCCCAGCCGTCCCATATCGGTAGATCAGCTCTCTACAGCACCGATGCAGTAATGTCGCCCCTGTCCTGCGCGCATTTTGGGCCGCGCGTTGGATGAAGGTGAAATGCCCTGACCAGTTTTCTTTTCCGCTTTCCGCTTCCTTTGACGCAACTTTTTTCGTCCATCTTTGCCGGTCAGCTGATCAAATGAATGAATCCCTTCCTTCTGTTTGAGAGGTCGCCTCGTTAAGCGCCGGCCTACCTGGCCTCCCGCCCCGTACAATGGTTGGTTTTATCACGAGAGCATCGCAGCCAGTCGAGTTGACGCTACTTTTTTTGTTCCCTCTGCCTCACCTCAAAACGCTAAAAAAAAAAGGCGGCCACTTGCAGCATGTATTCCATGTCTGCTTTGTCCATTTGGCGCGGCATGTCTGAAACCGGATTCTTAGGGATCGAGGCTGCCTTGTGCAAGCCACGCGCCTGCGAGCGAACAAGTTGATTGGTGATGATGATGCTGATGATGTAGTTCATCTATGCAGCTTGCACTGGCCCTGTTTGCACCACTGGCACTGTCCTACTTTTCAAACATCAAACCTCTTCTTCATGTTGACGTCCAAAGGTAAGACATGTTCCTCTCCTATACACACAGCCTTGCTTGATGCTGCCTTTTCGTGACACACGACTCGCCTTGACACGTCCATCGCACCTACATCGCATCGCTCGTCTGTAGCAAACACCATGATCCTCGTGCCCATCTTCTTCGTGCCACTCCTGCTCCTGCTCCTCCTCCCCGTCACCGCCTCCGACGTCACCGTCACCATCACCGTCGCCCCCGCCATTCCGTCGCAGGAACCGTCCTACTCGAAGCGCTACGTCTTCACGTCCGCCGTCCTCAACAGCACCAACACCTACCGGCGGCAGCACAACGCCTCTGCCCTCGCCTGGAACGCGACCCTCGCCTCCTTTGCCTCGTCCTACCTCGCCGCCGCGCGCACAGACGCCTGCAACTTTTCCCACTCGCGCGGGCCGTACGGCGAGAACATCGCCATTGGCTACGCCAACGCCACGGCCGCCGTCGCCGCCTGGGGCGACGAGCGCGGGATATACGACTTTGGAAAGCCCGGCTTCGAGCACGCCACGGGGCACTTTACCCAGCTGGTGTGGAAGGGCACCACGACAATGGGATGTGAGCGCGTGCTGTGCGGTGTGAGGGGCTGGTTCGTCGCGTGCGAGTACTGGCCGCCGGGCAACGTGCAGGGGCAGTACGACGATGAGGTGCAGAGGCAAGTGAGTGGTGAGCAAAGAGTAAGGGCTGGCTTAAAGGGAGTGGTGGTAATAGTGACGGGAGTGGTGGTTTGGCTTTCTTGGACGTGAGAGACGAGATGAGAGTGCAAAACTGTATATAGTGTATATAGAGGAAACGATGTATTCTTGACAACGACATGCTTTTTCTTCCTACAGTGAACGCCGGATATATACCCAAAGCAAGATGCAAATAAAGTACCAAAATCAGGACAAGTCCATTTCTATTCCAACGCCATACCGTCTCGCCTCGGCCGTCTTCTCGGCATCCTCCCACCACCGCAGCGCAAACGTCCAGCCTGACAACACCTTGGCGCTATGCAGCGCATCATCACCAAGCCACTCGGAGCCCGCCGGGATGACCTTGTCGGTCGCGAGGTCGCTGTCCGCTAACAGCGCGGCCATGCCAGCAATCGTGCGCGGGTTGTGCGGGAGCACGCGACCGACGCGCAGCAACGGGCGCGCGGCGGCGAGGCACAGCACCATGATGGCAAGCAGCACCTGCAACGCAATCTTGGGCGCCGCGTTTTGCACGAGCCGGCGTTGGTCGGGGATGCGCATCGTGCCAGTGATGCTGCCGGTGACGGCGCGCGGGCTGATGGACTCGGTGGAGGAGCGCATGTTGAGGGAGACGGCCTGCGCCATGTACGCCTGATATGCTCGGGTCAGAACGTCGCCGAGGCGGCGAGCGTTGGACTCACCGACAATGTCGGTAATGGGTACGCCCGGCTGACCGAGGATGAGAGCGTCGATGAGCTCGTCCACGTCATTGAGGGCCGAGGTGCCGTTGTTGGGGGCGGGAATTCTGCGGTCGTAGACGGGATCGGTGAGGCCTTCCAGCCAGGCATTAACGGGGATCTGAAACCGCTCGCTGCCGGTGCTGGAATTTAGTTTGCGGGCCGAGGATTCGTCGATGATGGGTGGGTGTGATGGATCAAGTGTCAAGTCGGGAAGTTGCCAAGTGACATCGGCGGTCACTTCTTCAAACGTTTGGTAGCAAATAACAGTAGCCAGGTCATGCTCAAATTTCCACGACGAGACATCGCCCCCTTGGCCTGATTGCACAGTCTTGATCGTGCCAAAAGTAGCAGCAAAGCTGGGGCAGCCGTGGTCTTGCACGTCGAAATTCACACTGACGTGAGAGGACAAGTGCGTATTGACGGCACCATCACCGTATATCTCCTTTCCGTCCCAGACAAGCACAGATCCCTTACCAATATAGGCGGTGTTGGTGTCGTTTGGCACGCTAAAGTACTGCATCCAGCTTGCCTGAGAAACATTCGTTGTTGGGGGCGTCTCACAGTAGTCGGCAAACTTCAGGGTCGTGTTGAAGCCGACGGTAACATGACCCGGGCGCGGCGTCCAGTATTCGTTCTGGTAGGGCAGCTTGACGTACGCGCCCGGGCTCTGCTTGTCCGCCACCTGCGAAATCACCCGTCCTGTCGATGGGACAGCAGAGCACGTCAGCCTGGGACGGATAGCCTGCACCTTTGCGACCAGCGGTGCATCGCCGAGGAACTGGTCGCTAGGGAACTGCTTCTGCTCGTACCGAGGAAAGGCGAGTCCTTCCCATGTCCACTGGGAATAGTTAACTCCGGCGTAGCGGATGAGGCTGTCCATGGACGCAGCGTGGTTGTCTTGCATGGTGAGCTTTGCATTGTCCAGCTTGAAGTTGTCAATGCGCTGGATGGTCATGCTTTCAGATCTGTCAAACTCAACGACACTGTACAGACTCGAGACAACAATGGCTAACAAAAGAGCAATCATGCTAGCCGCAGCCAGAATGGCGACAGCAAAGTGTCGTGCTTTTATGGAGCGCAGAAAAGCAACTGGATGGGTTCTGCCGACGACATCAAAGTGCATGGTGCGATGAGCCGCGGCGTGCCCCTTCTTCAGCGCGAGGAAAGGGGCAAAGACAGCAGCCATGGTGCTGAGTTTTGCATATGTGCTAGCGATGCAGACAACAGCGGCGGCGGGAATAAAGGTAGTGAAGATGGTAGCGCTGGATCGACTGACGGAGAGGAAGCCTTGGTTGCTGTCAGAGAGTCTCTGAATTCCTTCAAGGGCCCCGATCATAGCAAGTGGGATGGCCAGCGCTAGAACAAGGAACCACCAGTGAGCAGCCGTAGGCCTCCACCAGGCCGCCGTGGAACGCGCTTTGCGGTCGTTGCGGACAGTTTCGGTTTCCATTTGTCGAACTGCTTCAAGGCTGAAAGAAGACGGCGTTGACGTTAGTACGGTCTTGTATCGGCATTCTTCCAGCTTCTGGCGCAGTGCAGATGTGCTAGCCTTGCCCGTTCCTAGCATAACTTGTCGGAACAAAGGACTCGTTGCCATGATGTTAGTCATGGATGCAATGGAGCCAGGGCGAGAAGGAGTAACCGCGCGAGGTGCGATGAATGCCAAAATAGCTGCCATGATAGCGCACATGCCCAGAAATGTGCAGATCATGGCAGTAGATACCAAGTAAGCTACAAGCTTCTGTCCGGCATACTCAATCGATCCTACGGTGCTCTTCTCGGCACGTTGCCGAGCGAGAAGGTGCATTGTCTGCGCGGCCATCCCTTGGTACACATTCTTGGCAGTGGCTTTGAGTAGCTCTGGGTCTGTAAATGCGCCAATGCCGTCCTTCTTGGCCTTCATAGTCATAAACTGAAAGAATGTCGGCACCATCTCAGAAAGTGCAAAGTCCTTTCCGCCGGTTCCCAGGAACATGCTTGACGCCGAGGCGTGAACAGCCATGGCCACGGCGCCGTTCGAGATACCCTCGACACGTTCATTGTCTGCCCCTGTCTCTATGCGCGCAACGGGCGCCGACCCTGACTCAGCCATGCTCCTGAACTGGGCAGCACCGTCGACCGGGCTCGGCTGCGAAGCAAGGACCGGCCTCATGGTGTATGAGGGCTTGCATAGGAAAGCGCTGATCTCGTTGACATACATGTAGCTTGGGGCATTTAAAGACTTATCATAGGGGGAGATCTCAAGATTTGTGACTGAGAGAAAAACACGCTGATCAGCAGAAGGGTCGAAGACGATGGCGGCTTTGTCGTCATCCGGCTTGGCCTCTGCCTTGCTAAAGTCCCAACCAGTGTTGCAAGGATAGACCTCAAATTGGGCTTGGTAATTTTGAGTGGCGTTCTTGTCGTTGTATTGGTAGTGATCGGGCCCGCCAGCGAGAGGGATGCCCTTGATGGAACAGTCGGTGGTGTTGACATCGGCGACGAAATATTGGGCGAGCATGCTTTTCCACGAGATGGACGTTTTGGTCGCGTTGGTGATTGGCAGCTGCTGACAGTCTAGGTCAAACATCATGGCATCAACTGAGACCGAGAAGTTGGTATTTCCGGCGCTATTGGCTGGAATCTGCAGCTGAGGAATGAGTGCATCTTTCGAAGTGCCTGGTGGATAGTGAAGGCCTTGGAAGTTGACGGCATTGTAGAGTTGCGCCCCGCCTGGCCCAACATTCCAAAACTTGGAGTCGGCACTGGAGGCTAATTTGAATTCAGACTTGAGTTTAATGTCGTTTCTTATTTCGGACACGGAGGCGTCCTCCAACATGAGTAGTCCCGTGGAGAAGAGCATCTAGAAAATGATTAGCTGTGAGCTGGGCTTCAGTCTAATCACTGCTTACTGTGCCGATAAGGAGTGTGTAGACAAGACTCGAGAGCACCACTGGCCAGTGCCGATTTCTCACCGCGCGATAGAAGCTGACGGGCAGTGCGGGCGTAAGGTAATCGACAAATACGCTTCTCTCGGCCAGGGCAGGGAACCTGGACATTTCGCTCCATGGCATGAGACTCTTGATGTGGTAGTCAACCTGGCGCCAGCATACAGATATGAAGACAAATAGTGTGGTAGGAAGACATCTTCCCAGATAGTGACTGGCCTCGTTGGCGACGGCGAGACCCTTGCTGCGTAGGGAGAGGTGGTAGACCAGCCCAGTCACAAGGAGTAAGAGTAAAAAGACTGCCGCGAACAAGAGCAATGATAGCTTTGTCAAAATCCTTGGTGTCCACAATTTGAACTTCGGGCCATTCTGTATAATGAGGCGCTCTGTGTCTTTGGGGGAGAGTGGTGATGGCTGCGCACCAAAGCCTCTGCGGTCCGACACTGTTGCTGGGAGCGAGTCGGCATCGTAGTGAAAAGCGGCGGTGGAAGGCGCTGGCGGTGGCGAAGCCAATGGATCTGCAAACTCGGTCTCTTCAGGCACCAAGTCATAGCGACGCGAGCGAAACGGCAGATTTCCGGGGCCGGTGATGTCCTCTTCAAGTTCCTCGTCTTCGTTGTCTTCATCGTGACGACTGTGTGAGTCTTCGTTTAATGGAGCTGGCCACCAGGTCAGGACGTGTTATTACATGATGTAAGGAACCGCCAACAGTTCTTACCTTTATCATAGGCACCGCGTCGCAAGTCTTTTTGAGAGTCACGCTGCCAGCTACTCGGAATCAGGTTATCGTGGAAGTTGTCGCGGCCGAGGTCTTGATCACGCGTTGGCTCCATGTTGGCGGCGAGCAGTCAGTTCTTGGAAGCAGTCCGAAAGGCAGAGACGACACGGTGAGGCTCGACAGAGCTATATGAATGTTCGACCCGGCCATTGGGCCCGCAAGGCTGATGGCGGCCATGGCTGTGAATTATGCGAGCCTTGTTGGATTCCTAATGATGCAAACGAGGCGTTGGGAGTGGATGTGGGATTTACCAGCCAAGTTACTGAGTGCTCAAGGGCCCTGACGGCCCGCTGGACACCACTGTGGCCAATGAGCCGCCCAGAGGCCCGCTGTACAGGTCTACCAACGGCCTGAAGTCAGCATGTTGGCCCGCTACCAGTTAATGCGACAAGCTAATAATACGTGATGATATGATTATAGTCTAATAATACGCAGCCAAACAAATGATGGCCTGGAAATAACAAAGATGCAACTTGCGCCGGCTAGCAGTGGCCCGGCGCTATGAATAGCACGCCCCCGCATACGTTTGGGGCTTGGCTCGGCGCTTGGTCGGGCTGTGCAAGGCTGCTAAGGCTTCCGGTGCTACTGGTACACTGTAGTACTGCCAACGCAGAAATGTTTTCTATTAATAAAGGCTGGTATAGCCAACATGTTAATTCCTATCTACACACTACTAGACGACATTAATTATGTATCCTTTGATTTTGAGCCGAAATAGTGGCTTGTCCTTTGACGATGCCCTTTACCCCGGCACTGCTTTTGGGCTTTGCACAGCATGAAATGAACAAGAGTGGCCAACTCGCCGTGGGCCAACAGACTTGTATTGCACCTTACTTTCTGCCATACCTTATGTGGCCATTGTGGGTTGCATATTCTGATTTACTTCTTTATGCGCAAGCCTCGCCAAACTGCCACTGCTGCTTGGTCAGTTTCTCAACAGGGCTGACGTCATGAGTACTAGGCGCTGGCTGACTGTGTTCTGTCGGCATTTTTTTGGTGCCCTCCAATCTGTGAGAGCGGCTTTCCTGTCTTCATGTTTTCATGCAACAAGAGGTTCTGCCTGGGAGCTAAACCTAGCCTGGCTCTTACACCAAGATGTCAGAAATCAGCAGCCTCTGCTCCGGCCACAACACTTAGTGGCGTGATATGAGAATTTACCGATTAAAGCTACAAAATTGCTGTTAAATGTGCTGTATTCTTTTGAGTCGCTGCAGTTTACGTATCGCAGTCAAATAGACATGAAATGGACTGCCTCTCTAGCTCCTTAATGTACCTAGGTAGCACAAGTCAAGCCAAGCGTTACGAATGAGCAGCCAGGTTACAAGGCTACAGAGAAATCGTTCCACGATGAAACTCAAACAGTGAAACGCCCATCTGTCCTCAATTAGCGGTAGTTTATAAATGCCAGGCAAAATATGTCTTCGTCGTTCCCATCTCCAACTGATGCTAATGTGCGCATGACCACATGACCAGCAGGTCGGTACGTACACGCAGTACACATGGCCTTCCTCGCCAAAGACAAGGTCCTTGTCAAAGCCGAGCTTATTGCCAATTTACAGTTGCCGTCCATATGTTTAGATCGACGGGGTTTGAATTTTTATACTATTAAGCATGGCGATTCGTCTCGCAACGATCTCTCGTACCACCGAAGTTGACTCCAGCATGAAGAGTAAAATTCCGCTCGCATATGAAGCTACCCTGGAGATTGACTGAAGATGCTGCAGAATGATGATTGTAAAAGTACAACATGTTGGCCGGATGCTGGGAGATTCTTATGGTATTGACCTTGACAGCGAGCACATATGAGACGCAACAGTGCACCTTGCTATCTGAAACCGATAAACAACGATTGCCAAAGCGCATGTTTCTCTTGATGGTGAGTTTCGCAGAGCCGTCGTAGCCGTTTGCGGAGACAGTAATACAGCCCCTGAAATAGCCGCAGCTTGATTCCACCGAGGCAGACTCAGGCTCAGGCTGCCGAAAAGTGGACGGCGCTGGCTTGAAACGGGAACCCTTTGCGATCAAACCCCCAGAAGAGCAGGCGTATCCAGCCTCGTCGGCCAATGGGCCGAAATGTTTCACAAGGCTGCAGAAGCTGGTGTCTCGAAGCACCCCCGAATGTAGCCGACTGAAGGCTGCCGGCACTTTATGATCCGGGCTGACACATGCGATGTAGAGTGGCTGTGACGGATGATTCCATTGCCCGTGTAAGCGGAAGCCCTTGTTTCTGCCACCGTGTCGCATATAAGACGCGGCCCTGCTGCGCGACATGCACCGATCTGACCGTATGTCAAGTACATGACGAACGATACGAGACAAAAACCAGCATGCTTCTCCAGAGATCGTGGGCGTTGCTGCTTGCCCTGCTGGGATGCGCGTCCGGCGCCGCCATCCCGAGCAACGACGGCTTCCCGTCGCCCAGCACGCAGCAGCAGCTCTCCATCGCCAAAGACGCCGGCGGCCTGCTCCCCAACGTGCCGCTGCCGACCAAGCTGGGCCCGGGCAGCAAGACGACGTTTCAGCTCATTGCGTTCAACGAGCTCTTCGAGGTGGCCTTTTTCGACTCGCTGCTGCAGAACATTACGCAAGGCGTCGAGGGCTACAAGATCAAGGCGCACAAGGAAAAGATTACCAAGATTGTGACTACTGTGCGAGCGGTACGCTTTTTGCGCTTTTTTGCCTTCTTATCGTCTTTTTTTGCTAATTTATTTTTCACACAGCAAGAGGAGCAACACGCCATTGCCGCCGACGCGGCCCTCAAGACGGCCGGTGAGTTCTCGCCGCCCGCCTGCCAGTACCAGTTCCCCACCACCGACCTAGCCGGCGCCATCCGTCTCGCCGAGACATTCACGGCCATTGTGCTCGGCGCCCTGCAAGGCGCCAACGTTGTCTTTGCGCGCGAAAACCAGACGGTGCCGATCCAGCTCATCTCCTCCGTCATCGGGCAAGAGGGCGAGCAGAACGGCTTCTACCGGCACCTGATCAGGCAGGTGCCGTCCGAGTCGCCGTTCCTGACCGCCGTGCCCGCCGCCTTTGCCTTTTCGGCGCTGCAGCTCTTTGTCGTGCCCGGGTCGTGCCCGTTTCCGCTGAGCGACATTGACCTGCCCGTGCTGCCGGCGCTCGCCGTCAACGGCGGCCCGGTGGCGGTCATTGAGCCCAAGGACCAGCGCCTCTCCTTTTCGGCCGACCTGACCGGCGCCAAGGACTGCGAGAAGCATGTCGGGGCCGACGGCGCGAAGCTCTGGCTCACGTACACAACGGGCCAGCAGAAGCCTATTTCGGTGTCCATTGACAATGTCAAGTGGAGCGGCAAACAAATTTCGTTTGACGCCGATTTTCCGTTTGAGAAGAATGTCATGGTCGGCTTTAGCCACGCGGCGCTGACCTCTGCAAGGGACTTTAAGACTGTTGATGACATCGTTTGCGCGACGGTTGCGGCTCCTGCAATCATTCAGGTGGAAAATTCTTCGGATTGCAAAAAGCTGGCTGACGACATTTAATGATGACGGTGCTGTTATTTTAATTCATAATTTACTGGGGAGGCTCGGTCGTACAAGAAAGGTGTCCGCAGCGAGACAGTACATAGCAGTTGACTGTGTAAATAGAATATATTACGAACTTCAGTACCAGCCTCACCCCATCCGAGTTTACTCATGTGTTACCAGCTTCACACAGCTAGTTCTATGAACCTGACGAGGCTGAAACTACCAACTATTTTACCAGAGTTCAATAGCGCTAATATGCTACCTGATTCTCCGCACTATCTTACCTAGCGTCCAATTTTCTGGTGCTCTCCTGTTTCGGCAGATTTACAAGGCTTTGTACGATGTAAAGGGGTCTCAGATAAGCTTTCACGTTCAATCATGTGGTGCATGTTCCTACGAACCCTATCAAGCTACAAACGTAGATACACCGTGGATCGTACCAGCAAACCGACTAACAAGTGCCGACTTCCCCGCTGGCATTTGAGACTATACGATCATCTGCATACAACGTTTCACTGGAACGCGGGGTATCGAGTGAATGTATGCTGGTTTGTAGTGATCAAACATATAGACCCTGTACTTGCGGCAATCCACTGTGATTATAGATTATAGAGGCTGGTGAGCTACACTTGGCCCCCCCGGTTCATGTGAACCACCACACTGGGGCAATCGCTCCCGTCGGGTACTACCAAGTTGTAAAGTAGTTTGGTAGCTAATCAGGTACATGTAAAATTTACCGACGGGTGGTTTCGAAAGCAATGCCATGCAGATGCAAGGGTTGCTTCGCGCTATTGGAGCCGACTGTTAAGCACCTTCCAACTAGGTCTTTATGGCAAAAATGACCTGACTCTTTCAGATTAGTGTTCAAAATGCTCGTGTAAGGATAAATATGTCAAAGCTCACGGTCTGTCCCTCTATGCCATCTCTAGTATCATCGCTTCATATTCACAGAAAAAAAAAAGACAATGAAGCTTTCTGTTCTTTCGCTCATCGCAGCCGGCGTGGCTTCGGTCATGGCGGGGTCATCCTCGGTCTGCCCCAGCGACAACACCCACGCCACTGGTGCGGCGCTCCAAAAGATCCTCGACTATAAAAAGGGGGACCACCAGATCATGGCGGGCTACTTCCGATCGTGGCGAGACACGGCGAGTGGCACGGGCAACAAGGTCTCGATGCTCGACCTGCCCGACTGTCTCGACATTGCCTTTGTCTTCCCCGAGGGCGACGAGACCGCCTCCTTTTGGACGACGCTCAAGGACACGTACGTGCCTGCGCTGCACGGCCGCGGCATAAAGGTCGTCCGGAGCGTGGGCATTGCGCAGCTCATCAACACCGCGTGGGACAACACGCCCGCCGGGTGGCAGGGCCTCGCGGACGCGCTCATGAAGACGGTCGACGACTACGGACTGGACGGGCTGGATATCGACGTTGAGCAGAGCCTGAATGCGAACCAGCTGAAGCAGGCCACGGGCGTCTTCAACGCGCTCGCCAAAAAGCTCGGCCCCAAGTCCGGCACGGGAAAGCTGCTCATTTTTGATACCAACATGGACGGCACCCAGCCTCTCTGGCGCAACGTGTACCCTACCATCAGCTACGTCCTGATCCAATCCTACGGTCGCAGCATCAGCGGCCTGCAAACCACCTACAACTCCTTCAAGAGCTACATCTCCAGCAAGCAGTACCTTATTGGGTTTTCGTTCTATGAGGAGAATGGGACCAACTGGGGAGACACGACCACGCCCATGACATCGAGCCGCGCCTGGCAGTATGCAAAGTGGCAGCCGTCCGGCGCCACCAAGGGCGGCATCTTCTCCTACGCTATTGACCGCGATGGAGTTGCTATTGGTGATAATACTCTGAAGACGACCGACTTTACTTGGACGCGCCAGTTGATTGGGGCAATGAACCCGTAAACCTCTCCAACATTGTAGGTCATTGGCCTTGTCTGAGATGTATTCAGAGTTATATCTAGTTAATTGAACATGATTCTGCGACAGGCGCAGACTTATTGCAGAGGCGGGTGATATTGACACGTATGTGTCTGTGACGATAGCAAGGCTGGGTACTGTAACGCAACCTGCTTGCACTAGGCTTTTTAAAGCTATGGTGTGCCATGCAGTTTGATATAGCTCAAATTATGGATTTTTTTGATACTTTATCTAGCTACAGAGGTTAACTGTTTGTGTCACGATTTAGTATTACTGTCGTCGCTGTGTATGGTGCTAGTATAAGTCGTTGGGTCACTACCAAAATAGCAAAGCTCAGGTTTCATTATTCTGAAAAGAAGGAGCAAATGATGGGACTAATTACCAGTGATACTAACTCGGCCTCGGCGTTTTTAACTCCATCTAAATAATTTCGTTACTCAACATTCATAAAAAAAGGACGACTCATTTTAGCGTGCCCTTCCGCCTATTCATCAATGCATCTATCCACTGCGAGACGAATTGCGTGTCCTTTGCGTTTCGGGGCATCTCATGGCCGCCTTCGTAAGCCAAGAATGTTGCGTTTGTTCCAATTTCCGACTTGGTGAGTTTCCTGCCATTGGCAGCCAGATGATCCAGCCGCCCTGTCGCATGCAGAGTCGGCGTTGTTAACCCGAGGATCGGTCGGCTATAATCGGTGTCGATGGACGGCGTACTTGCGCCCGAGTCCACATAGTCAAGAAGCACCGGGAGACGGACCTCGCCCGCGAAGACGCCAAACTCGTAGCCCACACACGGCAGCCCCATGATGCGCCGGCGCTGATCACGGAGCAAGAGGCCGAGACCCACCGCCGCGCCTTGCGAGAAGCCCAGGATGCCCACGATGTTGGGCGTGGACGACTCCAGGTCGTTTAGCAGGCGAATGCTTTCCTCGATGGCTTCATAGTGAGAAGCGTTCTTGGGAGAGGAACCACTCCCGAGCCAGGAGTAAAAGGGGGCCTCGTCTTCGAATATCGGCAGGATGTTGGGGCCGGCGTCGCATTCGTTGGGGGCGTCGACGAACAGGCATTCGAAGCGGCGCTCGAGATGACGAACGAGTGGCATACTCTGGATTTCAAAGATTTCTGCATTGGCACCGCGGCCGTGAAGGCAGAGGACAACTGGCTTGGACATTGCAGAGGGGATACTTTGGTGCGAGCTTCGTGTGGTGAGGATGATGAAGCTTGTTAGACGGACAAAAAGGACACACTAGAGCAATAAAGACAAGCACAAGCTTTTGAAAAACAAGCATAACGTAACCTTGACGTTCGTTTACAAAATGATGCTATGATTATGGTCAAGGGGAATAAGAACAGATCCACGCACGGCAAAATATTGCCGTCGGCGCCCATCAAGCTACGCCACTACCAAGATGATGAACAGCTAATTTCTGGACCATCCATGACGTGATTGACATGTGCCTTGGACTCGTCAGTACACAAGTGGCCGTATTTCGCCATGTATAAAGTTGCCTGCCGGACGGCCAAGGTGAAAAGATTTTATTCAGATCGCGTTCTTTCCCCATTGAGCATAGATGCCGACGAATGGGCGGCAGATGCAGTGTCAGACGGGTGCCTCTGCGCCCCATTGACCACTAATACAATGATCCAACAAGAAAAAACTCACGGAGATCGTCGACGTGGCTTGGCGCAGTCGACCATCGCGGGGCTGCCCGTTTCCCCTGCTTCCGACGACGAATCAGTGGTGCAGCTGAGGTGCGATCGGTCCACGGTGTCGATGTGATTGGTGCCGAGCCCCAAGCGTGGTGTTGCGTTCGGAGCCATGAATGTACGATTTGTGACACCGTTGCCGGTCTGCCGTCCGGAATTCGCATCAGCGCTAGTCGTCAGATGCATTTGCACGCCGCCCGGGACCGTCCATGCCATAAGGCCGCATACTGTCCAGCCGTTCTGGCCCGACTGTTGCTGCTTGGAATGGTGACATTGATTACCAAAAGAAGTAGCCGTTGCTTCTTGAAAGAAGCATTACTACAGTTTGCTTCAGCCGCAGAGGGTCCGTTGATCTAGTCGGTCGGTTCTTGCATCATTCTCATGGGTGATGATGTTGAATTCTGGCGCGGTGCCTCGATCGGGCTGCTGTGCGAGAAGCATGTGAATGAGTTACGTCTTATCTTGGAGAAGTGAGAGAGGCTGGGAGGAGCGACGGAACAGCTGAAGTTAAAGAATCGAGAACTAAAAAATTTAAAAAATCGACTGCGCTGAATATAAAGTCATTGGGGTAAGGGTATCGGCCGGGTAGATATCTATGCCCCTGCCTCACAAGCCACATCCGATTGAACCACAAAGCTATCAAACTTACCTTGTCCATCTTTATCTTTATCAACAACGTGGCAATCAGAATGAGCGGCATGGAGAAGTCGTCTGCTGTGCAGGACCCCAGTGTCATTGTGGGTGCCGCATGCCGCGTGCCTGGCGCGACAAACTTGCATGAGCTCTGGGACTTGCTGGATTCGAAACGAGATGTCCAAAGAAAGATGCCCTCAAATCGGTATAACGCCGATGCATTTTACCATCCCGACGGAGCGAATAAAGGCACTGTCAGTCTGCATCCTGGCAGGTTCAACCTAGTTGCACTTATACTGACATGAGCCAAGAGCAATGCCACGTTGGGATATTACCTTGAGCAGCCTCTGGACTACTTTGACGCCGCCTTTTTCAACATTTCCGGCAAAGAGGCCGAGGCCATGGACCCGCAGCAAAGACTGCTGCTTGAAGTGGTCTACGAGGCCCTTGAAAACGGTACGTAGTGATGCATCACACAGATAACAAGTGCTGCGAGCCGCTCCACTCCCGGAGTCCGGAAGGCACACGCTGACCCTGTCCCACTAGCCGGCCTCACCTTGGACGAGATCCGGGGCACCAAGACGGCCGTGTTCGCCGGCTCCTTTACATACGACTACCAGTCCATGACGAACCGCGACCTGGCCCAGTACCCCAAGTACACCGTCACCGGCACAGACGCCAATGCCATCCTGGCGAACCGCATCTCCTACGTCTTCGACCTGCACGGACCGAGCGTGCAGGTCGACACGGCCTGCTCCTCCTCGCTTACGGCGCTGCATCTCGCCGCGCAGAGCCTCCAGAGCGGCGAGTCGGACATGGCCATCATCTGCGGCACGGCGCTGCACTTTGACCCCACCATCTTCATCACCATGGCCGAGTTCGGCATGCTCTCGACCGACGGCCGCTGCCGCCACTTTGACGCCCGCGGCTCCGGCTATGTCCGCGGCGACGGCGTGTGCGCCGTGGTGCTCAAGCGGCAGCGTGCGGCCGAGCGCAACGGCGACCGCATCCGGGCCGTGATCCGAGGCACGGGCACAAACCACGACGGCATCAAAGAAGGCATGACACTGCCGAATCACAAGGCCCAGGCGCGCCTGGTTCAGGACGTCTACGCCCGTGCTGGCCTGGATCCGCGGGACACGGGCTTCTTCGAGGCCCACGGCACCGGCACGCAAGCCGGCGACCCGCGCGAGGCACTCTCCATCGGCGAGGTGTTTGCCGCGGGACGGGACGAGCCGCTGTACGTGGGCTCGATAAAGACAAATATTGGCCATCTGGAGGGGGCCTCTGGTTTGGCGGGTGTGATCAAGGCCATGCTGAGTGTCGAACGGGGCAAGATTCTGCCCAATATGCATTTCGAGACACCAAATCCCAACATTGACTTTGCAAAGCTGAAAATACAGGTGCCGACGGAAACTGTGGCTTGGAATCCTGAGAACGGAATTCGTCGTGCGAGTATCAACTCGTTTGGCTTTGGCGGCGCCAACGCTCACGTTGTGCTGGAAAACTACACAGATGTCCGACAACCCGTATCGCGAGATGCAGACCCCCAAATTACATCAACACGACCGTATCTGCTGCCTCTTTCTTCGCATTCCGAAAATGCCGGCAAGTTGCTGCAGCAGAAACTGGCCGACTACATGCACCAGAACCCCAAAACTCCCGTCCAGGATCTGGTGCATACGTACAGCACTCGACGCAGCCTCCATCGCTTTCGCTCATTTGCCATTGGTCGTGATTTGCCATCCATGCGCACCGGTACTACAACGCCGAGCCCTCTCGCCAGCTGGAAGCAGGCAGGCCCGGCGCCGCGGCTCGGCTTCGTCTTCACCGGCCAGGGCGCGCAGTGGTATGCCATGGGCCGGCAACTCATCGAAGAGAGCCCGTTCTTCAAAAGCGTTCTGCTCGAGTGCGAGGCTGCGCTACAGACACTGCCCGACGCGCCGCGCTGGTCCATCGTCGACGAGATGCTCCAGGCCGCGGACGAGTCGCGCCTGTCGCAGAGCGAGTTCTCGCAGCCGCTGTGCACGGCGCTGCAGATCGCGCTGGTCGACACGCTGCGGGCCTGGGGCGTCGCGCCGGCCGCCGTCATCGGCCACTCGTCGGGGGAGATCGCGGCGGCGTACGCGGCGGGCATCCTGAGCCGCCGCGACTCCATTGTCTGCGCCTACTACCGCGGGCTGTACATGTCCAAGGGCCGCCACGCCGGATCGATGATGGCCGTCGGCCTGACCGAGGCCGAGGCCGGGCTCGAGCTCGCTCCGTTTGCCGGCCGCGCGGGCATCGCGGCGGTCAACAGCCCCGCGAGCATCACGCTGAGCGGCGACACGGATGCCATTATGGAGATCAAGGCGCGGCTGGACGCCCGCAGGGTCTTTGCGCGGCTGCTGCAGGTCGAGCAGGCGTTTCACTCGCACCACATGCGGCCGCTGGCGCCGGGCTTCCAGCAAGCGCTGGCCGCGACTGCTGGGTTCGCGCCCAAGGATGCTCGTGTTCCCATGTTCTCGAGCGTCACGGGGCGGGACTCCAGTGCGAGGCGCATGGATGGCGTGTACTGGTCGGACAACATGACGGGGCGGGTGCGGTTCTCGGATGCTGTCGTCGGCATGGTGTTTGGCGAGGACGATCAGCTCGCCGTGGATGTCATGGTGGAAATCGGACCTCATCCTGCGCTCAAGGGACCTGTCAAGCAGACACTCAAGTCGCTAGGTATCGAGACGGACATTCCATATATTGGAGCCCTCGATAGGAAAGTGCCCGCGTACGAGAGCTTGCTGGCCTGCGCTGGTCAGCTCGTCTCTTTGGGGTACCCGGTGGACCTGGTTGCCGTCAACAGCGAGCACGTATCCGGCAGCGATGGCCGCATCACGACCGAGGTGCGAGGGACCCGTCTTGAAGACACACCGACGTATGCCTGGCATCACAAATCTTTCTGGTCCGAAACACGATGGAACAAAGAGTACAGGCAGCGCCCCTATCGCCACACCCTCCTGGGAGCGCCCGTGCCTGGCACCCCGTCCAGCAATCCTCGCTGGCGAAACTACATTCGTCTCTCGGAGCTGCCTTGGCTCAGAGACCACGCGATTGACGGCAGCGTGTTGTTTCCCGCTGCTGGCTACTTTACCCTGGCCATTGAGGCGCTCATACGCACGACTCCTTCCAAGGTCGGTGTCGACATTGTTTTGTCCAATGTGCGAATCAAGTCTGCGCTGGCGATTCCTGATACGGAGGCTGGTGTCGAAATCATGGTTGACCTTTTATTGGATGAAGACGCCAGTGAAGGTGAAGTCTCGTACCGATTTACAGTCTACTCCTTCACCGAGGGCGGCGCGACTGTCCAGAATTGTTCTGGCAGTATTGCTGCTGTTCCTTACCAGTCCAGCACGTCGGTGGCCACGTTCGAAGAGATGCAGCTTCAAATGCAGAGTCACACGCCCGCAGACAAGTTTTACAACCGCCTTCACGCCCTCGGCTTGCAGTATGGAAACTCTTTCAAGCTCGCCAATGGCGCGTTTGAAAGTGGCCAAGGGGCATGCGTCACCGAGCTCGACTTTGACCCCATCAGCGTCCGGACCGGAGACGCCGAGCTGGACCGCTGCATTCTACACCCAACCTTTCTAGACGCCAGCTTTCACGTCATTTTCTCTGCCCTGGAATCTAGACTTGGTCGCGCTCTCACGGATGCCTACGGTGCTACCTCGTGTGGATCGCTTCGCGTGTTGGCGCCCATGGTTCCGCGAGCCAAGGACACCAACACGCAGAAATACTGGGCAAATGCGAGTACAAGCATTCTCAACCCTCGCGTCAGCTCGAGCGATATCAATGTGTGTGCTGTGGGCTCTAGGGAGCCCCTTATCGAGATGTGCGACGTGCAATTTACTGCTCTTGGCTTGGGTGACCAAGGCCAGCCAGCCGATGCCTTCTTCCGCATGACATGGAAACCTGTCTTTAGCTTTTTGGGATCCAATGAGACTGAACCAGAAATCAGCGGTTTCGATGAGCTGATCGATTGCTACAAGCATCAATATCCTGGCAACAGCATTGTACACATCAGGGCGGACTCGGATGCTGCTGAACTGTCTGGCTCATATGATCTTGTAGTGATCGGGAAAGGAACCCCGTCCGACATTAGCGCTTACACAGGGCCAGAGAGCTTCGTCGTCACGGTAGACCCTCAGATGGTGTCGCAGAACCTGGAGCTCAAGTTCAGGCAAGGAGAACTGGCCATTTGGCAAGCTCCTGCTGCAAACGCAGTATCTTCGGCGCTCACTGTGCTTCTTTCGCTGTCTCCGTCACAAGAGTCTCTAAATGTCGTCAACTCTATCAAGAGGCGGTTACATGGGCTCGAGGTATCTACCACGACCCTTCCCGACCTGTGCGAGAGTATTCTTTCCGGAGGCAACATTCTTTCTTTGGTGGAACTAGACGACCCCAACTTCGGTCTCGACTCTCAACAGTCAAAAGGTTGGGACAAATTGCTTACCTTGCTGTCCTCTGCATCTGCCAATATTGTCTGGCTACAGAGTCGCGATGTCTTGGGCTCATCTATTCTGCGCCATGTGTCGAGAGTGGCGCGCGCTGAGAACCCTGGTCTTCAAATGACACTTATCACAGTACCAGGCAAATATGATACAACGCACGTTCAAGATGCGATCTACTACGCATTCAGAGCCTCTGCTGATGGCGAGGAGCTTGCCATCCGGGATGGGTGCCTATGGCTGCCTCGTATTGGAGCAGATGAAACCCTCAATACCCGGTACTCGCACAGCGACAGGCTTGAATTGTTTTCCAGCCAATACCTGCATCTTTCGCCCGATGTTTTCAGCCCATATTTACCAAGTGCAGGATTTGAAGCAAGTGATTCGCTGCGGCTTCTTCCTATTGCTGAGAATGAGATTGAAGTCGAGGTCAAGACCTCCATGCTGCTTTCGCGCGCCGACGCAATCACCTCGTGCATCGGCACAATCACGCTCGCAGGCTCTTGCTCCGGACTCCAAGTCGGGCAGCAAGTCCTCGTTGTAGCGGAAAACAAGGCTGCACATGCATCCAGACTGCGCGTCAAGGCGCACATGGCATTCGCGCTCGACGTAAAATCCCTCGCCCGCGCTCTGCCGATATCATCGCATTTGCTGCAGACCGCATACGCCATTTACGAGACTTCCAGGGTTCAAAGCAGCGACAAATGCCTCATCTACGACGCCTTCGCGCCGGCTGGTCAAGTGGCCATTTGTCTCCTCCAGTCTATTGGGGCCGCATTCGTTGCCGTTGTTCGACGAGAGTCCGACCGCACCCAACTTCTGGAACAATTCCAGTTGTCTGAAGATTCAATCGTCGTGGATGCTCAATTGAGGCTTCCTGAGACTGTCGCAGCTGTAGTATGTGCGAGGCCATGGCGACTGGCCCTGCACTGCTCCGAGGATGACATGAACAGCGGGAATCTGGACATATCTCAGGCTCATGCGATCAGCGTCGGCACAGCATCCCACGAGTCCTGTCTTGATCTGTCGTACAGAGAGCTCACCAGGGACCCATCTAGGTTGCGGGACCTCTTCCACCAGGGCTGGAAGGCTCTCGAGATATCAGGCTATTCCTTCACCAGCGCCACAGAGCTGTACAAGCTACCATATAGCCGAGCGACGGAAGGCATGCAAGCTTTAAAAACAAGTTCAAAATTACAGCAAGTATTGCTGTATGCGGATGACTCTCCTGTGAGGGTGAAGCGCTCCTTGGGCACAAACTCGACGCTCTTCGACGCGGACAAGACATATCTCCTGTCGGGTTCGTTTGGTGATGCCTGGTGGGTGTTGGCGCAATGGCTCTTCCGCAATGGTGCGCGCAGACTCAACGTGCTCGTCCACCCACAGTGCGCAGAGTTCCCGGAGCAGGCGATTACCTGGCTAAGACAGCGCGGCGTTGAGGTTGCACTTCATCCGATCGTCACATATGAAGGAAGTGGTGTTGACGAATGGTTGGAGTCGGTACGAGGAAAAGTCGGAGGCGTCATACAGGGTGCTCTACCTGCGAAGCCGCTTCCCTTGGGCCAAGTTGATGCCAAAACGCTTCATGCAACGGTGCAGCCGTTCTTGACTGCTCTCCAGACGATTCATGAGCGTACGATCCCACGTGCCCTGGACTTTTTTCTTTGCATATCGTCCATCGCCCCTATCGTTGGTGTTTCCTCTGAAGTCGCGTACTCTGTGGCGAATGGCTATCTCGACGACTTCGTCTCGTGGCGTCGCCAACACGGCTTTCCAGCGGCATCACTCAGCATCGGGCTCATTAACAACATTGATCTTTTCAGCGAAACGCGTTCCATCAAAGACGCCCTTGAAAATGCTGGCATCAACGCCTTGAACGAAGACCAGCTCTTCTTCCAGCTGGAGCAGGGCATTCTAGCACAGTATCCAGACGGCGAAGCGGACGGGACGTGCGACCACCACATTCTCAGCGGCGTCAGCTTCTCCTCGCGCGACGAGTTTTGGTCCTCCAAGCCCATGTTCCGCCGACTTTTCGAAGCTGCTTCCTCCTTGAGAGGATCATGCGACACAGCCAGAGACGTGCGCTCGGTGATGCGCGACGCAAAAACGCCCGAAGCGAAGCAAGCGGCGTTGGCCGACGCGTTTGTTGACAAGATTGCGGTGTCGCTCTCCATTGCCAGCGCAGACATCAACATCGGCCTGCCTCTGTCCTCGTACGGCATGGATTCCCTGGCGGCCGTGGACTTTCGGAAGTGGTTCTCGCAGGAGCTCGGCGTCAATCTCGCCTTGTTTGAGATTCTCGGGTCCGGCACTATTCGGGCCGTCATTGAGAGGGTCTGCCAGGTGTTTGCGACGCAGGAGAGCGAGAAGCCAAAGACAACTGAGCAAACCAAATACGTGACCAAAGACAAAGAGGCGCCCTCGGATCTGGCCTCGGAGTTGCTGTTGCCGGCGTCTCGGCCAAGGCATATTCCTCTTTCTTCATTTCAGACGCGGCAGTGGTTCATGGACACTGTGATGGAGCAGGATGGGGCGCTCACCTGCGGCTGGACTCTTTCCATCCAAGGTGAGCCGAATCTTGAAGCGGTCAATGCAGCATTCCATGAGGTTGCTCGCCGCAATGAAATCTTCCGAACTCGCTACTTTGAGGGCGATGACATGGTTGAGCAAGAGGTCATCGCCTCGGTGCCCGCCAATGTGGAGTATGTCGACATCTCCGGTGTGCCAGGCGCAGACGACACGGCAGTTCAAGACCAGGTGTACAATCTCATCGGCCAGCCTATGGACCTGGAGAAGGGCGAGGTGTATCGATCTCGCCTCGTGAAGCTCGCGCATGAGCGCTATGCCTGGATCTTCGCTACTCACCACATCACCGTGGACGGCGCCAGTCGGCAGTCCTTCATGGAGCAAATCGTGGCTTGCTACGATGACGCCCGGACAGGTTCCCGCTCGGAGACGTCGGCGCCCAGTCTCTCATACATTGACTTTACGCTCTGGCACGAGGGATACCTGCAGTCGGACCAGGTGCAGGTAGACCTGGCGTGGTGGAAGAGTCGTCTGGCCGACGCACCCCGCGCTGGCAAGCTTTTACCCTTTGCGCAGCGCGAGGCTCGTGGCGAAAAGGCCAGCCATCAGAGACGAGTTATTCGCTCCAAGATTGACACGGCCACGTTGAAGAGAATGAAGCGCATCTGCAGTAGTGTCAGCGTCACGCCGTTTCATTTTGTCCTCGCCGCGCTCCGGGCCTTGCTGTTCCGGTACACGGCCGAGGAGGAGTGCACGCTGCTGGTAATTAACGGCGAGCGTCCTCATCCCGCATTCGAAGGCATCATTGGGTTCTTTGTCAACATCATCCCGCTTCTCTGGAAGGGATGCTTTGATGACTCGTTTGAGTCGCTTCTGACGGAAGCCAAGGCCTTGACCATGGAGTCAATGGCTCACTCCCAGGCGCCGTTCGATGCCATTGTGGACGCGTTAGATCTGGGCCACACTCCTGCCCACTTTCCTCTGGGCCAGATTGCGCTGAACTACCAAATGTACACCAAGTCGCCCAACTACACCTCGGTAGACTTTGAGATTCGAGATGTGCACGTCACCGATGTCCCCACGGCCTGTGAACTTCAGTTCGAGGTGTTGGAAGATCCGAAGACGGGTCTTGGTTTCACTCTAGACTATGATTCCCATCTTTACGGCGCCACTGACATGAACCGTTTCTTGGAGAACTTCATGACGTTTATTGGCAGCGCCGTGCGTGATTTCAGGCAGCCGGTGGAAGAGCTGGAGATGTGTGGCCCCAAGGAGCTTCAGTTCCTCCGAGAGGTTTGCTGGGTGGAGGAGGTCAGCTCGGCTGACTGGATGGGCCAGTCGCCTATGGAACGCTGGTCGGACATTGTTCGCCAACAGCCATTGTCCACTGCCATTCAGACTTCAGAGGGCCAGTCCATCACATTCACCGAGCTGAACGAGAGGGCGACGTGTATTGCACGCTTGCTCCAAGTATCTGGTGCACAATCTGGCGATAGGGTTGGCGTGCTATCCCACCCCTCCATCGATGTCATGGCCTCCATGCTGGCCGTTGCTCTTCTGCGATGCGTCTACGTTCCGCTGGATCCCAGCGCTGCACAAGGAAGACTAGAATACATGGTCGACAATACGAGTGCGCCACTTGTACTCCATGGGCCGGAGCTGTATTCACTCGTGGCAAGTCTGCGCGGCTCTGTGCAGGCGCAATTCATTGCCATGGCTGCCGCGACTGCGAGCGACGGTGCTGCCATTACTGTGCCTCTGAACCAGAATCCCGATGATGTTTGCTATATTGTGTTCACCTCGGGAAGCACGGGCAAGCCCAAGGGCGTCATGGTGACATTCGAAAACACAGAGGCCATGCTCTGCGGTCGCCAGCAGATTCACTGTCTAGGGGACACAGATATCTTCCTGCAGCAGTCGTCCACATCCTTTGATATTTCCATGGCACAGACATGGGGATCGCTGACCTCGGGCGCCACAATGGCGCTCGCGACCAAGGAGGCGAGACAAGACGTCGACGAGCTCGCTGGCTTCATTCGCGATGCTGGCGCCACCATGGTGTACATGACACCCACCCAGCTTGCCATGGTCCTGGAGAACTGCTCCGACATTTTGAAGCAGTGTCGCACGCTACGAGCCATCTCGCTTATCGGGGAGCATCTGCCACCGCGTCTTGTCGCAGCCGTGTACGATCTCGGCCTGCCGTCGCTGACCGTCTTCAACGAATACGGGCCATCGGAGAGCACGTCGCAGAATACGCTGTACAAGGTGCCGTACCCCTCGCCGAGCCAGACGACCGTAGACATTGGCCGGCCCATTCCGAACAGCAGTACATATGTTCTCAACTCACGCGGCCGGCCAGTGCCCGTCGGTGTCTCGGGCGAGCTGTGTGTCGGCGGGCCGCAGGTCAGTCTGGGCTACCTCGGGCGCTCCAGCGACGCCTTCCTGTCCAACCGCTTTGTGGCCGGCGCGTTTCGGGAAAGGGGCTGGGACCGGCTGTACCGCACAGGCGACATGGCGCGGTTCCGACGGAACGGCAACATTGACCTGCAGGGTCGCATCTCGGGCGATAAACAGGTCAAGCTGCGGGGCCATCGCATTGATCTGGAGGAGATTGAGGCCGAGATTCGACGTGTCGCTGCGCAAGACGCAATCGCGAGCTCTCTGACGGGCGCTATCGTGCTTGCGCGGACCCTGGGCCAGTCTGCCTCGGCAGACATGACGGATGATCGACAGCTGGTTGCTTTCCTGACCACCAGATCCGAACTGCATAGAGTTGACAGCCAAGCAATTGCGTCCAAGCTTCATGTTGAACTCAGCAAGACCCTGAACAAGTACATGATCCCTGCCTGCTACCAACCCATGACAGCATTTCCGATGACTGTCAGCGGTAAGATTGACCGAGTTGGCCTGAACAGCATGACCTTGGACCCTGTCTTCCACATGGAGACTGTTCACGCGCAGACGCAACAACAAGAACAAGCCGACAAAGTTGAAGCGTCCGGGCCACTCGACACCATCAAGAGTCTCTTTTCCGACATTCTCAAGCTGCCCAGCCAAAAGGTCGTCCAGGATACGGACAACTTCTTCGAACTCGGTGGCCAAAGCGTGCTCGCTCTTCGTCTGCAGAAGGCGCTGAAGAAGGAGCTGGCTGTCAAGGTCAAGTTGGTTGACATTTTCCGGAATCCGACGCCCTCCGGTCTCGCCAAGAAACTTGGCCTCGATTCTGCAACAGACGGGTCGGCTGCAGCTCTTCCAGTCAAGGTCGAGGTAAACTGGGACTCGGAAATCGCACTCCCGAATGATGCTCGATACCTGCCCAACGCCGCCGTCGAGGCCAAGGAGCAGCGGAACGGGTCTTCAGCAAAGAGAATTCTCATCTTGGGAGCTGATGGATACATTGGGTACTATCTGCTCAAGTTCTTACTTGCCCTTCATCGCGACGCCAAAGTCTACCTCTTGGGCCTGGGTGACCGGTTCAACCTGGGCGATCTCTTCTCTGCCTTTACCGAGCACCAAATATTTGACGACAGAGTCACCCAGACGGATCTGCTCACGCGAACCGAGATTGTCCAGGGCGCACTAGGCAAGCCAAAGTTTGGTCTTTCCAGCGATGCGTTTGCCAAGCTCGGCCGCAGCGTCGATTCCATCTACCACACGGGCGGCTTCGTCTCCCTCCTGGCGACCTACAACGAGCTGCGCCCCCGCAACGTGCAGAGCGTGCTGGACATGATTGAGCTCGCGTCGCACGGCGGCGCGCCGACAGCGCTGCACTACATTTCCACCTGGAGCATCGTCCACGTGCAGACCTGGCGCGGCACGTCCCTGTCCGGCGACGGCGTCGTGTGGCGCGACGAGCAGAGCGTGGCGTCGTTCCGGCCGCCCGCCACAAACGACCACGGCTACTTCAAGACGCGCTGGGTGTCGGAGATGCTCCTGGAGGAGGCGGGCCGGCGCGGCTTCCCCGTGGTCATCTACCGCTGCCCGGCCCATACGGCGCCGCCGGCCGCGCGGTGCGTGACGCCCGCCGACAACTTCACCGTCAACATGTGCGTGCGCATGGCCGAGACGGGGCTGGTGCTGCGCACGCCGACGCGCCCAGACGGGCTGGAGAGCGACATGGGCATGGTCCCGATCGACTACTTGGCCGACACGCTG